GCAAGCTCGAGCCAACCAGGTCCAGGTCCAAGTCCAGCTTCCATCTCCAGGATAGAGGATTACAATTTACAACCCGGCCATGAGAATCTCGTTACGCCAACGTAGGAGATTATACTCGAGGTAGCGCGGAGAACTACCGTAACGGTACATGATCCCGATGCGTGCACGGCATTGCATGGGAAGTTGCATATCACTCAATGGAAGAAAGTTTGAAATTCAATAATTGATTATGTATCGGGCCTTTTCTCTGCACAAGCAAGACTGTGAAATACGTGGGTGGCTACCTAATATTCAACTTGACGCGCAACACGCATTTGTACCATTATATTCCGTTCGAGCGAATGACGACCGAATGAAGATGACGCCTATTCACATTGTCCTCGCAGATAGTCCACCCCTCATGTGGCCGCCGTAAGTCTCTCATAGATCTTCGCGGTTGCCGTGTAAATTCATAAATGTCGTAGGTCTCAATCAAGTATCGCTTCTTGATGTAAATTCCCCAAGATGAAATGTAGACGAGAGGGTTATTCCGCAACCTCAAAGGCTAACAGCCTAGGCAAACAGATTTGGAATCTGACGTCTTCAGTACACTCATCCACCGAATCAGCCGAAGCGACTCAGGTTTCATAAGGACCGATCATTCTGAGATTTGTCGATCGGATATTGACATCATAAATTACCTTGGTAGGTTGATGGCTCCATAGACGATCGAACTGCCTCAGCATACAACCTTAAACCATCGCTGACGAGCAGTTCTGGTAAAGGGACGCTGGACACAAATCTGGTGTTTTGGTAAGAAGAGAATCAAAAACTTTCTGCGCAATGAAAAACTTTTGTAGCGAATCTATCGCGCTAATTTAGCGTGTCTTTGGAGCCGTGCTAGTATGTATTCGGTTAGAGTAAATTTATCTGTCAGCCTCACATCCCAACTTCAACTTTATTAACGTCGCGAAACTCGAAACAATAATCATCAAATTATTTTTCGGCATCTTATATTACCTCACATCACCATGGCGGACGCTATCTCTATTGAGGAGACGAATCGTATTCGAGCTTCACTTGGAATGAAGCCTTTAGCAGTCCCAGGAGCAGCAGGTCCAATTTTTAAACAGGCTCCGTCTGCACCAGCAGAGGATGTTGGCAGTACTCTAGAATCGCGACAGGCTGAAGGCTATGACAATTATCGAAAACTACAAGAAGCTGAAGAAACCAAAAGGAAAAGGGAGGCCAAAGCAGAAGCTATCAAAAGAGCGCGAGATACAGCCAAACGATTTGCGAAACTCGAAGGCAAAGGTCTGGGAGAAGCCGATGACGATGGCGATCTTGACGCTAAAGCATGGTTGATGAAACAAAAGAAACGACAAAAGGAAATTGAAAAAGCGAGAAAGAAGGAGCAGGAACTTGCTGAGGCAGAAGCTGCTGCAGCTGCCGAATATACAGCGAAAGATCTTGCAGGCGTTAGAGTCGGACATGAGCTAGATACATTTGTCGAGGGAGAAGATCAAGTTCTAACGTTAAAGGATACCACCATCGATGAAAATGAGGAAGAAGGTGATGAGTTGGAGAATTTAGATTTGCGCGAGCGTGAGAAGTTGTCTGATAAGTTGGAACTAAAAAAGAAGAAGCCCGTGTACAACCCGAATGACGATGATGACTCTGGTGATAGAAAGATTCTCGCCCAATATGACGAGGAAATTGATGGCAAGAAAGGAAAGAGGTTCACTTTGGATGGTATGGGTAGCACAACTGAAGCCAGATCAGTGAACTCTGCCTCTACCTCGAAATCAAAAGCCAAAACCTTCAGCCTCGATATTTTGAGTAAGTTTCAGAACCCCGGTTGCTTGAAATTCCAAACAGTACACTCGCTAATATTTCATCAGAAGATGATGAGCCGAAATCCGATTACCTTGATATTTCAGACATCAAGGTTAGAAAGCCCAAGAAGAAGAAGGCCAAATCAACGCGACAAAAGGTAGTGGATGAAGACGACGTGTTTCCAATATCTGAACCGGTTGTTACCAACGGAGATAATGCTGATGCAATGGATGTTGATCAAGGCTCCAAGCCGATTGTCAAAAAACGAACTTTCGAGGACATGTCCTTCGTTGATGATGATGATTTACAAGCTTTACTTGCTACCCAACGAAGAAATGCACTAAAGAAACGCCAAAAGTTACGACCAGAAGAGTTCGCTCAGCGATTACGAGATGAAGCATCAGCAACACCAGCAGCAGATAATGAGGAAGGTAATGATTTGGGACTTGTTATTGATGAAACCTCGGAGTTTGTTGCAAACCTTCAAAAGCCAGTCGCACCAGAGCCCAAGAAAAGATCTGTGTCTCGACCAGACGCCGTTACTTCCATGGGTGCAGATTCTGACGATGACGGGGATGTTCAAATGAATGAATCGTACGCAAATATCGAGGATGATGAAGATAGACTCGCTCGGATCAAGCGTGAAGAAGAAACCAAGGATGCCATTGCGAATAATGGATTGGAAGAGGAAGCCACTCTCGAAAAGGGTTTGGGCTCTACCTTGAAACTCTTGAGAGAAAGAGGTATTTTGAAGACTTCAGAGTCTGGTGATGTGGCCACAATTTTCAGAGAGAAGCAAATGTTTCTCGCGGAAAAACAAAGACGTGAGGCAGAAGCAGAGAGAAGAGCGAAAGCCCAAAGAGAAAGAGATCGTACCACAGGTCGCTTGGATCGAATGTCTGCTCGTGATAGAGAAGAACACGCCAGACAACAGAATACAATGCGAGACCAACAAGAATCGAGGCAGCTCGCTGAGCATTTTAACAAGGAATACAAGCCTAACGTGGAGCTCAAATATGTCGATGAATACGGAAGAAATATGAACCAGAAAGAGGCTTTCAAACATTTATCACATCAGTTCCATGGTAAGGGCAGCGGAAAACAGAAGACGGAGAAATTATTGAAGAAGATCGAAGATGAGAAGCGAAGGGAAGCGCAGAGTTCACTGGATGGAAGTCAAATTGGTGGTATGACGGGGGCAGCAGCACAACAGTTGAAGAAGAACAGACAAGCTGGTGTGAGATTGGCTTGATCAGATCAGTTCGAGCGGGGACTGAGGATATTTATCATGGTGCAAAGGTGCAGACTCCTATATTGTACTTAGATTTTATTGCAATGCTGACAAAGTTTTGAGAAGATACGAATCTTGTGCCTTGGAGCGCACTGTTTTGTGATAAGATGGTAAGTTGATTTGTGATGTGTACTAACTCTAGTGTTCTTTGACGTTTACCTTGTCAGAAATAAGGCAAGTCGTGTTAAATTTTATCTTCGCCTTGATCATTATATGTCAACAAAAAGGGTCTTGCTCACGCGTGAGCATGTCTTTCCGGGTTCCTCCTTCATTTCCGATCAAGACCTTAATGACTCACAACATTCCTATTATTTTACATGCGCCCTCTCCAAAGGCAGATCCAAATCTCTAGTGTGAAAGCGAACCCGTTTATTTTTATACACTACGGACTTGACTACTAACATTAACATCGTGCACGAATACCTCGTTTAGATATCTCTTCATTTTCATTCTCATGTTCAATACTCAAATCGTCTACCTTGACGATTTGTATAAACAGATACATACATACATATACACCGATGTCCTCTGGGAAACAACAAGTACAACATAGCGAGTAGTAGTAATATCGTCTAAATAGGATTGATTATGAATACACATCCAACTGAACTTCTTCACAATGACCTTAATATACTTTTTCAGTCCGTCTCAACTCGTTCTCGGTTGCCATTGCTCGTAGATACCTAGATAGTTGTTTTGGAGTGGTCGTTTATCGTTCTGTATGTGTATTATGCTTGTACCTACATCTTTGATATTTCAATAATCTTCTCATGACAGACAGATGAATCTTGAGACTTCGATTTTGATTTTGCTCTGGAATTCTTGCGCTGAAGGGGATAGATACGCTGGCTTGGAGATACATACATAGTTTGGCTGGGGCTTCTTATACTGATGTGCGGGTAGGTAGGTAGGTAATCGTAACTCGTCCGTCTACTTAGCTAGGTATTTTTATATAGTATATAGGAGGTAGAAAAGTACTTTGTAGATCATGCACTGGTTTGGTTTTCTTGGAGGATTCTTCATGGGGAGAAAGATGAGGAGTTGAGATTGGAGATTGGATACTGGATATTGGATACTGGATATTGGATACTGGATGTCTACCTCCATACCTAATGTAAGATAATCGCTACTCGCTTTCTTTCTTTCTTTCGCTACCAGAGGCCCGCACAATACATACTTCATAATCTAATTTCGGATTTTGCAATATGCTGAGTTTGTTCTTGTGCTAGGAGAAAAAAACTGGATGGGTGGGCGGAAGTTGGATGTTGGGTGTCTGCAGATGTGGAAATGTGTAATGAAAGAGTAAGGTGAAGATCATTAGATATATTGTGTGTTGGGGAAAGCTAGGGATGGTTTGAAGTAATATGATTACGGGGCAGATATGTTATGGTAAGTGAGTTGTAGATCGCAGAGAAGAAATGGCTAGATGTTTTTGTAATTGGTGGCATATAGGAAATGACATAGGGGATTGATTGTAGTCTCAACTATGCTGTGCTATTTCTTGTCTGGTTCTGTATACGCGTCATTATTCAGACAATGGAGAGCATGACGCGTGGGAAGATGAAGGGTGATTCTATGACACTATGGGTTTTTGGGTGAGGGCATTTGAGGCATTCTTAGAATGCATTTTAGGCGCGTTATTGGAGTGCAATTTCAATTTTCGATTCATTATATGTTTCCATCTCACTGCCTGTAAAGGCTCGCACACTCATTATATATACGCATCATGCCATACCAGATCAGATCAGATCATTCGCCCAATTACATTCTTCTCCACCGCCCATCTTCGCAGGTATCGTTGTAATATTCTTCTCCCATGCACACCTATCCAAATCCTAACTTTACTTCATCACAGTGACGCGCTGTAGCTGTCTCCGAATGCAAATATTCACATTTAAAACGGTATCGCGTTTGAGACCTGTCCATTGATATCCACAGGTGCTCCTAACATTCTGATTTGTGCACTATCGTTAGTTGTCATAACTCCGACATTGGCTTGTGATGGATGAGTGATAGATAGGAAGAGGGAGAAGCAAAAGCTGAGTACCTACTTTTTACCCACTTCCGTCGCGCAGCAGCCGACGAAGAGCGAGGCTGGCCAACATACTAGCTATTTTATTTGTCAGTTGGAAGCGAACTTGGAGTGATTGCGGGGCTGGCTGTATCTGGGAGACTTGTAGCTCATAAAACCGTCGCTAGTGCGGAATGAGGAAGGGGAGGGGGAAGGGATTGGTGATACTCACAGCGCTGAGTACTCCAACTCCAAATCCAAGTGTGGGACCGACTATCTTAACATGACATGGGTTTTGATCAGTACCACATTGGATACAGACAAATGGAATTCCGAAGTCGCACATTTTTGGGCTGGGTCGAGCTTCGATCAGGAATTGGAGGGAAGGAAAGCGATAGGATGAGGTGCGATAACAAACTTGAACTAAAATGTGAAACTTGAAGGCGGTTCTAATTCGGGGGAATGGATCAATTGATGGGTATTATCTAATATGGATGAAAGGAGATGGGAATCGTGCAGAATTCCATGGAGTGTCATCAATTTGCAGGAAGAGATGAGATGAGATGAAAAGAATGGATGAGAAGATGGGAAAGAAAGATGATCAGATTTGCATTGACTAGATGGATACTATGTATGTTATTAGTACTTACTAGGTATAGCTGAAGGAAGATTGAATATCTTGGCTATTAGAGCTCAGAGACACTTGCAAAGCTTGATGAAAGTAAAAATTCATGGCATTTACCTGCCTACTAGGTATTCATTCGTAGGTGCCAAGAAAGTAAGTAGTGTGGTATCACTGGTATAGTTGCTTAGATCAAAGAGAGGTTTGGTGAATTACATTAACTACTAAATTCATTATTAGCTGTTCATACTGACGTAGTGATCTGCCAGTAGACTATAATGTTTTACATCTACCGGTATCAATTCGGAAGGCTTTCCATTGGTCGAGGAGAGCACAGGGCATTAGATCGGTCTGATTCATCTATTTCGTCTGAATGTCTGGGGATGAAGGTGTTTTATCTGGGGATATGTTTCAAGGTTAATAAGAGGATTTACCTTTCTTTTTTTCTGTGCTGGAGTATGGAGAAGCGAGAGAAGTGTACACAGTAGGTAGATGGGGGTTTTCAATATGAATGTGATGATAGGTTAGACTTCCCGTCAATTGTGAATGGATATTTTTGAAGAAAGGTTACTATTACCTAGAAAAGCGTGACGATCTAGATAGTACGTAGTCCACAGTATGCAATTCCAAGGCCGGGGGACACCTAAGAGATGAATAAGAGTTGATGACCATCTACTTTCCCTGGTAGTTAGATTGATATCCCCTCGAGGACTCTGGGTAACTGGTATCTAGTAGGCATATGGAATGAAACTTGGAGTCATCTACTACGGAATAGGTGGGAAGTTAGAAACGTCTGTAGCCATTCATCCGGTTGCTCATGCATGACCAGCAGAGAAAGTGAGAGTGAGTCGAGTAAACGGAGCGGAGGACGAAGGTACTCGTATGTATGTGTACACGGTACATTCTCTTCCTTCTCCAAAAGTGGAGTGTGAGTGAAATGGTTCGAGGGAAAATCGAAGAGATATTCTTGATAACTGATACCGATACCGACTGGGTACGGGTTAGATACTGCTTCGCTGGACCTCGATAACTTGTAAATTTGATAAATACCCACCCACTAGACAGGTAGAAAGGACATTAACTTTCCCCTACAGCTAATCAAGTAACGCCATTCGATAAACTTTACCTAATCAATATAATCACGTGATCTTATCCGGACCCTCTATCGAAAAATAAATCCCGATGTACTCCCTTCCTTCCTTTCCGCATCAATTCTGACGTCGAAAACCGACATCTTCGCAACCCTCGCAACCTGCGAACCATTCGCAACCATACCGCAACAACACACCACCTGCATGACATATCGCTTTCACACTTCACATTAAGAAGGTGAACGAGTTGTTTTTGGCAGCGATGACTTCATCACAGATGGCAGAGGCCATTCCTCAACCTGTCGCGCCCGTTGCATTAATGTCTTCAGGCATTCATCACTTCGACGCTGATCGTACCGAACTGTTCGCATACCCCAAACCCTCTCACGATAATAACAGTCCCGTCTTTGCAGAACAAGACAAGTCTGTTGCCGCTGCAATGGATACAGCTCTTCCTTCGAATTCAGCCCAACCATCGACAAGTCTCCTTCCCGAGATCAAGACTTCAAGCACTCCTGAAGAGGCACTCAACACTACGAACGAAATGGGAAATACAGGATCAGAAAAACATACTGAGAACAATGCTTCCGCACAGCCCAAAGTGCCAATCGATTCCGCAATGGCGATGGACAATGCGACAATTAAACGGGAGTCGCATGAAAAAGAGGCCAACGAGACCAACCCCGAGATTTTTGGACAACTCGGTCCAGAATCAGCAGGGCAACCCACTCAGGAACAACTACAATCGTCAAATATTGGACCCCTTGCCTCATTTCCTCCTTATAACACGACAAATGCACTTGTAGATCCTGCGAATATATATGGAGCGGATATGAATTTGGATGGCAATGTATGGGCCTATGGTCAGACTATGGACTTTCCAAACGTCGCGCCCAATCCGGACTTTTATAATCGACAACCTTTGATAGACCCGGGAGTGCAGTTGGATGGTTATGCAAAGCTAGCTTTTGATGATTCGGACTTTTATATGACTACACATGAATTGATCATAGGTCGTGATCAAAATGGGTATAACAATATGAGAAGATATGAGAAGGAACATGAGGCAATGAATACATCAGAATTCTCCTCGTTTAAACCAACCATGCAGATCGAAAGTCATACTGGTGGTATCATGGATCCTTGGGTAAAATTGGCAGACAGGCGAAGTCGCAAGGGAAAAAAGAGTAAGGGCTCAAGATCTATCAGCGGAAACAGTGCTAGTGCTGGATCACTTTTTCCTCCTGCGAATGGAAACATGTCACTTCAAAACCCCGATCCGCATAGTTGTCCTGTCCTCCATGTACATCCTCCATTCAACAAAGGTGTAGCGGGCTTCAAAGCAATATCCAGAGAACACGTTAAAATATTCTATGATGACCATCAAGATAGTTTCAAAGTAGAATTCCTTGGTAGAAATGGAGGTTTCGTGGACGACATATACTTCGAGCCTAAGCAGATAGCACCATTAGTAAGTGGTAGCAAATTGCAAATGGGCTTTGTTTTCTTTAGATTTCTGTTACCAGATGTCGTAATCGATGACACAGGGTTCCAGTATCAAGAAGAACCTGAAGAAGAAGCAACGGCTACTGCGACAACAACTTATTCGGAAGGAGGGAAAGAAATGAGTCTTAGTTTTGATGATGCACCACGAGCTGGTGATCAGAGGTCTACCGACAGCGAATGCTCTTCAGAATATGAGAACGATTTTGCCGTGGACGAAATTCCTGATAACGAAGTGGACAGAGCAGAGGATCTCGATCCTTTGTACCCCTTAGGAGTAGCAATTGACGAAGAACAAGACGCCGAGGAAGCAGAATCCCCTGTTGACAACTTAACGGACAGTAGCCCACAGCCTACAAAGAAACGTGGGCCAGGACGCCCGCCTAAGAATGGTGTGATGTCCAAACGGGAACAACAAATTGCTAAGAAGGAAGCCCTGGAAAGAGAGAGAATTCAAGAAGAAGAACGGGCGCAAGAAGAGCAGAGGGTTGAAGAACAAAATCAAGCAACAGCCTCAAAAACTGTACCTGGTAAGAACAAAGTTGGTCGACCAAGAAAGCATCCACGACCAGATGTTACTGAAGAAGGACCGCCACGACAAAAACGCAAATATACCAAGAGACAATCAGGCCCCAAGACCCCTGAGGAGGCTGATGAGGACAGATTTGATGATGATGGCAATTGCATACAAGCCAAAAACGGAAGCTCCAGAAAGGTCGCTTATGTTTTGAAAGAAGTTACACACAAAAGGGAGGACTACACTGCGGATCAACTTTCAAGGCCACCAAAGAATTATCTTCAGGTCATTTTTGAGCTTCTAAAAGAAGCAGAGCAACCTTTGTGTCTTCCACAAATCTATAACGAGATGGAGGTCCAGTATCCGTATTACGCCTTTCAAGAATCAAAGGGGTGGCAAAGCAGTGTGAGGCACAATTTAGGACAGCATGATTGCTTTGAACGTACTAAACGTGCCGGTAAAGGCTGGGCTTGGACTCTGAAGCCCGGTTCCAGTTATCTAAAGGAGAAGAAGAAGAGAGCACCTTCACCTCCAGTCGCAGGTGGAAATCAACCAATATATCAAGCTGGCCCATCAGTTTCTGGTTACGGTCAACCTCCGCCTGGATATATGTTGAATCCCAATTTATGTCATAATCAGATGAACCCACATGCACAAGGGGAGTATCAACAATACCAACCAGGCCAGCCCTACATGGGCCCAAATCCTCACTATTCTCCTTATCCCCCTCAGGGTTACCATCCACCTCAAGGTATTCAGCCACCTTTTATCCCTCCAATGGCACCTCAATTGGTACCTTCTGCGCCTGCTTCTTATAGTTCCCCTTATGCTCCGAAGCCACCTGCCGCTGGAACACAATCTCAAGGCACTCAACAGCAAAATCTACAGCAAACTTCGCAACAACAGCCTCAACAACAACAGCCTCAACAACAACAGCCTCAACAACAACAACCTCAACACCAACAGCCTCAACACCAACAGCCTCAACACCAACAGCCTCAACACCAACAGCCTCAACACCAACAGCATCCACATCAACAGGCCCAACAGCAGCAGAATCCAAATCAACAACATCCACAGCATCAACAACCATATCCACAGCCTCAGCAGTCTCACTATCAACCACCGCAGCCACCGAAAACGAACCAAGCACCAGTGCAGTCACAGCAACTACAACCACCAACTGGCCACCAAACCCAGACTGCTGCTCATGCTGCACCACAAGTTACGCATGGAGCTGTACCAGTCGCGACTCCTCAAAAAAGGGTCATACCTCCTAACCTGGTCGCTGCCATAACCGCATATCGTAACCATGTTGCCAACTTGATCCGTAAACGAGCTCCAAATGATGCTGAGGCAATTGTTGACAAGGCCATAAATCGAGTCTATGATGGCACCGAAGAAGATCGTTCTCTTGATAGTACCGAACATGAGATGAAACTCATCAATGGTGTTCTAAATATTCTTAAGTTGCCCCCTGTTCCTCGTGCACCTCCTGCCAACCAAAATCATGCTCAACCACAGCCTGCTGTACCGCAACAGATTCCCCAGCCGCCGATCAATCAGAACAAACCTCAAGGCAACATACCTCAGCAACCTGGAAAGCCTATTGGAGCAGACCTTCCAAAACAAACGATCATGCGACCATCGTTCTTTGGAACCCATCAAAATCAATCCAGTAACTCTTCTGTACCCAGACCACCATTGATGACACCAGTCCTGCAAAGAAGTAATTCAGGATCTGCCCCTACCCCTTCCAGAACAACTACAGCCTCATCCTCTTCTGTGCCATTTAATCCCTCAAATCCGCCACCACAAACCGCTGTTTCAGGAAACAACAAAATTAGTGGTACCACGCCACCTGTCGCAAGCACAGTCAATCAATCCATTGCACAGCCTGTTGATCAAAATGGAACAAACGAGAGAGGAGCTAATCAGATTGGAACAACTCAAATCGGAACCAATCGACATGGAACAAGTCAGATTGGAATAAATCATGGGCTCAAAGCCGGTGAAACGTTGACAGAGGCCGGTTTCGTACGAAGTTTCCCTCACCCACCAATCTCCAGTTGATGGGGCATGTTACTTGAAGTAACATATCATTCAGATATAGAGTGAGTATCTGAAAAAAAAAATCAGTTATTTCGATTCCATTCAATTGGGCAAGCATGCCCACGTACGGAGTATATATTTGAACTTAAAAAGTTTTTATTTCATTGCATAAGCACATGATGATTATATGAAAGGAGACGGGTTAATTTCATTTTTTAATGCGGTGTTGGGAGCAACGGGACAACTTGGGTCTTTGTCGCTTTCATCGATTTGAAATGGGTTTGGCCAGACTTGGCATTGGGATTGGGTATGGGCGTGGGCGTGGATCTGGGCATTAACGTTATACGAATTGATGCACGGCATATGTCTAGCTAATGTATTAGGGAAAGAGTAGGCGTTCTTATAGATATCCCATCCGCGAGATGATTAGCGTACTCTAGCATACACGATCCTGCATAGCAGCGGTGATTCTTTTCTTTTTGGGAATGGGAACTTGGAGCTTGGCCACAAGCATAAGGGATGGCGTTTTTGAATTTTGTTTAGTTTTCTTTGTCGTGTCGATTGGTTGTTCTTTTATGAACAGATAGTATCGAATGCCTCTTTTGGCTCTTTACTCGGGCTTTCAGGTGCCGGTTTTGGGTATAACACGTAGCTTGGTTTGGTGGCATCTAGCTCCAGATCGGGGCAAAGCGTTGACTTTGGTGATTCTTTTGATTTCTTACCTTGCTTGTTGGGTCAATGACCCAGACGTTAAGAGGGAAAATGGAGAATATTTTCTCGAGGTCTAGCGGGTGTTTTGATATGGAGACATTACCCAGATACGCATTTACGAATAGGGAAGAGAAGAAGCAGCGATGGGATGGAATGGAATATGTATATATGAGTCAATAGGAATTTGTTTTGTTAAGTTTCATGGGTTTTCAGACCCTAAGAGTCGTCTGGGATGTGAGCATGTGATTTTGTATGTGTTATAGGGGTTTGAATGATCGTGTGTGGATTACAATGATGTATGAGGTGTGAATTTTCATATTCATTTCGTAAGTACGTCTTATTGTTGTACTTTAATACTTTTCATCGTTCGTTCGGAACATGTATGATGGATGATTCATAGTGCATACTTACCTGCTATTTCAGACTCAAAGTTTTTCTCTCACTAGGTACTTTGTGTTTTTGTTGTGTGTACCCAAGTGGCGTGGATTGTTGATCATAGTATATCCTTTGTTATAAAATAGGATGGATGAGTTTGTTAGTATTGGGGAAGTGGTTTAGGTTGCTTTGGGGAAATATGATTACAAGATGAGGGGAGCTTTGGGGGGAGTATGGGATGGGATGGGATAGAATGGGCTAGTGGGTGAGTGTGCATGGAACGAGATGATGTGGAATATATTTGCTATGTGAAGATAGATGTTTTGGGGGGGGGTTGGTTGGTTAGGGTGGATATATGTAGATGTTCAATTGTGGGATTGCGGGTTTGGGTGTATGGGATGGGAGTTGGCGAGATGGTGAGATGGAATGGTAGGAAGAGATGATGTAGAAGAGAGTGTACATAGATTGATTACTTGTGATATTTCAGCTGAAAGCTTTTTGAGTTGATTTTTGGCTAGATGATTGGATGATTGGATTGGATTGTATGATAATGAAGTAGGTAGGGATATGAATCAGATTGGAGTAGGATAGAATAAAATGAGAAATATATAAGCGCCATGCACTTTGACTTGTTTTCAAGAGATGAATTCGGATCGAAAGTTCGCGGAAGAAGCTAGAAATGAAAGATGAGGGATTGATTGATTGATACTCGTTTACATGCTGAGAAATGTGTATCTTCGTATATGGAGAGCAGGGGAGAAACAATGGGGGTTTGAGTATTCTTGTCTTGGGCAATGAGATGTAATGTACGGGATGAACGAATTACATGGGATGGTGGATTTTATAGATTGAGAAGGTGCATGTCAATTGTGGTATGAAGTTTAGAGAGGATAAGATAAGTATTAGAGGTGTTTGGATATAGGTGTTTGAATATTTATCTGTCTTGCTATACGGAAAGAACGAAGGTGGTTGTTGATGACGTGAGTTTGTATAAAATTTCTGAGCGGCGAGTGAGTTTGTTAGGTATATATGGAAAAGGAACTGGATGATATGTAGTATGACACATACTACATCGCACATTAGACAAACACCTATTCCAAACTCTATTTCGTTGATCTATTGATGTGCAGTTTTGATGTATGCGCATCAACTACGTTTGCTTAAATTTTAGATTTTACCTTGGTTTACCCTCACAGATATCCATCGAAGCATGTAATCTGGATTATCCTATCCACTTCCGAGGAGCTATACATTCATTCTACATATATCTACAACCCAAGACCATGTCATTGGTAGAAAGGCAAGAACATTGCATTCTCATTACAGATATGCATCAGCATCATCACTAGCATAACAAACCCACACAATCTGTATATACCATTTCATCAACTCACTCTTCCTCCATCAAGAAAGTCCGTCCCCCTTTACCTTGCCTCTCCACTTGACTCTTTTCTTCCTCCTCCTATATTTTCCTACTTCTTCCGATCCGACCCCATATCTTACCCATCTCACCTCATTCCACCTCATATTATTCCATCCGGTACGCTCCGAGATCAGAGTTCCGACCCTGCATATACAGGCGTCAATGCCGTTTCTTATGTGAGACAGCAGACTTTCCGTACCAGTGGAAGTAGAACCGTATATTAGATCTACATGCAGTGTTGTGGTATACTAGTATAGTAATATTCTTTGTGTTATCACTCCGTGTTATATCTCATTTCTTTAATGGGTGCATATAACATGTTTGTGACACCGTCAGATAGATATAGTGCGTGAGTACTGGGTTGGCATTCGATTGCACAGATGCATTTATACACAGGGAGATGTGAGATGCATATGTACAACTTCCGATGAATAATATGTGATAGGATTCTTACTTGGTGGAGGGATGATTGCCCATTGAAGATAAATGAGAAAGCAGCTTTGTATGCCCTGCATATTAATTCTCTATCGGTTATTCAGTTACTTGTCAAGTGGCCTCGATGCAACAATACTTGGAATGAGATCGGATGAACGAAAATTCTTAGCATAGCAGTCATATCGTATTTTGTTTCATGTCGGTGAGTGCATTGATGTCGTGGTCGCTGCATGACGAGCCGCGATTGAATTTGCTGATTGCAGCGCTTCGAGGCGGGCGTCCTCGAAGTGGACAACATAGTTTTATATTAGAGCCAACTGCATCACCGCTTTTTAGCCACAATTCAGCATCCTTGATCAATAAACGGTTTGAAAAGCTTGACAACCAATCAGCCAGCTATGCGTTCTAAGTAGTCACCTGACTTGATGCTTAATTTCGTTGTCATTTCAAATGCTCATTTCATTGAAACTACCAACACTGCCCGAAAGCTAGCTCTTGGGGCTTGATTATCGCTATCGACATATTAATTCTTGCAGGTGTAACGGAACAATCTACTCTTTGCAATGCTAGTACCGCTTCCCGTTCTTTTATATATTCTCACTCTATCTTCGTGATACGCTCATCACATCACTGGGGGCCAAAAAATGATAAAAAGCCGCGAAATATCTCGCGCTGCACGAAGAGACAGCTCGTCATGGGTGTAACTCCAACGCATGATTCTCGGACGTAGCAAATTTCTGCAGGGTCTGTCATAAATCCCGGAAGCCGGATCACACATGCATGGCCGGGGATTATTATGGTGTTGGGGAGAAGGGTTCGGTCGTTTATTATCCGCGTTGGGCGCGTCAAGGGAAGGAAATTCGATGCGACGACATGAAAAGGAAAAGGGTAGACTCAAACCCAACGATAAAAATCTCTGAGGATAATACAAGTTCCAAGTTCAATAATAGCTGAGATAGGAAGGATCTGATGACATCTATTGGATGCTCGTATCTGGTCAGACGTATCACGAACCACTGTGTGTAGCCCGTTTATTTGTGAAAACCGGCATCGAGGCATCTCGAGTTGAATGATCAGAAAAATTCATGCTCTCATGGCCGGGCAAACCTTCCCATAATTTTCCAGTATGGCCGTCTGCTGATGCCAATGATATAGGGCTCTGGATGATAGTTACTGCAAAAAGATAGAAGGCCAATAGGGTGACACTTCATCACGTGAATTGGATGGTGACAGTTCCAAGTTGCACGTAACTATCCCATTTCTCTGTGTACTGCGCGGAGAAAGCTTCGAAAATGTCATCGAACCCCCACGAACGTTAGGTTGATCAGTTGTCAAATACTTCTGACAAATATGATATCTATCCTGAGCTTCTGATGTTTCTTTGAATAGGCGAATATAAAAGAGTGTTCACTTCATAGACTACAGAATCCAGTCAACTTCGCCCAAACAACATTGTCCAGGCCTCATAATTGATTGGAGTGGAAGTATTGAGTCTCAAATAAGCCAGCAGGCATGAGACACCAAACAATATTGTGGAATGAATGTTTTGAGCTGGTACTCAAAAATGGAGGAAGGAATTAGACGATCGATTTCCAATGGCCACGAAACACCAACTTCGGTAGACAAGGACAAAGAAAGAATGCATATCTATGATGGACAAGTAATCAGGGAAATTGTGAAGGATGGAGGGATTGATTTCCCATTTGGAATACGCTATCCATACAAGCTGGGGCAACCTTCTTCGCCAATTCTAGGGTTTGAGTGATAATTAGCGGACCTGCGATAAGAGAAAGAAACCCCTCCGAGAATTAGATTATGATCGGTGATCTGCAGATACAATACTATCTTTGTCGACTTTCTTGAAACAGGTATGCTTCTTGATCACCCAAGACTCAACATTTCGTTTTGAATCCCAAGATCGAAATTCAAGAAACACCAGACTAAATCTGGATCTTCGATGGAACCCAACTTTATTAGCCAAAGAATTTAGGTTGCATGTGGAAATTCTGAGAAGCATTTCGTAGAATTTGATTGATGTCCTCGTGATATTAGATTTTTGCATTAAATCTTCCTGCTGCAGTTCTTCGTAACACGACTGTATTCTTGCTGCAATGTAATTAACCTCATATTCCAGCAATGGAATGCCACGAGAGATACGCATCGGAGGCGGTTTATAGCGTTACATTTCATTTTCACGGTTAGTACCCTTTAGTATCTTATGATTACTAGGGAGTACGTTGGAACCAATGGGGTGTGAGAGGACAAACTCGCCAGTCCGCCTCAACAAGGCGATTAAGATATTGGCTTCCAAACACCACTATTGCCCGGAATATCATATTGTATGCAGACCTCTCTGCGGATACGTGTAAGGTTGCTACGACCTTTGATTCAGCTAGTCGACTTAGCAACAGTCTATAAATCCACAAAATCGTCCGATTTCAATAAGACGTTAAATGAGGGGCGTTGATAGCTGCTGATGTCTATTGCCACCTCCTTAGTCGTAACAAGGCTCTTATAAAATGCCCGAACATCCATACAAAAGAGTGTCATAGACGAGTGTATATAGTGATACACAACCAGTCCATAACCCCTTAAACCTCCTGCTTCGCACTCATCTTTCTGCCATACCATCGCCAAGTGCAATGTCTTCTCAACTTAATCGGTACTGGATACCCAATCTTGATATAAATAAGAGAGTCATCACCAAGGAGATTCAATACTATCTGGGACCAGAATCCACGCTGAGGCCATATACACGAGACGTACGTGATGACGATTTCAGCTGCCAAATAATCATACTCATACGGTACATAGGGAGAAGACGGATATCTGATTAGCACACCAGGAGAGTGCTTGACAGATGTGAGCACAATTATGTACAACCAACCGTCTTAGAGTCTCGATTAATCTGATATATAGGAACAGATAGACGATATCTGTATCAAGTCAAAGGAGCTCTGGGAAAAGCAGGCAGCAGCTCGAGCCAAGAAGGAATCAGACAAGCAACTGAAACGGCCTCTGCACCAGCCAGTCGTAATTTCAAGAGGCTCAAAGCCCCGTTCCTCAAGATCCCATCGCCCGGATCATAAAAGTTCTTAATATTCGAATGGCCTAGACTTAAAAAAGGATGAAAATTATTCTCAAGACGCAAATATCCTGCGCGTGGATATTTCAGCGAGAGCTAAAGAGCATGGCATCGTTCCTGTTTCATAGAACAAAAGAGCTCGAAGTCTGCCAAAGGGCAAAGATATTAAGCTGCTGCGGAAGTAACAATGCATAGCGCTTGCATACATCTTGTTGTTGCCGTTGATATCCTGGTTTCTTATGTAGCCTTTGCATCTTTTGGAGGTGTGTTTGTTGGCGTATAGTCTGCATATTCTTTAACACATCTGCCATTGTTCCAGTATAGGGAAATTCATATGTTGGCACAACTTTCCTCGAGATGGAAATTCTGTGAATAGAAATCAGCATCCAGAAGCCACTCTTGTCAATTGTAACTTTTTTTGACAACACGAACCAAAAGTGCCACTCCCTCCATGGAGGCGATGAAAGGTCTTGTGACTCTTATTGCCGTGTCTTCCACTAGAGTTATAATCGCTAGATGCACCACTAGTCTTAGTCGTATTTGATGCAGCCGACATTAGGTCCCGTTTGAAGCCTCACAATCCCAGATATCTGGGTTGAGGTGAGGCTGCATTTTAAATGCGACCGAATAGCATGTTAGGCTGAGTTAATCTGCAGCCAAGAACGAAGCGAGACATTAGATGTAGTTGCAGCTCTCTATCCTTGTACTGGATTTACCCGGATTTGGCGACATGATTATTTTGGTAAATGTATTGACAATGTAGACTTTCCCATCGTCCCGAGACAGCAATTGTTGTTCCATTTAGTATTGGAATTTATCATTTCTTAATAACGACAGGAGCAAATTCTCAAGACCGACTTGATGAGGCCTTTTGACGCCAACACAAACTGAACTCAAAACAAATAGTGACCACATGAGATTTGGGTACTCGAAGCCGTATATTTACTTATGTGCCCCTAGGGCTCTGAATGATCTATAAGGCCTAAGAACTTTGATCTGAGTCGGTTTGTAGGAACGAACGTTAGCGCGGCTCCCAATATCAAAACCACTCTGACATTGCCGGAAATATTGCCAGCATAGTGATTGCATACAATGGAATATGAAGACCATGCTAGGCTTCTTGGGAAACAATTGTGATTCTGGGAAGAGTGCGTTTTTCACACGAGTTTGGGATGGCTCGTGAGGATCCTCATATTTGGCTCGAGTCTCAAACAAACTTGAACAGTTAATTTCTGCAAAATCGTACTGCAACTTTGACGGTCCTATGCGTCCAATGTCAAGGCGTAAGACTTCTTTCATATGCATCGAGTTGTAAAGGACCGGATGACCACAAAGCGATTGCTTGAATAGCAATATCAGTCCCTGATTCACGAGTCTTGATATCTTGTGGCTCATCTGTGTTTGCTACATAACCCACAACATTGACCCACTCTCCAACCCGAGTTTCATGGTGGTTTAAGCTATTCAGCAGAAGTTGAACATTGACAGAGGCTTTGATCCCATTACCAATAGGAAAGTTGTGTTCCAAAGTAAGAACAGCAGAGCTTCTGTTATAGTTTATCACACTATATAAGTGCAATGTTAGTCTATTTCTTTTTGAATTATAAGCCTTTCCAAATTGCTCTGCCGAGTACTTGGGGAACACCCCTTAGAACTGGTGAATAGCTAAGACCTGACAGAGAATGTATGTTTTTCCAATGAGAGAAAGAGATTGCTAATATACATTGTAGACAATGAAAATTTTGTCGAAAAATAAAGAGGAGCAAACTAGGAGGGATATTAATCATACCACCCTAAGAATCGAACTTTGTCCCCTTCTGAAAACCGTTGAAGGTCGGCAAGTAATATGAGTTTCGAAGGATTAGGTCCCGAATATTGTTTTGACATATTATTCGTTCTAACAGCCAGCTCAGAGAAATTACACTATAGGACTATAAAAAAAAAAGGTATTGGTGTTGTTGATTCTTGTGGTGGAAGTTTACCTGACATAGATGAAACTCGAGATCACCAGATAGCTGGGCTGGAACAAAACATTACACGTGATTCATGTTTAATTTTGCGCTAACCTGATATAGACGAGGGGACTAGCGTCATCATCAACGCCATGTTACCACACTTTCATCATTCACTTCAATCAACTATGCGAAACAACCGTAGGCAACCACAAAAACATTTATAGAATCCCACCAACGAAACATACTCGACACTACTGATTCTATCTTCTACGGCCAGCCAACTCGTCTACTTGCCTTTACCGTCTTTGTCCGACAAAGTCAAGCTCCCCACTATCAAGTTCAGATAGCACGTCTTATCATCAAACCCTAATCATTAGCCGCCACTTCGATCGATTTCGAGCCCTTACAATCTCCTCATAATTTGCGAAACAGCGCTGGGGACTTGAAAGTCCTGCCAACTCAACGATTTCGAGTCCGCATAGTATCGTGAAATATGTCGGGTGTTTGGGGCTGGTTTGGGGGAGGAAGTGCGGCGAAAGCGAAGGACTCCCCGAAGAATGCTATCTTAGGACTACGTGCGCAGCTTGAGATGCTGCAGAAACGAGAGCGACATTTACAGAGCCAAATGGATGAACAAGATGCGATAGCTAGGAAAAATGTAAGCACGAATAAGAATGGTATGTTCTATTTCTCCAGACACTATATATAGCAGCTGCTGATATTTGGTTATTTCTTAGCTGCGAAGGCTGCGTTGCGCCGGAAGAAGCAACATGAGCACACTCTAGATCAAACTATTGCACAGATATCGACGTTGGAACAACAAATATACTCTATCGAAGCAGCCAACATCAACAAGGAGACTCTCCTTGCCATGGAGAAAGCCGGCAAGGCAATGGCAGCTATCCATGGCAAACTCGATATCAATAAGGTTGATGAGACAATGTATGTTTTTTGTGGTTCGACGACGACGGTGGTAAAGGCTAATATATATACTTTTAGGGACAAACTTCGAGAACAGCATGCTTTGGGCGAAGAAATCGCTCAAGCTATTACGAGCGCACCTCTCGGCGAGCCTATAGATGAGACTGAGCTCGAAGACGAATTGGCGGATCTTGAACAAGAGCAGTTAGACAATAAGATGCTAAAGACTGGTTCCGTGCCAGTCTCTGATGAGGTTCATAGGTTGCCATCTGTTGTGAACGGAGAGGGTGAGTTTCTAGTACCAGTATTATTCTTATGTTAAAAAGTTGCTAATTGTTCAATTTCAGTCAAATCCAAAGCACCCGTTCATGTTGAAGAAGATGACGAAGAGGAAGAACTCCGAAAGCTACAAGCTGAGATGGCCATGTAATTCAAATAACAATAAATCCAATATTGAGCGAGTGGGTCGTTGGGCTTTCTGGTTTTATCAGTTTGTTTTGTGTATGGGGGGAGGCGTGCGAGATTCTTTTGGGAGGGCACTAGCAGCTTCAATTTTCAATTTGCACAAGAGAGGATATCGGGAGTTTCGAATCCATTAACTGCGACGGCGTTTGGGATTTGCTGTACATCTGTCAAACGGACACCGAATACCTTCTATTACCAATAAACTAGAATAACATCTACCAACAATTTAATGATGCATGTGGTTACCAATACCTTCCTTGACGTTCGCTCACATGATAGTCATTCACCGATCTGATACTGTGGATGGATAGATAGATACACACAGACATACATAGGTACATGAAAGCTAACGTAGGTATCCATCATGCCAGCCTCGCTTTTGAGTCATGTTTTACTCTCCTAGCTGAAACATTGGAGAGTCGACGACTAGCAAGTACAAGTAGTAAAACACATCAAGATTCTGTTTGAGAGGGAGTGTGGTTATTCTTAAAGACTTAGATCCAGAAGTAATCCTAGTTGACCCCGTTCATTCGGATCATTTTTTAGTTATCGAATTAATTATAGAAATTCTCTTTGTTCAAGCCACTCTGAATTGTTCGAATTCTAACCACTCGTTTTTGGCCTTTTCGTACCCACACCACCAACACAACATCTTGTGCATCAATGCATCAAATATATGTAAGGTCTCACAATAAGTTATACCCCTCATTTTCTAGATGCTTGAAGTAAGTTGAATTGACATATCGGTATCATCGACGGAATCGCCAAAAGAGCTAGATCCTCACCCCCTTGAAGATTATCGTACATCGGATACCCGGGCACCCAAAAGGATGGGTACAGTAACTCAGTAAGTACTAGGCGATAACTTATGTAGGTAGGTACTTCATGTAATGTATCTGTACTGACAACTCATCACGTCGCAAACACTATTCTGGGCATCAGCACCAAAGAATTCCACTGGTGTGGCAAAGGGTTACAATTAACCAATATCGTATGGATGACATTGGATGCCATCATCATTTATTGGGGGGCCGAAGAGGGGTTTTGCTTGTTGTGATTTTCTTACTTTTCTTTTTGCTTATCACATTCTGATTTCTGTCTTGATTCCACGATGATTGACAGAGGATAAAGCTGGATATATAGGATGATCATTTATTTACTCATCCACTGGCTTGATTGGCTTCACTGGTAGGTGATCGCAAGCATCAAAAAGATGAGGCAGGTATATAAGGCGGCTGACCACGTTGCACAACCCACCAGGTCAATCTGCACGGCGCCGCGAAACATTTTCGGGTAGCAGTCTCGTACATCAAGATATTCGATGAATTAATTGATTGACGATTGATTGATTGATTTGACCGGTAGGCGTGGTTGCTGGTTGGTTATTTAATACAATCATCAATCATCGTCCCACATCATCCAGTGACATCTGCGGTCTACCCCGTTTAGTACGACGTAGACGTATGAATTGAATGGAGGCTGCAAGCAGCAGGGATTTTGGTCCATTTTACCGGATTTATTCCTGCACATTACAATTTTTTTCTCTCTCTGAACTTTGAATTTTCTGACTGCACGGTCTTGTCCACTTTCTCATCAATGTGCAGCTTGGTTGGGCTGCACTCGGGGCCCTGCAACATAGATCGCGGATTGCCTCGAAAATCACATTTGATTATTATCATTGATTTGATTGCGACGTGGCTGCAATGTATCATATTGGGCCAATAATGGTCGAGCACGACCATGATTTAGGCAAATTTCTAATAATGCTGTCGACAAACATTGGCAAATCGTGGGATTACCGTGGGACTTCTGGCCCATCTCTATCTTATGCTCTGAGGAAAAAGTGTTATTGTACTCTCTTTTGTCAATGACTTCCTCCTTGTACCTACCAATGAAACTAATCTTCGTACGAAATTCCGTTCTTGCTTCCGAATCTTTCTTTTAGTCTTGATTTTATTCACCATTCTATTTTCCTATAGGCGAATTATTTTTCGCCTTGCCATCTGCTGATATAAGTCATCTTGGATTCTTCCATTATTGTACCGTCTTCCATTCCAACCACGTTGAATCGATTCTCGGGTGGTAACCAAACCTTTGTCACCCAAAGATTGGGCACCCGCATTCAACCGGAGGCAACCCCCCTCGTCATTGTAGACCATGGGAAGAAAGGATCAAGAGAACAATAAGAAGGACGTTCAATTCGTTCATCACGTAGAGGATTCTGCATCTTCTGTTGCTTGTGAAGAGGTACACACACCCTCAGTATGAATATTTCTTTTTGTCCAGCCAGAACCACGGCCATTGGTAGTAATTGGTCCTCAATCCAGACAACTCAGTGGGCGAAACCTTTAGTATTGGATACATCAAATCCTAAAATTGCCAGATATTATGAGGGGAAGACAGGTAAGCTTTCCTGATTCCATGTCTGCATCTCGAATTTCCATCAAAAGTCTGCAATCTTCTCCACAATTATTGTTTTTAATCAATCGAACAATCATGAATGTTCCACTTCCATTAAAAATGCAACGTTGAATGCTCCGATAGATCTAGCTTTGCATTGCTAACCAAAAATACAGACGACGAAGATGACGAGGAGGGTGAGGGTAATGATAATGATAATGAGAATCAAGATAAATTAGAGGGAATACCAGAAGAGCCAATAGAAACGAAAGAAACAAGCGATACCCCGCTGTCTGAAAGTGAGGATGGAGATCCACCTTCACAGGAGGAAGACATCTCCAAGGAGAAAGGGAATGAAGATATACATGACTTAGAAGAACAACCGCTGTCTCCCGAAAGCGACAAGCCCCTATCGACGACAGGTGAATTGACTGACTCGAAATTGATAGAGTCGACCGCGACTTCGGAAGAAAGTCTAGCGAATGATAGTACAGAAGCAGGTATGGAAACATCTTCTATCTTGGGGTACTTTGTATCATCTTCACGTGTTCATGAATACCACTTGTTTGATCTCATCTTTTCATACTTAAGATTGCCTTATTGACTTTGAAACAGTGCCGGAGCCAGGATCGAATCATAGTTTAGAAAATCCATCCGATCCTACTCCAAATACATCAGATGACATCCCTCCTTCCGTTCCAGACGCTCCACCACCAGAAGACATACGGGACGACAGATATGCACTTAGTAAAATAGAATCACATCAATCGCATCCGTCAAACCACACAGTTCGTTTCGCCGACGATATAGCATCAACAAGTTCCAGATCAAGAGAGAAGAAGAGCAAGAGAAGCAGTAAGGATAGAAAGCCATCTGTGCCCGAAGTTCCACGCAAACCCGAGTCTCTATTGAGTAAGAGGATCAAAAGGAGCAGGGAAAGCTCACGGTCTACTGAAGATGGACTACGAGTACCACCAGAAGTTCCCGACCCGCCCCAGCGGAAACATGCTGAGCTCGAAAAACATTCGAGGGGGGAGAAAAGGAAGGCAAAGGACAGGAAAGAGAAAGGCGACGCTAAGAAAAGTAGGAGCAAAGGAAGGGATGCTTCTAAAATGGCATTAGTCCCAATTCTGAAACCCTCGGAAACGGCAACACATAGTGATGAGTTCATACCAGCTGAAAATAATGGTGATGAAGCAGTCCAGGAGCCACAGACAATTCCAGATGTTGTTCAGCCAGTATCAGGTGAGTACTACTATTGTTTGATAAAAGTTTTGAAATATCAATCTGCGGTCAATGATCAGACGTCATGAACAAGATTTACTAACTATCACCTCAAAAGATCCAGACCCCCCACCTCTACCAGAAGACAACCCAAGTGAGAATATAGAGGCTGAAGAAATATCACCAGTACAAGAGAACTTACCAACACAGCCTGAAGAACATACAGATACCGAGGAGACACCAATCAGTGACGCACCAGCTTCAGATGACATAAAGGAGGAAGAAGAGAACGTTGCGAGCATGCAGAACGATCAGGCCGTCTCCGAGGAACATGTAGTTACAGGTGAGGGATCCACAACTGATGTGCCAATAGCAGAAGATTCACAGATGGGAACTGGAGATATTCCGAGCACAGAAGACACTCCCGCTGCCATCGAGAAATCTCATGTTGATGATGAAGTTCCTGTTACAAACGAAACGGTTGAAGTTGAGGATGATAAGCCCACTGCTGCAAATGGGACAGAGGTTAATACGGAAGAGCCCGACAATAAGGTTGTTTCGGAAGCTACAGTGGAAAGTCCTATCAATGAAGAGGAGAACCCTTTACCGGATGAACATGATTCACAAGATCCTGAAGTAGCTGAAAAGAGTTCGAGCAGCGAGGAATTTTCAGCTGGTGCCGAGGCGATGTCAGCCCGTGTGGAAGAGGCCTCAGAACCTGTCGAATCCACACCAATAACTGCCACCGGCGAAGAGATTACAAGCTCCCTAGAGACAACTACAACAATCGATGAGCCTCAACCGGAGGTTGATACTCACTCTAGTGACGAACCGGCTGTACTGGAAGAAAGTACACATAATGATGAGGAAGTACCACCTCCTGCCGAGGATGTATCCGGGAAAAATGTTGAATCAGACCCCCAAGTCGAACTTGCTGCGAACGAGGAACCAATCGAGGAAAAGTCTTCTGAAGAGCCCGATCCTGAAGAAGTCTCCGATACAACCGAGCCAGTATCCCTACCTGTCCAGGAGCCAGTAACGATCGAAAGTAACGTTCAAGACGAGGGGAAGGAAGAATTGAATGACGTCAATCATGAGACTTTGGAGACTCCAGAAGAAGTTGTTCCAGACCAAACAGGCACAGAATATTCAACAGATGAGCCCATTCAACCAACCGAAGCCGAAACGCCTAGTCCCGAAGAAGCTGGACCCGAAACTGATGACACTCCGGAAGAGGCAAATAATCATACCGATGAAGAATCTAAGCCAAATAAACCTTCTCCTCAGCCAAGCGAGGACAATCCGACGGAGACAGGGCCTGACAATGTCGATACTGATATTCTGACCCCCGAGAATCTGACTGGGACTACCGAGACTAATGATCTGGCAGATCACGTGGAAGACTCTAATGTTGAGGATGATGTCATTCAGGAATTAGTACAATCAAGCGACTCCGATGTCAGTCCAGCCGCCGAAGAAAAGGTTGCTGGAGACTCTACCGAAGACAGTCCTGGAATCAGCCTAGATACAGAAAGCGTTGAGCCCGGCGATGAGGTCCTAGATATTCCAGCTACAATCGAAAATTCACCCCAGAGCCAAGAAGATACCCTCGTTAACCCCGAAGCTCTGGAATCTGATGCAAAAGTCGAAGAATTGCCAATCGAGAGCGAAAGTGTTCAACAAACTTTAGTAAAAGACGAAACTTCGAACGAGAGTCATCTAGATGATTCGCAAGCCATAATCGAGGGAGATTCAACGCCAGAAACGTCTGTAGAAGAGGAAGCTTCGGACAAGAGTAATCTAGATGAGTCACAAGCCATAACCAAGGAGCATTCGACGCCGGAAACGTCCGTGGGAGTTGAAGAGATTTCTACCGATACGGGAGAAAGCAATGAGAGTCCAGAGAATGAAGAAACACCAATGACAATCGATCAAATCTCCAACGAAGCAGAAAGTGCTCCAGAATTTCCGGAATCTGAAGAAAGTCCATTGGAGATAGAGGAATGTCAAGAACCACAAGCGAATGACGATACAGTAACGCAGTTCGAGAACGACACTGTACCGGCAATGGTTCAAGATGACTTGGAGCCGGAAAATGTCTCATCTGGAGATGTTGAAGATGTTCATGATTTCTCTGAAGATGCTCATGAATCCTCCGAAGATGACGAGATAGCAGACTTACTCATGCCTGAACAAGATCCCGTAGTGATTGAGGAGACATCCAACCATCCAGAAAACGTGCCGACAGAAGATGCTTTAGACAAGACGGAAGCGATCCAAGAATCTCCAGAAGCCGGCCCAGTGCCTGAGGTTAGCAATGAAACCATTCCTGTTAATACCGAAAATACTTTGGAACAGCCAAACGAGGAATCACAAGTCGAATCTGGAGAGGAACAGCTTTTCAATGAAACTCAAGAATCGCCGGCTAGCAATGAACAGCAAATAGAAATCCATCAAGATCCTCAAGATTCGAATGAAAGTCTCGTACAAACAACTCCAGATAACATCAACCCCGAGCCAATTGAAGAACCTAAAACCGAGCTGCCTTCTACCGAGCACGGTGTTGAAATCGAGGCGAAAGAGTTAAAGGAGTCCGACCCAATCGAATCGGAAAACGAGGCATCAAGTTGGGATGGCGATTCCAATGATGAAGACTCGGAATCTGATAACGAACACGAGGACGAAAAGTCATCTGCTACCGAAGAAAACGGCCATGAAACGGCAGGAAGTGAGGAGAAACATTTGCCTGAGAGGGGAGAAATAAATGCTCCGGTTCCTACCAACGAATCAGCTGAAGTTCCTGATCCTTCCTTGGATAATGCACACAGATCATTGGATAAAGAGGATGATGTAGTTCAAGTTGGTGAAACAGCCATTATCGATAATACCAATAATTCTATCCCTGGAGAGGAACTTGTCGAGAGCATCCCGGAATCTGTAGAGGAGGATAATCAGCCAGCTGTAACAGCTACCGTTGAAGACCCCGATACTCCTGTTCACGAGGAAGAGCCTAACGAAGACCCGCAGGTATCCGTTGCGGACAACCTTTCCGAAACGGTGGCTGAGAAGGATGCTATTCAGCCAGGCGAGAATATCGATATTGAAGGAGTTCACGAATCCGAAAAAGAAGGCATCGAAAATACAGAAGCCCCTGCTATAGAAAGTCTTCCCGAATCAACCAGTGACGGAGAGAAACATATAGAGACCTCGGAAACCGACCAATCCCCGGAAATTGAGAATTATACCCAAGAGTTAGAGGAAGACCCAGAAACACTCGTTATCGAAGGTGATAATCCCGAGGCAATCCTCGAGGAAGAAGGACCAGTGCATTCAGAAGAAGCAATTTATGACGAGGAGACCGAAATTACAGTGCCCGAGGACGAATCTGCCCAGAGCCCGGATGCCCCTGCCATGGAATCTTCCGAGCCAGCCCGCGAGGAACTCTCAGTTGAGACCACGGAAGATGCCCCCCAAGAGCCTGAAAGTCCAGTTCCTGAGCAAGGGGTAATTGAGGAGCCAAAAATTTCTAAAGATACAGAAAATGAGCCCGAACCAGTTGTCGAGGGCAAAGAACCGGTTCAGGCCGAAAAAACCGTTTCGGATGAAGATCCCAACCCTCCAGTCCATGAAGAACAACCAGTTGAAGCGCATGAATCTCCTGCAGGTAAGTTGTCATTCAAACTTCTTCCGCCAACCTACTTTATTACAACAAGTTACTAAGACAGAAATCAATAGCCCTGGATGATGAAATTAATGATGATATCAATGGTGGTGTTGCTGCAAGTGAGTTTGCCCGCACTTCCTCTTGACATTGTACTTCGTCTGGTTTGAATTCAGGGGAATAACAAGTTCTATTAGTCACAGAAAACGAGACTCAGACAGTCGATGACACCCAACCGCCCGCGGATGAGAATAAGGAGGTTATTGAGAATATGGAAGCTCCCGTCGGTAAGAGTTCACAAAACAAGAAGGCTTCATGATCAAAATGTCAGGCATACTAATAACTTATTGGAAAGAAACAGAATCTGTTCCCATCAATGCTACACCTGTTGAGACTGTGGCAGATGAAGAGCCATCAGTGGAAGCGCCCGAGGAAGAGAGAGCTCTAGAAAACGATGCTGGTAAGTATTGCAAGGATTTACGTATGTTGTATTGTGAGATGTGGCTGAAAAAACGTCTAGATTCCGAGTCAACACAACTGGATACTATTCCAATCGAGGAGCCTTTGACTGAAGATCTTTCTACCGAAGAGCCCCTTGCCGAAAATCCACTTATCGAAGAGCCCGCTGCTGAAATTCCTCATACTGAAGAACCTGCTACCGATCCAATCCATGAAAGTCCACCTGGTAGGTGTTTGATAGCTCATTTCTCCACCATTTCTCCAAAACAATATACTCACGTCAAGATACAGAACCAGAGCTTGAGCCCACACCAACCGAGCCTGTTCCCGCTCCAGCTGAGGAATCAGCTCATTCAGAATCTCCTATAGAACCAGAAGCCAGTGAGTGTCCCGGAGGATTTGGATTATTTTCAGATTGGACTTTGATTCCCCTACGTCGAGCTTCCCAGAGAAAAATAAACTTATTGATTTATCTCCAACAGCCAACGATTCTCCTTCAGAGCCTGTGGCTGTAGAAGAAATTGCCCCTGGTAAGTTTTCACTTTTTCGTCTCTTGTACACGTTGTGATAAATAAATTAATGCGGGGTAATTAGAACCCGCCCCGGTTGATACTTCTGAGGAACCAGTGATTGAAAGCAATCCCGAGCCAGAGAGCGTTAAGACAGAAGGTCCTATTGGTAAGTTATGTGTTCTCTTATATTCTGTACACATGCAACCCTGCATACGTATGTCCACGATCATTTGACACGTGTCGGATCTCATACTTCACGACAACGCCACCTATCTATTTTGAATATATTCAAAACTGTATATTATACGGCGTACATTCTATTGGCAAAGTTCTAAGTCAATCTGCTTCAAATCATCTCTATAACCCCAAGATGTGTTTCAGAGGTCCGGAAATTTTGAGAACTTTCATGCCAGCCAGAAGATGACGAATCCAAAGTTTGAAAGAACGATGGGGGTTACGAATGCGAATCGATCCAATCAACACCTCTCAGAGATTAAATAAAAAGTGACCTTACACACAAACTGACACAAAATGTTTCTAGAGCCCAGCCCAATCATGACAACCCCCCAAACACCTACCACACCCATTGAAAATTTGGAGGATGGAGAACAAGCGCTACCTGGTACGTTCGATCTCGGAAACTTTGAATCCATTCTCGTTTTGAGTCTGGAATCTACAATAGTCCAAATTTTCAAAGACAGAGATGTTCATTTCGATCTCCACTTAAACCCTCAGTTACTGACGCTGAGTTTTATGCAGACCCTGAACCTACGCAAGTTGATGTTGTTGAACCAACCGAGGAAGTTCAGGTTGAGGAACAACCTGAGATTGTTGACACAATAGAGGGTGCGTTGTCATAGCTTTTCTGGAATGAATGTGTACTGACATTGAATAGAAGATCCGGCAGCTCAAGAGGTAGTCGTTGAGCAAGCTGAAGAGGCTGTGGCTCAAGAGCCAATCGAAGAAGTAGCTGTTGAGGAAGCTGAAGAGGCTGTAGCTCAAGAACCAATTGAAGAAGTAGTTGTTGGGCAGGCTGAAGAAGCCGTGGTCCAAGAAATTTCTGGAGAGCCAGTTACAGACCAACCTCCCGGTGATGCCACTAGCGAGGCGCCAATACTCGATTCATCTGAAGTTGAAACTGCCAAAGAACCAGTTATCTCGGAACCAACCGTTGAAATATCGATTGAAGAACCCGTCGTTGAAAGTGTCCAGGAATCGCTAGTGGAAGCATCCAGCGAACCAGATCTCGAAGAAACTGTCGAAAAAGCCAGCTTTACACTGCCGGACGAAGAGCCCGTCGCCCCAGTGGCTGAACAGGCGATTGATGAGACAACTTTTGTGGAAGCAATACCTTTAGAAGACCCAGTGATAGAGAGCGCTGTTGTGGAACAAACTACGGAAACCAAAGAGGCACCTGAGGAATCTGTCCAAGATCTATCATCTGACCCGCCTGCGGTCCCAATAGTAGAAGTCCCCGAGGCTGAAGAAATCCTACAGGAAGTCGTTGAGGAGCCCCCTGCTCCCTCAGATCCTATACAAGAGCAAAGCGAGTCTCCAAAGGAGGACAAGCCGAAGGAAGTCGAAGACTTTGAGGCTGTTGCCCTTGCTGGACTAGCAGGTGCAGCCGCAGGTACAGCGGCAGCCAAGGCCTTGGATGATAAGGAAAATAACGCTCCAATAGCTGATCAGGCTTTGATAAATGAGTCGGAACGCATTGAAAATCGCGAGGATAAAGGAGCTGAGTCTCCCTCAAAATCGGACAAATCGGAAAAAGACAGACGCAGACATAGGAGCTCGAGGCATCATTCATTCAGTAACCACAACTCAACCAAATATGGTGAATATCCACCTTCCAGCAGACCAGAAGAACAACCAAGACGCCGAAGACATTCCCACAGCCATAGAACTAGTGGCGCAACTAGTGATAGGGAAGATGATAAAGAGAATTATCGTAGTCACAGATCGAGTCAAAAGGAAGAGGATAGAGAGCGACCAGAACGTTCTCATCGCCGACGATCTAGCCACAGGGAAGACGAGCCCGAGCGTTCTTATCGACGTAGGTCTGGCCGTAAAGAAGAAAAGGAAGACAGAGAGGAGCCAGCCCGTGATATTTCTCCAGCAAAACAATCTCCAGATCGTCGAGATAGTGCTATTGAGGGCGTTGACGATGAACGTGAACGTCGCCGACGCCATCGTAGAGACCGCAACCGAGGGGAGCAAGAAGAACACGACAGGAAAAGGGAGGAACGCCGAGCAGCTAAAAGAGAGGCAGCAATCAAGGCCGAAGAAGCCTTCAGAGCAGAAGAAGCCCGAAAGGCTGAGGAAGAAGCACGAAAAGCCGAGGAGGCACTGCAGAAGAGAAAAACCGAGCCAGTTCCATCATCCACCGTTCCAAAGCGATCAAGATCACGAAGAGAAAGTATTTCAAAGTCATACTCAGCCACCCCCCATGAAAGCGACGGCATTCGATCCCGACTTCTAAGTTTCAAGAAGCGCGTCCAAAGCGAAGTTACCAGTCCATTCATAGCAAATGACGAGCCACATATCAAAGAAAAGCTTACCCCCGTCACACGCTCCAGAAGAGATTCCATCGTTGATGAGCCGGGTCCACCTCAGTTCGACGTTACACCAGAACGTCCAAAGATGAGTTCTAATACCAGAAAATCATCTCGGTCACATCCACATCATTCTCACTCATCGTCTCGCAGAGAGTCTGAACGAACTCATAGTTCTAGGAAAGAGCCAAGTCGACGAGATTCTACCAGGGAGAAGTACAAGACGGAAGAGGAGAAGGAGGCAAGAAGAGCTCGCAGGGAGATGAAAAGACAAGAGAAGCTTGCCAAGGAAGAGGCGGAAGCAGAAAATAAACTTCAAAGGGAGAAGGACGACGAGTTGAGGCGTCAACATCGGGAGGAGAGACGAAGAAGGCGAGAAGAAAGAGATATTGAAGAACGCGAGGCCAAGGAGCGAGAAGTCAGGAATCGAGAACTGGAGGAGAAAAGTGACAAATCGCTGGAACCATTTCCTGAAAACGATGTCGAAAACGGAGAATCGAAACCTAGCTCGAGGCCAGCTACTCGGGAAAGACGACCGACGAGACACCATTCGAATTCTCATAGTTCACGAGGCTCTCGTCCAGAGATACCCACATCCCGAGGTTCTCGTACATCGGAAAAGCCAGCGGAAAAGCCAAAGAATGCATTCAAGAGCTTTATGACACTGGGGAAAAAGGTCTTTGCTTCGGAAAAGCATTGATCATGATATGTATAACGGCCATGATGATATACGGAGTTCTTTTGTTCGATCATTTTGATTTCGATTCTTGATTGTTATTATGTTTATGATTGTGGAATATGCATTTGTTAAGTCCTGGCTGGTGATCTGATCTTGCGATGATGTTATAATATGGTGGCCGATCTGTGTTTTCAAGTACATAATAGTGTCGAGCAAGATCTAATGGTGTTCTTGATGTCTGTCAGCCCTTTGTACTTCAAGTCTCCTTGGTCATATTTCATTTGTTCAACTGTAGTTATTGAATGTACTTAACAATCTTTGGGATAATGGATATTAGAATGAACAGTCTTTTCTTTTCATATAAAGTTGAGCAGTGTATCGTTATGGTAGCTTCAGTCTCTTGTTTATACTTCATCTTCCTATCAAGATTCAAACTGTGGCTCTTTGATTCACTTGTTTGTGCATTCAGCGTGGACTCAAATACGAAGAAGACATTCGCTGCTGGTGTGGTGGTACTTGGTCTTATTTGGAAGCCATTTCGAAGCAACACTACCTGCATCAGGGGCCCTTGAAAACAAACTCCGCGAACTCCAGATTGATGAGAATGGACTAATGTGTGGCGAAGAGAGCAGAACGTAACCCCAATTTCATACCTGGTCTATGGCCCTTTGATTATTTGCAACCAAACGTTCCTATTTCTTATCTGAATGTAAAGGGATATTTCTTTCTCTGAACGTATTGGGAAAGTATCGGACGAATTGCCAATTATGTTAGAAACTTTAAGTATACTTTCATCTGATATCGCTTCATGATTGTTCTAGACCGTGCTGCTCAGGGAAAGAAAGAAAGTGGCCAATTTCGCGGAGTCTTGAATCAACACCGTCAAATCCACAAACCCACAACTCCACATATCCACCTGCACGTCCATTCCTCGCACTACGTTGACAGATTGAGATCGTTCCTTTGACATCTAGGGCATAACGGATATAAGACGTTCTTTCTATTCCTTCATGATTTGTCAAGTTTCAATTATGCATGCATCTATTTGCTTGCTTCGTGCTGCTGCCGACGGCTATTGAGGAGCGACGAAAACCGACCCGTCCTAGTTCTCATCATCGGCGATATTAATGGAGGAGTCATGCCTTTAATACCGCAATCTTGTGGACTCATTGGGGTCTTGGTTTAATGAATTTAAACCGTCTTGTTGGTACGCTGTTGGTTGTACCTCATTCTCGTGTTCGAGTAGCATGTATATATATATATATATATATTGTGGCGGATTTATCCTTTACGCCGCATTTCCCAGCCGCCTTGCTTTTTTAATTCTTTTCCTCATGAAATTCGATTTGTCGTTATACGTCCGGCGTCTGTTACTACTTGCATGGCTATACCCACATTCGTACGGAAATGGCATGTACAATTTTCTTCACTTAGAGTTCATGCTTACGAGTTCTTTCGGTACCAAATTGTGTACCCAGTAGTGCCAGTCCAGTGCCAGTCCAGTGCCACTGTGACAAGCGCTTGATGTTGACCTGGAGATGATTTTCCGATATTGACCAGGGCGAACAGGCAAAGGGGCGGAGAAGACAGGGCAAGACATATCAGCGCTTTGAGATTTCTCCCTGATCGTTCCACAAGGATATGTTTTGATCGTCGCCTCAATCAGGAAGTTAAATTGCGCTCAAATGGTCTATCCGGAATCCTCGTTTCATCCGAATTTTTACAATCAAGTAAATACGTACCGTACCATATTTGTTCCCCTGGACTCCGCTTTTCAACAATAATAATAATAAGTTGGAGACGACAGCTGATATTGCTTGATCCGTTTGTAGAAGGCAAAGAAATACGAGCATCTTTTTGATATGTGTCCCAACATCTATCAAGCCACCAACATGCCTTATGCCCTACACTGAAATCCAATCCAACTCTATTGCATCCGGACTTCAAATTTTCAACCCCCTTTCTTTTTTCACCCAATACGATCAGATATTCGTCATTATCGTGATGATTTACGGTTTTCACTGACCATGCCGCACGTACCAGTATCTTTACAGCGTCTTCACCACAAGGCCACCCACAAACCTGGGGTATATAAAAAGATTGAATATTTTCTATCAAAGCTAAAAAGTACGGTCCATCATAGAGAAAGAGTCAATCTGTGACCACACAACTGACTATTGGAAAGAAGTTCGGACGCTTCCTGCCCAGGAAGATGCTCATATCTTAGAACCATGTAATGGATTCTTCAATCTACCAGCGGAGCTTCGGCATGAGATTTACTCATATCTCTTCAGGAATTTGAGATGTCGAGATGATGTTTTCTCTGAAGCAGAATGTCACGACTTTTTCGTCCATGAGGGAGCAGTTTTGTTCCGTGTGAATCATTGGTTCCTGAATGATGCGGCTGAATTCTTGTGTCGGATGAACCCTCGATTTATGTTATATCGACCTTCCCTGTGTCGTTTTGTTTTTTCCATCACATATGATTGTGTTCGGTTTCTGAAGAGTCTGGAATTGTCAGTTCCATCTTCCGAGACCAAATTACTGGAGCCAATCCTCGAAGAGATCATGGCCTCTAATGCTCCGTTGACCTCACTGACTTTACACCTTACTCCTACGTTTCCGGGAAGCTTAAGTTATCCATGGCCAATGTATATCATTCCTAGACCACAAGTGGAAACACCAGCAAAGGAACATTTCTACAACATTCATCCTCATTACTTATCTATCGAATATCATTCGCAAGCTGCTGTGGATAATTGCCATCGTTCCCCATTGTTGATAGGCAAATTACAAAATCTTCGATATTTAAAGATTACAGGTCAGCCAGAATTCGATATCATGTTTGAGCTTGCCATAGTGAAGCTTCATCTGGGAATGATGGCCGCCGCGAAATCCGCGGGGACATATCTTGCCCTGTCACCGAATAATGGACCTCGTGGCGAAGAATGGTATTATGAAATTTGGATCAGTCCAAGTAAGTCATTCATACCATTGGTCGACTTTGACAGTGGTAGTTGCAATGCTTTCACATGGGTATTGAATTTTGGTGCTGACATTATGTATAGCCTCGCGTCACTCAAAGCCAGCAAGTCTTGCGTCGCATAAGCTGTTAGAGTGCTGATGTAGACATCTCAACTTGCACCGAAGGCCTTCGTAGATTTTATCTCTGCTATAATTATGTCCAAGCAATATGGCTCTTGCTAGTGGCCCATTTCCTCTGCCTTTTCCAGCAGAGATGAAATTCTCTATATTCAAACCCCACTTTTGCTTAGTGTCTCTGTCACGTAAGACTAAGGAGATTAGATGAAGCTACTGCTTCACACCACTCGAGTATATAAACATTGAAGAAGCGGGCTCGGAGAGTCCTAACTGCTGACCACTTCCGCCCTGGTTCATTCTTTATGCAACTTTCGCTGATAAACAACAGATCACGAATCATCATCTGATGAGACCAGTCTGCTGATTTACGTTGAACAGGGTAATGAGAGCTTTGTGTCATCGGGCGCAACAGCAAAGTGTCTCTCGGAAAGACCATAGCATGTGTATATATTCTATGGTGCCACGTAAGAGTGAGCCTCATCTTTACTTCGACAAATGGCAATTGGAAGTACCACGACCAAAAAAAGCCACATCTCGATAGGAAACAGCGACAATCTGGGAATGTGACGACGAATGGAATTTCTCTGAATTCCAAACAGACTCGAGCATCAGTGTACCGACTCTCCATCCCAAAAATAGATTGCCACCCGAGAACCGTGAAGTTGACTCGAATCATGTCGGATTCAAAGTCTACCGCTTCCATCTTGAAAGATATATCATTGCCACTCTACACCACCGGATCTACTATGCAGTTCTAGTCGCAAATAAACGACGACTTCATGAATATCATACGTTACTGACAGGGCAGATGATCGAAGCAACATCACAGCGTCATTATGACCCTAACATCAAAGGATATCCGAGAAGTTCTCGTTCTATCTCAACTTCTCAGAAATCTTCGTTTCTTCAACCTAAGAAATCATTCTTCATGTCTATGAGAAAGCTTCGCGCATACTCATCCGAACTTGATACGTCTATCGCCTTCGACTTAGCGAGACCATACCAAATGATCTCTGCCAAAAATCAGGGGCGGATAATGACGAATTGGTTTAGATTCACGATATCATCTTTACAATAGATGAAATGATCTTTCAAGACCAAAAGGGCTCAATGTGGACTCTTCAACATCAATGGTTATCTTGTTCAATTAGAATCTGCTCGGAATATATCCACGATCAACTATCCTAGAATCGAGACCTGATGCCCAAAGCCAATACCAGCAACACTATCTTAAAACCATTCCACCATTCGCACATACAACCTGTCCAGTACACCATTGACTATCACTCGTACACAACATACCCACAATCCCCGCAATCTCAGAAGTGTAAGCCGGTCTACCTCCCGCATTTGGCGCATCATCTACCAAATCCTGATCATCCACATCTGGCCTGATCTTACTTCCAGGAGTACTTTCAATCCACGGTTTCAGCTCCTTCTTGAATCCCGCAGTGGTACCTGCCCACATATCCGTCTTTACTGGACCTGGATTAATGGAGTTTACCGTTGCGCGATCATGCAATTCGCGTGCCCAGGTTCGCGTCATGGCATCTACAGCTGCTTTCGTGCCACCATATACCGTTTGGCCCCAGAAACCCTCGGAACTAGAGACGGAACCGAGATTAATGATGCGGCCAGATCTATCGTGGGGAAGATAGTCTAGTGCGGCTTGTAAGAGAAGAAGGGGACCAAGCACGTTGATCTTGTATTGCCAGTTAAAGTCATCGATTGTGATGTCTGGGATGGGTGTGTTTTTGGATACACCTGCATTATTTACCAGGATATCGATTTGGAACTTTCCGGAGGGGTCTGAGAATTGAGATTTAGTATTGCTGATGATAGTTTCTGCGCCGGATTTCTCAGATACATCGGCTTGGACGATGAAAGTTTTAATGCTGTGTTTTTCTTCGAGCTTTTTGGAGAGCTCGCTGGTGAGAGTAGCGGAGGAATTGGATGTGTAGTTGAGGACGAGGTTGGCGCCCTTTGATGCGAGGTTTTCGGCAATTGCTGCTCCGATTCCTGGGGTTTTGATTAGTTGGTGTTGTGTTTATAGAATGTATGGGTAGGAGCGAAAGAAGGCATCAGGAACGTAGAGATAGATTTTCAAAATAGATATGATGACAAGCGATCAACTCACCTCTAGAAGCTCCAGTAATAATGGCAAGTTTGCCTTCTAATGGTCTATTTGAAGCCATTGCGTAGTTTTTGATGTGATGTGGATTGCTCGAGCAGTTTTGTTTTATATCACAGATGTAGAAGTGATGATTATACTTTTATCTTTTGGTTACTAGATCGCTTGATCAATCAATGAGGAAGTAAAACGAATAAACGACAGCGAAAAGAAAAAGTCTACTCAGCCTTTATATATGTGTAACAAATAGTCCCAATTTCACTCCATTGACTACCTCTTCACCTTCCTCATACCCCCACCATACATCACTCGAGCATTCTATGGTGGGGTTATACATTATTGTCGGCATAGAAATCCCCGGGGTCCATTTATCATTTCCTTAGTTCTTATCGGTTAAGCGCACCAGTTACGTGTGGTTTGAGAGGAAGCTTTGCATTACACAATACACCAATTGTTGACCTGTCAAACCGAGCTCTAAACAACCAACCAGCTATCCCATTCGAATCCCTCACAGCCCTCCATAGAAAAAGCAAAATTGGAAGAAAGGCCGTCCATCGCATTAATAAATATGGATATTAGACTATTACGATCCTCGGATATTCCGCATGTTCAACATGCCAATATCACCAATCTTCCCGAAAAGTTCGTCATCCCCTCCCTCCTCTTTACCCCTCCAAACTAACCCCCTCTAGCTATTTCATGAAATACTATCTCTACCATGCCCTCTCCTGGCCACAACTCTCCTTCGTCGCAGTCGACGTTTCGCGTCCCCAGAAAACCCCCTACGATTACCCCCGCATCGTCGGCTACGTCCTGGCGAAAATGGAAGAAGATCCTGCGGATGGCGTGCAACACGGTCACATTACTAGTCTGAGTGTTATGCGCACACATCGACGTCTTGGTATTGCCGAGAAATTAATGAGACAGAGTCGTATGTTCTCTCTTCCTTGTCCTACTCGTTCTCTTCCCATCTCATCTTCATTTTTCCAACCCCGAGGGGGATTGGTCTTTACATCCAGACTCTGAATTTCTGCTCCAACAAAAACACAAAAACTAACCATGCAAAACCAACAGAAAAAGCAATGGTCGAAACCTTCTCCGCCCAATACGTATCCCTCCACGTGCGTGTCTCCAACCAAGCTGCACTCCGTCTCTACCGCGACACACTCGGATTCCAGACGGAGAAGATCGAAGCAAAGTACTACGCCGACGGCGAAGATGCCTATTCGATGAACTTGGATCTCTCGTATATACGCGAGCAGATACTAGACGAGGAGGATGGCGATGAGGGAGAAGCAGTGGGGAGCGCAGGGAGCGCAAAGGATGTGAAGGCGATTGAGGAGGGGAAGGATGCAGAGACGGCAGAAAAGAAGAGGAAGGTTAAGGTAGGGAGGGGATTGGGGGTAGGAGAGTTGGTGGAGAAAAACGAGGCGTTGCCTATTCGGGAGGGGAAGTAAGATAGATGGGTGGATTATCTTGCGATTCCTTGTTTCGAGGAGCGGAATGAATGAGGGTTATTAAATGAATGTGTATGGGATGCTAGCAGGACTGCATATATTCCTGGAGTCTAAAAGTCATTTTCATCATGCTGGTTTGTGATGGCTTTATAGATGGTATGACGACATATCTAGGAAAAATGCTGCTCTTGTGGAAACATAAATGCAGTTTGCATACCTAGTAGTATATCATGGACGCCCGAGAGGGAGGGAGGAATCTTCTCTCAAGTAAGATTACTCTTACAGTCTATATATAGATCATATGGATTGAGAATCAAAAATACTCGATATTTTGCATCTTGTTTCTTTGAACTGTAAATGAAATTGGCTTCTTAAAGATCAAAAAATGTAGACTAGCTTAATCCTTGAGTCCTAATATGCCCTTGCTAAACATCTGATATAGCTACATCGAAGTTTGACATCACGAGAATGCTTTACGCATCTGTATACTATATCTTATATCCAAATACATTTCCTACTCAATCCATCGCAAAACGCAAAGCGCCAAAATCCATTTTCCTATAAAATCACAGTACTGCTACACTATCATCACACCATACCAAACCATGACGAGAAACAGAGATTTCCGTTAGTTTGAAAAACTAAGTATTTGCTTAACAGAATAAGAAACTAGAACTACGAAGATATCCCATCACCCGTGCCAAGTTCTCCTGGAATAGGCGGTGCTGGGTCAACGGGTAGTATGGGGTTGGGTTTGGCGGCCTCGAGAGATTCGTCTGCTGAGGTAGCTGCGTTGATGGGAGGGTTTGCTTCGATGGGGGTATTGGCTGGAGGGTCGTTTGATGGGGGTGGGATTGAGTCTGTGGGTGGGTTCACAGCTATATCTGTGGGTGGAGCTGGTTCGACTGGAGGATTGACTTCGACATTTTGAGAAGGTATTTCTTCGGCGGGAGGAGGATTCGTTTCCACTGTTGCTGGGATTGCGGAATCTATAAGTGGTGTTGGGTTGGTAGGGGGGTTTGGCTCAGCAGGGGGAAGTGGTTCGGCGGGAGGGTTTGGATTTGCGGGTGGTAATGGATCCGTGGGAGGGTTTGGCTCGGCGGGAGTAGCTGGCTCCGGAGCTGGAGGCTGTGGTGGGGGAGGAATAACGTCCTCAGGTTTTTGGAGGCCGATATCATTGACTGGCTTGGGGGTATCAATTGGAAGTGGAGGCGCTGAACACACTTTCGGATCTTTCGCAAACTCTGGACCTTTGTAAACTGGATTTGGATCTTCTCCCAATACATTCTGTGCTTTGATCAATACTGGAATTACAGCTCCTGTCTTCAAGAAGAATGTTCTATGGCCGATAACTCGTAAGATAGTGTTGATAGCTCCAGAATGAGAACTGAGTGAAATGAATGTACTATTATCATTCGTGAATAGATCATCTAGGAGAGCTTTGAATCTTCTATTCTCTGTCTCGTGGGTTTCTGAGTGATTGGCGCGCCAATAAGGATCTTCTTCTGGGAAATTGGATTCAAATTTCCAAGTAGGGGCGAGAGCGTGGATATAAGTTTTCGAGCGGCGTCGATCGCAAGTATGAGAGGAGATACCTTCACGGAGAAGTTCTTTGATAATGGGGGTGAATGGAGGGGAGGTGGGAGGAAGTGGTAGATTGTTGAACGTAAGGGAACATGTTTCGAGGCAACGCGTCAAGGGTGAGACGTAATAGGATTGTGGTGGAGATGCCTTTTGTGTGGTGATTAGTTTCTCCCAGAAAGCGTTGGCCACCAGAGCTTGGGCAACACCAGTGGGAGCAAGTTGAGCATCGGCCCAGGTTGAATTTTCATCTCCATCCAAGTGAGAATAGTAGCACTATGGAAGTCAATAAGAATCGCGTGTTGAGGGTCAGATAGAACATACATCCCATGCTTCTTTTCCAACCTCAGTCTCTTTTATGTTATGATATCCTTCCCCATGACGCCCCACTTCAAACTGTCAGTTGCATATCATGTGATGGCAGTAGTGATCTCGAATACATACAGTAAAGAACTTTATACTGAACATTCTTGGGAGTTTGATTGTTGAGTTTCACAACATGATTCTCGAATCTTTCCCATTGAGTCTTCTGTCTCTCCGGGTCGAAATCTGCATCCGTGTCATACACACGATCTTTCAAGCCAAAGTTCGACTCCTGAGTAGATAGTTATGTTAGTCTGATATGCGACAACGTGATTGCGAACTCTCTTACAGTGTAATTGAAGGTTTCCGAATTTGTATTCTGATCATCTTGTAGAAAATATCCTACTACATTTCTGAACTCCATATGTCTAGTTTTTGGTTGTACTTTGTTATTCATCGTGTATAATGGAGTCAGAAAAAGTGTAGCTAAAAATAAGCAAGGTCTAGAGTTCCGATCGTTAGCTGATAGCTGATGAGTTTAATAATTCTCCGCAAAATAGGATGCAAATCAACACAAGCAAAAGATAATAGTAGCAAAGAAGTACTTGGGTAGACAATCGAACTTAAATAGAGAAAACCAAATCCAACTTACACAATCAAAGATGCTCTCCAACAACCTGTTCGTCGATAAGCATATTGGTATGCATTAGCAATACTACTTGCGCCCGACCTTTCATTCGACCGGTGACCCAATAAAGACTCCTGGTCCTCCATATCTTACACCTTCACTAACGCCGGCTTCAAAATTCACAACCATCCAAAATCCAAATCCTAAAGTAAAAGCGAACACCAAAAGAACATTATATGGAATCTCCGGACCAAAGATAGTATCGCCGACAATAAGAAAAAGGGGCTTAATGCTTTGAATGACAATTGAGTTTTGATGGAAAAAAAGTACCTGCCAAATTCTAATGAGCATCACGTGTCAAAGGAATGAATTGTGTTAAGTACAGAGGACTGGTTTCATATTGAATATAATTTGATTGGTCCAAGCTTGGTGTTTCAGAGTCGTTAGGAGGAGTTAGGATGAGTGACAGGGAAGAATCACTTCTAGGCGCGTTGGGTATTTTGTACGTAACCGCAACGGCACGAGACTATTAGTGCCTAAGGCTGAAGTTAAAGTGACGCCGTTTTATGGCCATGAAATGGAAACTAATAAAGCGGCGATAACTAGCCACAAGCCCCAACCCGCAACTCCCGTGATTTGAATTCCAATCGTGATCCATAACGCCACAATGTTAAAGTTGGAGAATCAGGTCCGTGTATGATGTCACTCTAGGATAAATCTGGTTGTGAATGCAAAAGTTGTGGGGAAATTAGCTCAGAGCTCTTTTTTAGAAAAGCAAGCTCGCAAGCAAGCAAGCAAGTAAACAAAGCTTGAAAGTGGAGTGAAGAGTGGAACTAATTGAGGGAGAGCTCCGAGGGGAATCAAATCTAGACAGTGGAGGCTCGAGACAGGCAAGGGAATCAGATCTAGACAGCTAAGGTACATCGTACATTCCTCAGAGAGGAACAGGAACAGGAACAGGAACAGGAACAGGTCTGAAGTATACGTAGTCTAGTGGTAGTGTAGTGTATGGGCCGGGACGACGAGTTTGTATTTTCATGAGAGATTATTGGTGGCGTCCCAGATGTGAGTTATTTGTTTTGGCAAGGAAAGTGCGCTCGATCAATCGAAAAGTATTTGGGTTACGAGATATATACTTACTTGTATTAGATACATACTTCCACTACCGAGGTACACGTACTTCTATTGGATATATACTTCTATTGTAGATACGATTCTATTGGAGATATACTTCTATTGGATACATGCTTTGTAAGATTACTTCCGTGTCTAATAGACAAACCAAATGTACACATACCTACATCCTAATAAGAGAGGTATCCTCATTGAATGTAACAAGCAACAAGTATACTGTATGTCTACTCTCTCAAGTATTATTCACATCACATCACATCCACGATCCATCCATCTAGATCCTCTGTAGATTTGTTCGCAATATATTAAAAGGCTCCACCTCAGAATCCCATGCATTTGTAAACCCAGAAAAAATGATTTCGCGATCATTCTCATATTTTCCACCTGTTTGTTACTCCACAATCATGCCAACCTCTCATAAACCCGGTCTTCATCTGCCTTGGAACTCTTTCCATGACGTGCCTTCCCGACTTTATCCGTAATGGCTTTAGCTTCCATTCACCCCGCTACATAAATCTATTCTTTGTCCCTCACTTCTCTCACATTTCTCCTCTACACATCAACTCTCAATCATCAAGAATCTTTAACTAATATTTTCAATCAACCACCACTTTACAACCACATCATGTCTCTTCACTGTACGTATTTATGCTCGGGGAGTCTCTAATGGGAGATGGCTTGGAATGGAACTGGTGATGCTGGAGCATTGTGAGAGAGCTTTGGAATTGACATATTGAGCTTGGGATCTGTTCTATTTACACCTTCCAAGTCTAATGTCAATGGAATGTCCTCATGATGCTTCCTCACTACGCATTATCATGCCATCACCAACTTCTCTCACCTAGCTCCCGTTTTTCTTTCAATATCCCTCTACCCTATCGATTTACTGCCACTAACACCTACTTCGTATAGACCTCCCACCAGTTAAGCCATCGGCTATTGCCCTCGGTACCATCTTCAACCACGCTGCATCCCTTGCTGTCCTCGGCCCAGTCTTTGGCGAAACCTACCACAGAGCTCAAGCTGCCAACTCCAAGGAGGAATTTGTCAAGTCAAAGGAGGCTGCTTCCGCCGCTGCTGCATGGGGAACTTCCCTCGTCGGTAGCGCCGTCCAATCATATGGTGTTGGTGCTTTGATCAATGCCACCGGTACCCTCTCATACAAGGGTGCTGCATACTTGGGATCCTTGATCTTCATGGCTTCATCTGCTCCATCTGTACGTTATCCATTCGGAAAAATTATGCATCGAGGCCAATTTGCTAACACTCTCATCAGTTCATTGCACAAATCACCACTGAGAAGCGACCACTCGACACTGTTGCCGTTGGAGCTCTCGCTCGCGTCTTCGAGACTGTCGGTCTCTCTCTCTTCCTCACCTGGTGGGGAACCCGCACCAACCCATTCGAGTAAATGTATTACGCTTTAATATTGGGTATGATCGTTGGGAAGGATTAACGGAATGGGGTTATGGTATGGGAAGGAAATGACGTTCGGACTGGAGTATTCCGTTTCGTCTGTGTATTATCTCGACTCGAATCAATTCACTTTTATGACTTTATGATTTAATCGTCATTAATTGCACAGCTTTATTAGGCAGAATATGAATTTCTTTCAAACAAGGACTCTTTTTTTTCTCTCCTTGGGTAAATTGTATATGGTCTTTACATCTGTGAACTTTTCTCTTTGACATGAAGTGTTTTCTGTATTTCATTTCTAGACTCAGATTCTTCAACTCGCTACATTGGATTCAATATACCAATAGGTGGTCAAGTTAGAAAACATCAACAAATCATCCAAGTGATGAGCCTTACCACAACCTCTTCACTGTCACCACGCAGCTCGCTCATCAGTTCACCACCTCCAGACTTTCTCAAATATAATCCCATAATTCCTTTCTTATGCCACATACGACCATAGACTGAAGAGAATTGGGCATCCCGTCCGCTCTGCCATACACAAGCTTCAGATCGGTGGATTAGTAGTTGGGTGGGTGACCACCAGCGAATCCCCACTGTTGTATGTCTTTTGTTGTTTTGTTTTGCCTCTATTGCTCATTGGGGTTTTCACGTTGTGAGGGCAGATAGGTAGGTGTTTCTGGGACATTTGGATTGGGGGGCTGGGAGGGGAAGGAAGGAGAGAGGTGGGGTTTTTAATGGTGATTAATGAGTGCTGGTACTAGAGAAGACTGCTTTTTATGGGTGACTTCGACTTTGCGTTGTTTGTTATTCTCGAAGCAAGGATATTTCTAGGGAGAGGAGGTGTTCATCTTGGACTTGGGAGTAGGTAAAAAGGAACGGGGAAAGGAGAAGAGGGAATGATATGTTAGGTTGCGGACATACAATTGTAGACAGTCATTTAGAAATATGAATGAATCTCTACGTTTTTATATTTGGGCGTTCTGAGATGAAGATTGAGATTGAGATTGAGATTCAAAGTAAGGAGGATCTGGGACGACTCGTAGAAAACTTCAATTGAGTAGTAGATTGATTTCTGATGAGTGGGGATAAGTCAGTCAATGGTGGAAATCTTGGGGATTGCTGAATACCTACCTACCTGCTGAAATTGTTAAAATCATGATTTATGTTGTTTTGTGGTGGAGAGAGAGGGGTTTGCTAGGATTTATTATGTGTGCTTTTATGCTTTGGTCTTTGTGGAAGTTTGTTGCTGTTTAGTTTGCTTGATATATATAGAGAGATGTATGATTTGTATCCGTGGATGGTTTGGTTAGATTGAGATGTGTTTGTTGGGGGAGGTGAGGTGAGGTGAGATGTGCTAACTTGGTTCTTGATATTTGTTTACAAGGGAAGTCATGAGACAAAATTTTCACGGTTTTATCCTATATAGCTAATGCTCCAGATTCATAGTCTGGTATGGCCACTCGTTTGAATATCAACATGTTCTTACAATGTCATTGTAAACAACAACTCTGATGGCAGTTTAAAAGCCCGATGATTGACGAGTATATTAATTCACCGTTGTTTAGAATCGTAGTTGAAACACAACTTTGCAATGTGATGCCGAACCTGTACGTGTGCAGTGTGAAAAGTACAAATCGGTAGAGCTATGAGTATAACATCGTATATATTGATAGAAATCAGTAGGTGTAAACATTAGAGTGTAGAATCTCAAAGACGAATACATTATGGTGCTATGCTGGCTAAACAAATCATCATTGATAAGCAATGTGCCGGCATCAACCTTGGTTTCTAATCACCACAACAGTATATTCTAGTGTCTCTCGAAGCAATCATCTGTCAGAACCTGGTGTCGTGGACTTATTCGATGCCTCATACGTCCCTGACTATAGCTACTCGTTCCGCAAGGTGAAAATTGATTGACAACATATTAATTGACGGAAAGAAGCTTTGCATGCCGCCGGTGCAGTGTTCATGGGTCTTCCTTTTTCCCCCAATACCCGAGTAAATCTTGTCGTGACGAAGCGGATATATGGTAGCATACTTTCTAGTCACCTACATGTTGCCGAAATACTAAATTCGCTTGAGATATTTGATCCTAGAAACATGAGATTGAATTCATGAAGTTGAGATTTGTCTTCTCTATTATGATAGAAAAATAACTTCTACTGTGATTGGACTGATGGCTCTTAACAAACAGTACAGGTCAATACTCAATCATCAAAGAAAAAGACATTCTACAGGTATGGCATTATTGGTTGAAGTTTGCACTCGCAAAAGAAGCTAAAAAGGCCATAGACCAACTTCAGTATCTTTTCATGATATCCATCATCCCTGTGCAATGTTTCCCTATAACCAAACATCCAGTGGAAATAAGAGCTAATGTGCTGTAGATTGCTTAGGTATAGATGTTTTCCATCGCCGTCCTCACTTTGCGCTTGCTAAGTAGGAGCTGTACTTGGGTTGAGAGATACTGCAAGATGCCTATACGACATATCTCTAAGATCGTGGTAACATGTACTTTGGTATAACCCAATATATTCTAATATGTACATAAGTTACCAGTTATGATATATTCTCAGTGCAAAAATAGTAACGTTTATATTGCAAGTGAAATAGATGTAATATAATCCCAAAGGTTACCTAAGCTCGGACCATTCATTTTTCCGGCTCAAGATACGTTTAACCTTGCATCACCGACCAGACCCTCAAGTAGCTCCCAACTCCAAGCAGACACTCCCCAAAACACCTAGAAAATGCATCTCTCAGCCACCGGCGTCTATTCGCTGCTGTCCCTTCTCCCCTCCACGCTCGCAACTCAACTCATCTTCACAATCCCAACAACTCCCCAACTAAACCCATCAACTCTCCCCCCCTCCACTCACGCGATCCTCAGTACCCTTTCTCACACGCACACCGCGCCTCTCACACCATCCAATTCCTTTTCTTTCCGCAACCTTACCAGCGGCTCCTACCTCCTCACCGTTTCCTCTTCAGCCCACGCTTTCATTCCTCTCCGCGTCGATATCCATCCTGCATCCTCCGAGTCAAATCTCATTCCCATAGAAGCATTTACCACTTTCCGCGCCAACGAATGGAGCAACAAGGGAGAAATTATCCCGGTTTCTAAACTCGGAGATGATAAATATACAGCGGAAGTTAAGCCACTTGTCGAGAAAAACTATTATCTTGAGCGAGCCGGATTCTCGCCATTGAGTTTATTGAAAAATCCTATGATCTTGATTGCTGGATTCAGTATGCTTATTGTGTTTGGAATGCCTTATCTTATGGACAATAGTACGTATATTTTTATTGAATTTCTGGGAGTCAGATTTGAGACTTCACAATCATGCCATGTATATATTCTTTGTTTTCTATGCTAACAGTACATCTTTTACAGTGGATCCAGAACTCAAGGCTGAATTTGAGGAGCGCCAGAAGAGTGGTGGTGGAATCACAGGCGGTGCCAATGGCGCCAATCCATTGCAAAATTTCGATGCGGCAGCTTGGTTGGCTGGGTCTGGTGGAAAGAAGGAGGGAGGTGCTGCAAGTGGTGGAAGAGAGATTATCAGATGAGCGTGGTGGTTGCATCCGTGGAGTTTCATTGATACTCTAGCTGATTCATGAGAGGTGATCGATTTATTGGATGATGATAATACCCGGGAACCATGGGTCAAGCTACGATGCGAAAAGTAAATACAGTAAAGATAGATCTGTTAAGACAACATAAAAATGGGGGGTTCTTATACCGTCATAATTTGAGCTTAAATTCCTCGCGCCATAGGGACATCTATATCAATTGCAGATTCATGCTTTGAGAAGCTACCAGAAGCGAGAAATTGACCCATCACTTGAGATTCCATAATGTTTTGGCGCAGAAAAATAATTGCAAGTGCTGATTTATGGTGCCAAGCGGCTCTCATCAGTAGATCTACTCTTTTATCAATACAGTATTTAGTGAATTCTGGATAAATAATTCTCATTGAATATTTTACATTGCAGATCGCATCTTGGATAGACGATCATAGAGCAGACTAGATAGCACTGGTATCAAGCATCCAAATCCAAGGGGTAGTATGGGTGATTCTGCAGTTTCTTATACACCTTACTATTCATACCAGCAGCCATTCAAACAAAGCTCATACTAAGGCTACTTGAGGAGTAAGTCTTTCATACCCTGGCAATAATCACGAACCTAAGTGAAGTCGTCTTCTTCCAGTCTCATATCTCCTACTCATGACTACGAATCAGGCTCGCTAAAAAAGCCAAAATCTTGGGGGGGAAACCTCTCCTTCCAGATAAATCTAATGTATATCGATCAAGATATACAAACCAGAAGACTGAATTTTCACTTATCAGAGTCTTCAGATGTAGAGCTGCAGTTCTGTTTGAGAGGATGTGAAAACTTTATGCGCTACCACTAAGCTGGATCTCACTCATTAGAAGGTTGAAATTCTCTGTTTGGTGGCATGGGTCTTGAGGCGAGCTGTTCCTGTAAAATATTGGGATACACTATGGGGTTGTTTCAGCATTTCCAACTTACCTGATCATCCTATTGAATTTCTCTCCCAGAATAATATATGATATCATTCCCTCAGCATTTTGAACACCCACCCAGGACTTGAAATCCCAATGCCTTGATCAATGATCATACAACAATCTAGATTCTCATCCGGCAATGATGAGATACCCCAAGATTTCCGCTTCCTGGAGGATTTTCCTAGGATCTGACCCGATGGATTGGTAACCAGATTGCTGGGTCGGCGGCTACCAACTCTATATCTCCACAACTTTGCGTATGTAATTTCATGGATTCGTGTCACACCAAGTTGTTTCTGCTTGGGTATCACATGTATCCCTTTGCATTATAAAAGTTAGAACTCAATTCTATCTCTTCGATTTACAGTACTTCAAAATTCCTCGGCTCATCTTTTAAATATCATTACCTTGAGTACCTTTGCCGACAGCGGCCGATGTCTCGCGACCTCGCTTATCCTATGACCTCGACACGTTTTAATCTTCTGAAACAAACAAACGTCCATCGACCTCGACCGCTCCGCCTGCCTGGGGCGCTAAAAATAGCCGGGTATGGGGTTCTTGGGTTTCGGATACGTACCCCTAGGATTGGTTAAAGATACTTGGAGAAGTTGGTCAAGAGGTTTGTTAGCGGCGATGAGGAGGGATTGGGTTGGAAGCTGGACACTAGGGATGTTGTAAGACGGGTGGTGGCATTGTGTCTGGTCGACTAGCTTGTTCGTGATCCTTTGAATATCGGCTCCTGTACATAGATGAGGAGTACCTCTTGATTCTTCTACATTCATTTTTATTTCCTTCTTCTTGAGAAATAGACGTCTGTTCACTCTTTAACTATCTAGTCACTCTTTTTGAATCTGCAAATTAGTCTTTTATTTTTATTTTTATTTTTATTTTTATATCAGCCTACTAAACGCTCCCTCCCTTTTCATTTACCTCAAAAGACAAACAAAATGTGCTGCTGTTTCGGATCCCGCGGGGAACACGTCGAGCCCGTCAAGAAAATCTCACAGCAAGAATTCGATGAGAAGAAAAAATTGTACGAATCTAGCAGTCATCGATCATTCGTCCCTGCTGAGCTGCATAGGAGGGACCCTTCGAGAGGCAGCAGCACTTCTCGAAACGGGTATCGAGGATCGCAGAGTGGATCTGGTGGTATTAGAGATTCGAGAGGTTATAGCAGTAGTGGGGACTCTCACAGGTATAGTAGTAGTGGATATGGCCAGGAAGGATATAGTCAGGGAGGACATAGTCTGGGAGGACGCTCGCAACCATCATTGGGGACTAGAGCGCTGGGGAGTGGATTGGGATCTACACCGCGGTATGACACTGACTACCGAAGATGAACATAACATGTTTGAGTAATAGGGGATTCTGCATTATCTTTTCGAGGCGTGAAAGAAGGCCGAGAAGACATGCCCAGAGGAGAAGATACGATGCAGGACATCTATCTGCGATACTTCCACTCATATCTTCGAGGCTCTCTCAGGGACACGTCACCACACCGCCCACCACCCACCACTTAACTCTATAGTTTGGTCAGATCTGCAACACCACCACCCACGAGCAAAGACCCCACAAAGGTATCAAGGACGAGAGAGGGAACCTCGTTTTGAGCGATATCCGCATCAAAGATCACTAGGAGAACTTGTATATCAATTCCGCTTCTTGCAATTTGATTTAATGGGAGTCTGGCATACACGGTTGGGAGTTTTGAAGTACTGGTTAGAAGATAGTTAATATGATGCAGGAAAGTTATGAGAAAAAGAATATTTTAATCAATATTTCCTCGTTAGATCAACCTCGTGAGTTTGTTTTCCTTATGATGTAATTACACTGAAGTCCTCGGATCGGCCTTCAAGAATTTAGGACGAAAGTTTACGAGATTCTAGATGTTGATGAAACTTTCTTCAACTTCAAAGGTAATCGCTGAAAAGAAGGGATTTAAGAAAAACGAGAAATCTCACAACTTAGTTGCACTGAATTCTTGAACAATAGCGTTTTATATAATATATAATTTTTTGACTAGCCCACCTTCCCGTTACTAGTACTACTTCTAAGTCTACCCGCACCCTTCTTTCTTCCTCCATCTAAACCATACAATCCGCCCGCAAAAAATACCAAAAATGCACCCACCAAGGTCCCAGGACTAAGTCTATTTCCAAACAACCAAATGCTCAATAATAAACTAGCCAGTTTTCTCACATTCAGTACAATCGTTACCGTGAGTGCAGAAGATGCAGCGGCAAGTAAATTAACTCCGCGTATACATGCATATTGAGTGAGCACATTCATAGCAAGAAAGACGAGTTGGCTTGGTAGGTAGATCTGTGAGATTTTAGAAACGAGGTCGGAGGGGAGCGTTTGGACATCGAGGAAGGGAAGGCTGAGCGGCGCGGAGGAGGCAAGCCTGAGGAATTGGCGATACATGGAGGGGAAGAAAGGAGCGAAAAGAGGCAGTGCGAGAATATGTGAGTAGAAGAGGTTTTCTTTCCAATGGGGTCCGTATTCTTTGTAGGTTTCTTCCGTGTAAAGACCCATTATTGCGGAGAGCACTTGGGCAATAAAGAGGATGATAAGTCCTGTGTTGAAAGAGGGTATGTCCGCGTCTACTTTTCCGTCCTGCTAGGGAATTAGTGATATTCGAAGGTGTAAGAAGCATGATAATACCTTAGACTGCGCATCGAACATAGCTGCTGTAACTACCCCAATCGTCAAAAGAATGACAGCTATAATTTGTATCCTAGAGAATCGCTTTCCCCATATGTATCCCGCGGCCAAGGTTGTAATACTACCTCCAGATCGTAAGATGATGTGCATAGGCACTGAAATATTATAGCCGAATGCATGATTGTTCATGACATTGATTGTAAAGAATAAAACAATATTTATAATCCATCGACGTATAGGGACACGATTTGGTGTGAGGAAGAGCGGGGGTCGACTTCGATCGAATTGGGAAATGTAGCTGGTCACAGCTACAAAGATAAATTGAACAAATGTCATAAGGGTTCCTTCAGAAAATTAGAATAGCATTCGATGAGGTGGTGCATGGAGGGAATCTACCGCTATCTTTCTCGACTCTGTTTTGATCAATGTCAGCGGGGTACTCGAAACAACATAACCTCAAAAGCAAGAGAATCAAAACTTACTTGACAATGGCTTCCAAAGCGAAAACCTAAGTATGCAATGAGCTCCTCATCCTTTCCAACTTTCTCAAACTGTAGGAGCACTCACATTTGAGCAACAACCTCCGAAAATCAACCCAAGCATGGCACCCACTGCCAACCATTGCGGAATTGTTTCAATAAATATGCGCCCCGCCATCGCAAGCAATTTTGAGGACGTAGATCTTTTATCATTGATTCCATACATTTCGGCCTTTTCCAATGATGGTGCAGCATTAATAACCTTTGGGGCTACGACATCTCCATCGGCATTCGAAGCTTGTAAATCTCGAAGGGTGGAACGACGCCGTTGGGCCGGCATAGATGCTTGCTGCTGGCTGCTAGCAGAATCAGCTCTGCGTCTTCGAGCCATTCATAAATACGCCTTTCTGACTAACTGAATGCGATCAGGGGGAGGCGTTTCCCGTGCTGGAATCTAAGAATGGAGGATTTTTGAGTGTGATGTTCCAGAATTTGGCTACCGATATGACTGAAAGCGGTACGATGGGATATGATACAAAATTGGATAGTGGCTCAGCAACAATGCAGTTGGTATCAAAAAGAAGAAAACAATTTTAACAGTGATGTTGAAATCTGACACGTAGAATAGAGGCACACTACTGTATTTTTATTTGCTTTTTGATAATCCCCCAATTGCAGGTGCGCTCTGCAAGGATAAGTGCCTAGGTAGGTACTGCGTAGATTCTAGCTTTCAGGTTTTTTTTCTCTAAGTAAAGAACGTTATAATCTCTATTATAGTCCCTAGACAGGTATAGCTGAAGGAAGTAGTAAAGGACAACGTGGAAGTACCTACCCTGAGTACTTTTAGCTGAGGTAGTAGCTGTTTAGCATGGTTGTTTTGGAATCTAGAGCAAATATACCCCATAAATAGTATCATGGTCCCTGTAAGTCCCCTGATATTGGCGTCTACTTTTCAGCGATTGCCGAATAACCCCGGTAGTAGCTTAATAAGGTTATTTAAAGCTCTTGAAGCTTATAATCAAGTACTGTTGAAGAATAATTGCAATGTATTATCATTACAAGTCCCTCGAAAACATTGTTCAACTGACATTTAACTGACATTCAACTAGCTGCAGCGGGAAATGGATGGAAGTCCATTCACAGTATATACACCTATCTAGCTGCATGCTAGGGATAAATGGAAATGCCAATTCCGTTCCTCTTACAGATTAAAAGATCTTTGAAGAGCGTAACCTTTCATCTATAAAGCTGTTCCTGGTGGTTGCCCCCCAGTGAGCTAACAAACATTACATTACAATTCTGATACTTCGAAGGTTCTTCCTGATCAGGAGCAGCTGCGGCTAGTGCTACAACTTACAAATGTCACCATCTTCCATGAGCAGTCCCCGATACTTCCTCAAATCTCAGAGCTTTACTTCATCTATCAAGAATTCAATGAACAAATGAGTTGGCCGATTCCAGGAAAGTCTTCCGTTGCAAAGCTTCAGTCCATATATTCAAGTGAAGTTCAAAAATACTCAAATATGGTTACCAGCACCTCAAAATATCTGCCATATTTTCAAACTCAAATCTACCAAAAGAATCCGTACAAGCCAAGAAAATTTCATCCAACACTCTTCCAAAAAGACAACAACGTAGACAATCCGAAAGAACCCCCCTAAAATCTAACCGAAAACCATCTCAATTGAAACACCCTCCCTAAGAACATACCCTTCCAAGTACAAAAATCACACCACAAGACCATCATAATCATCACCAAAAACCCTCTATCAAAGCCGTCCCTTTCCATCAACAATACTATAATCCTTCCACATCTTAACCCCCCCATCACCCACACCATCTCCCTTAATTCTCGAAGCGATGATTTGTTTCCGTGCTAGCCATTCTTCTCTGGACTCAGCGCTCCCTCTGCGGAGTAAATATGTACCATCATCATCCTCTTCGATATTAATATCTGCATTTTTCAAAAGCGAACCGTGCTCTTCGACAGAAGATGTTCGACGATTGTGGGTATGGAAGTGGGAAAAAGGATTAGAATGCATGTGAAAGTGCTTGTGAGATTTAGTCGAGGAATTGGAGGAGGAAGGTTGGGATAGGGAAGTGGAAGTGGATGTTGGAGAGGAGACAGAGTGGTGCGATGACGAATTGCCCATTGTATTGACTATGTATGAAATATAGCTCTGTAAACCGAATAAGTAAATTCGAGGAAGCAGATAGATAGTATTCGAATCCCCAGACAAAACAAAAATATCAACCAAAATACAGAAAATCAAGCATGCGCAACTGCTCCATCCCATCCTCAATATATCACTCCCAGAACCTGTACACCCCCATCAAACCCCAACATGCACACACCTCACCAGCCATCCCAACACCCACAACAACATCAAGATCCGCCCTCGCAAAGCCCTCGTCCGGGTCTTCAGCCCTACAGCCTTCTTTCCACAACCACCACAACGCCAATAACCCATCTCTTATCATGCACGAATACTAATATGTAGGGCTACAAGCGACCGTGATTATATGAAGTTGGTCCGTAGGCGCGCGACTACCTCGTTCCACGAACGTTCCGAGCGTGGTAGGAAGGGAGACCCGGCCGTTTGAGGGACCGCTCCAACAGCTTTGTTCGATCGATCAGTACGATTATATCATAGAGGCAGTGCAGATATCTTGGGAAGATTAGCGGGCGATGATATCATGTGAGTGTTCATCTGCATAGAATCAAGAGAACTCGGTAGCTGTAGTGACAGATTTACTTCTCGTAATCTGCGTGATGTTTTCACACCATATACTTCTCCCCTCTCACTTGTGATCGATTTTGCAGATATAAGTATAAGTTATTTTACCTTGTATTCCTTCTTCCTTTTTTTTCTGGTATTTAGCAACGATAATGATAATATTTCTGCTCTCCTCATTCCTAAAACTGAGACTGAACACTGAAGAAGACGATAAGGATTTTGAAGAATGCCTTCTAGGACATATCATTAATCAAACAATCTTTCCGCGAAAGCAAAGAAGAACTGGCGAATGGTAGTTTTGAAACATGTATATCATGCTCGGATTATATATGTATATACTCAACACGTGCGCATTTATGTGTTTCCGACATGCTAGATAGAGCCTTGGATATAATGTTCTTTTTAAGCGACGAGGTCGCTACTCATTGATCTATTACACAGCGACGTCGCCGACTATCTCGAGGCTTCTTTGACTTATGCTCCTGAGAAAGCCCTAGAGTGTCTCCTACACCGTGTTGCACGTCATGGAGACCCAGCACCGAGAGAGTTCAAAAGTCTACATGATGAAATCGCCGAGATCTGATCATCATATCATTTCGTAGAGGTTCCCGGCCATAACGATGTCTAATGGACCCATCCAACGCCCGCGTACTCCCGAAGCATCGCTCTAATCCCGATACCAAGTTTATAGTCGTACTCATTACTCGGATCCTCCCGCAGTCATTGTTAACATCGCTGCTCCCAAAAGAACCCACCAATACCTAAAGTTCACAAGATTAGCACACCCATCTATCCAATTGACCTTGTCGCAAAACCCAACAAGAAAGGACTCACTTCTGTAAAAACGTCTTCTCCGGCACCTCCTTCTCCAGCTTTCCCTCCTTACTCAAAACAACCTTAGGGCCCAAGACAGGTTCCTTCCCCTCAACCATCCGTCTAATCTCGACTTTCGGCGCAAAGTCCCTTGTAGCACCCGCATCTATAACACCACTCTTAATCGTAACGCCCAACACCGCACCCTGTGAATCCAATGTCAAAAGAATAGTCGGTCTATAACCCTTTTCGAAATTCGACAAGGAAAGAAGAGAAGTGGAGCTTTTGAAGACAGCGGTGGCAGGATCGAAGATGCCTATGCGAGCGAGATTTTCATTGGGGTTACGGGAGTCCGATTCTGGAGATGAGGATATCTCGGGAAGGAGATCGGTAGGAGGATCGTAGGATGAGAGGGAGGCGGAGAGAGTAGAGGGGTTGTACGATATACTTGCTAGTGGGTATGCGGAGGCGGAGAGGAGGGGTTGGATGTAAATTGTTGCTGTGTCTGTTTGGTCTGTGATTGCAGCGGCCGAGGGAAGGAAGTGTGCGCAGAGCGCGAGGAGGAGAGTGGCGGGTTTCATGATTGTGCCTGGGTTATCGGGTTGGATTGTTGGAGCGAAGCTGGAGATTTGAGGTGAGAGCTTCGTGGAGCTATTGTCTGGGGAAGGCTGTGATTACGTAACATGATAAGCGCGAATGTTCGAGATTCCATGCTGTGGATCAATTTCAACGTTTGATTTATGGATTGTACGACACAATGTACAACGTTGAGAATTCATTCAGTTACGGCCTCAATTCAAGAAATTTGATATTTGCCTATAAAGTTCCCAGAGCATCTCGTGTTTCTCCTCTAACCATTCGACATAACATGACTGTTTGCCTGCAGAAACAACAGCTTTTCATAAGATTTGGCAAATAATGCCATTTGCATTTCAACTTGAGTATATACATGATTCCCTCAAAAACAGACAAAACCGAGGCACCCCTTGATCTATTTATCAATGCCGTGTAAAATACTCCTACCCAACCCCATAAAACCAAAGAATCAAGGCGAAAGAGAAAGGGGTATTATAAGACGCAATCAAGGTCCTTCTGACCGTGAAGACTCTTCATGTCCAGACTCTGTCTTATGATTTGGAGCATCTGACTCCTTCGTGTTACTCATATCTGCGTCAACTCCAACCTCGGCTTGCTCGGGGGTATTAGGCTCGTCGCTTTCTTCATCATCATCTTCTAATTCATCAGAGTCATCCGTCATATCTCCTTCCATTTTGTAACGCTCGTTTCGCTCAATTAACCCTTTGTAATAATCGGTCAACATTTCTGGCTTTGGGATTATTTTCCAATCAACACGGTGTAAAAATTCAAGCTCCAGTAATCCTAATTCTGCCAATTTGACACCACCAACTCTCGCATAAGTAGAATTGTTCCAGAAAATGTCCGAAAGTCCTTTGGAGGCTACCGTCGCTGCCGTGATCAAAAATCGATGAACAGTCAATGTTGTAATGGTAAATGCAGGGTATGATGCGCAAAGTTGATCAATGTAATAAACCATAGAAAGTAAGAGAGGAGGTTTTAGGGTTGCATGCTTTGCAAGCCGCGCCAGATAATCAAGCACGGAAATCCCAGGAGGTGACCTAGAACTCATCAGTAAAGAGGTATCCTGATACAATATGAATATACACACCTAGAATGAAAGCGTGTCAAGACCCCGCCTTGGGGAGGAAGAGCGTCATTTCTTTGAATCAATTCTGCGATCATACTAGCTATAAGGATGACCATATCCTCTTCCTCACAGTGCTCATACTGTCGAGGCAAAATCTTCACAGACGTTTGAGGTTTTACTCTTTTCGAGAGAGACTCCTTTTTACTGGAAGTATTCGCATCTTCAATTGCCGATTGGCGTCTCTTCATGCTTGGTGATTCTGGTTGTATTGGTGGGTTTATATTTCGTAATACATTGACGTTGGGTTGCTCTGGCGCAATGGTGGGTTCCGGAGGAGGATCTTCTACTTTCACCTCCGCGGACGGCGATGCTCCATCTGCCATCCTAGAAGGCATCATGGGAGGACTCCACTGCGTAGATGCATCAACATAGACCCATTTCTTTGGTTGCGACTGGGGTGTCGATTGCTGTTGTGGTTGTGGCGAAGGAGAAGGTTTGTTTGCAGCCGATGTTCTGCGCGACAGTGAGGGTCGTGTCGCAGTAGGTGCATAGTGATAGAGAGTAGGAGAAGCTTGAGATCTGCTCAGTGATGGCGACTTCAACATATTCCTTTTTCAAACTGAATCATGATCAGTGCCTTCCGACTCTGGACTAAATTGGCGGAGTGGAGTTGAGTGAGTGGGTAAGAACGATGGGGTGGGGTTTTGATAGGGCGTGGTGTCAGAAATAGCTGCGATTCGATACTTTTGATAATCGTGGAAGGACCTAAGAGAGAAAAGTAGGAATGAATGTACAGTACAGTCTTATACGAAGTAAGGTTTTGATTCTAGCGACTTTGTGATGTATCTGGGTTTAGTAAGGAGGAAGTAAGTAGGAAAGGAAGCAAAAGAAATAGTCGATAAGGTGGAAGAAAAGTGTTGACGGGAAAACTTTGCTTGAGAATGAATCCGGTTAATGTTTAATAGGATAGATAGTATTTGACTATGTAGGATGTGTATATATGTATATATGTATATACCTAGGTATATATATGTATGTATGTATGTATGTATGTATGTGATAGATACTAGGCGATAATGACTCGTGGTACAACCACAATCATGGATGTCTTCTTCTCCTCCTCTTTCTATCGAGTATTTGGTATTCAATTTGTGTGATCAATTGATATCATTTTCGTTATCTTGTGTGAATGGAAGATCCATGGATACCTTGAACTACCTAGGTACTTTCCACTACCTTCCTCCCTACCTCCGATCCATGTGAAGAATTCCAATCCCATCCCACGCTTATTAACTTATAAGGTAAAACCCCAGACTCCAGAGTAGCGCGTCATCCTTCAGTAATAGTAATAGTAATAGTAATAGTAATAGTAATAGTAATAGTAATAGTAATAGTAATAGTAATAGTAATAGTAATAGTAATAGTAAAAGTAAAGAAAGAGTGTTCGGTTCAGAGCAGAATACATAGAAATAGAGTATCTCCTATGTGATGTCTATCTGACCTACAAAATATCTACCTGCCTCAATTACCCGTACCTACCAAGGTCTCTCCATATTGTAATAATCATCGTAATCTTACATACCGGATCCTTCTTCAAGCAATTGATTGCACTGTTATTTAATATTTGTCTTTCAACAATTACATTGTTGTTGTTCTTGTTTTAAAAGAGGTAGGTATTGTATGGTATTGTACGAGATCCAACTCATTCGTCATTAACCTTAGTTCTAATGGAACCTTATTAACAAATTCCCTATCCTATCTGCGTACAACATTCAAACATTCTTTCTATCCAACCTACTGCTAATAAATCAACCACGAATCACACCATCTTACCTGTCGATCATAAATCAATTCAAAAAAAATATTTCTTGCTACGTCTAATAACTTCCGTCGTCATCGGGTGCCATTTCGAGATAGTTTTCCCTACATTCACTGGTTTGAAAGTACAATATGGCTAGAAGTTTAGCCACACAACGATGGCCGCTCTTGATTCGAAATGCCAGGTCTACCTCGCAGCAGATCGCCAACTTGAAAGGTCTGAAGAATGAAATCGTTGGACATGCTTTAAAGAAAGAAATGGTTGTAACCATGGGCCTCGTGGAACCTGTCGTACGCCTATGTTTCAACAAGTCGGTTCCCAAACATCAGGACGGAAAGGCACACGACCATAGTTATCCGATCCGACCATCACAAGAAGAGGAGGAACAGGAAATACTTCGACTGCAAGCCCTTCAAGTCTTAGGAAGCCTAGCATATGGTTAGCAGATTTACTATACTCATTGTACCCTTTCACTAACATAAGCTAGGTGGTCCAGCTTTCCTTGCGCCATTACACTATGGCTCTGCGCTCCCAGCTATCCTATCGAACTTTTGCCCATCGAATAATCCACCACAAACAGTTCTCGCAGCACTTTGGGCCCTGACCAATCTTGCAGAATCTGCAATGCTTGCCACAAGTGCACATCCTATCACCATCAAATCTCTGGCCGCAGCGTTATTCACACGCCCGCACCTTGCCTCGCTAACTCGCATCATTTCCCAGAAATCTTCATCGCACATTATACAAAATCAAATCTCGTTGGCGGCATCACTTATAGCTCGAATATGCTTACAGGAGTCTCACCAACAAAGTCTAGCAACTTCCGGTGTTCTGGATGCTTTAGCTGTGAAGCTAGCCAGCTTTGTTGTTGCTCAGGGACTGGTTATTCCAGGTGCAGATATTATTGCGCATAGAGACGGACTACTGGAATACTTCCCCCAAGCTTCAGCCTCATGCGTCAGCTTTCCGGCGATTTTAGAGGCTCTCGCTAGTATTGTAGCCGAATCCAAGTTGAGAGCTTCACAACTACTTTATCACCCATCAATTATGGCCGTATTTCCATCGATACCAGCAGGGGAGGATCCGATCCCGCAACACTCAAGAGCTGCTTGGAATGCGTCCAATACAGGAGGCTTAGGCTCAAAGCAAAGTCAATTGAATGCTATTGATTATTTACTCCCGATCATTCCACAACATCCAGTAAAGAGCGCACAGGCTTTCGCATTTCCGCCACTTGGTTCATCTAGCTCTCGGGAATCTCCCAATGGTCGTGGAAAGTCTAGTTCTGCTTCCACATGGGGCGGCGCCCTAGATCGCAATGGCTCACCACCGGAAAGTCAAGTGGTTCCAGATGAATCTGAAACCCCCATGGTTGCATATTTGATATTTATCATGAGGTCACGAGAAGGCAAGGAGAGACTTATGGCTGCATATCTGCTAACAGTTTTATTTCGAGTCGGTCTCATCAACAAAGTCCGAGAACCGACATTAGCTTTGCTAGTCGTGCCGCTTCTTGTGCAGATGTTGAATGAAGATTCCACCTCAGTAAGGTCTAGGGATGCTTCTCATGATCATGAAACGTTGAGGATTGAGTGGTCAATCACAGAAATGGCTCCACGAATATTATCCTTATTGATCACGGATAGCGAACATCTTCAAAAGGCCACTTTTCAAAACAAAGCAATGCCTAAGCTATCTAAGTTGATAAAACTGGCTTATGAGCCAGTACCAAAGAGTGAAAATGCCCAATTCTGGTCACCTACTCAGTCGAATGAGGCCGAAGATTTTGCGGAACAAACCCCATCCTCACGTCTTGGCGATCCTGGTCAATCTGCTCTCCTTGTTCACAAAATAAAAGTAAGGGAAAGCGTGTTGAGAGCTGTAGCCTCTCTTGTTCCTTTCAAAGAAGAACACCGAAAGTCCGTCGTGGATAATGGTATCATTCCTTATATTGTGGAATCGCTAAACCCTAGCCCCCAAAGACCATCAACCAAGGTCAATGATAAAAGTGACAAAACAGAGAAGAAACCCGAATCAAACGGCGTTGAGGGTAAGCAGGATGGGTACGGGATCAACCACGTGGGCGTTCTTATCGCTGCTTGTACCGCTACCCGCGCCTTGGCAAGATCGGTCTGTATACTTCGGACTACCTTGATTGATAATGGGGTGGTTGCACCAATATTTCCCCTTCTCACTCACTCAGATGTCGAAGTCCAGATTGCTGCTACGGCTGCAGTCTGCAATCTTTTGACTGATGTTGCCCCAATGCGAGAGGTTTGTACACATTCGATGCTATTATCACCTCGTTACTAATTCATTCGCAGAGTTTCATGGAATGTGGGGTACTTAGGATCCTTTGTGAACAGGCGCACTCGACAAACGCAAAGCTTCGTCTCAATGCTACCTGGGCACTCAAACACTTTGTTTGTGGTGTTGGCAATGAGGCCAAAAGAAAGTGTTTGGAGGAGTTAGGTTCTGGATGGTTAGACCACCTCATTTGTAATGATACAGAAGATGAAGCACTTCTCAAAGAAAGCAGTTATAGCACAGCCTCTGGGCCTGATGATGCTATGGACGAAGATGTGGAGATGAGTCAGTTTGAAACACCAATGAATGGTTCATTCCCAGCCCATAGCAACTCCAGATCTAGTAGTAGCAATCGCAGCAAAAGCTTACAGCAAGCAGAAGCTAAACTCGCAGCTCTAAGGGAAGCTGAACTAAACCCGGCTAAAAAGGCCAGAAAAGACGATCTTGCTGTTCAAGAACAAGGTCTGGATTTCATACGAAATTTGATTTCAAGTGCAGGATCAAGCAATAGTGGCACTGCAGAAAACACTGAAATGATCGACTTTCTTTTCAATTCTTTGGGTCAAGACCGAGTTTTCGATATTCTGGCATCCAAGCTTCGACCAAAGATCATCAGTATTCCCTCCAACACTAATCGCAGAGATTCTAATGCACAAGAGAAGAAAGTCATAACCCCTCAACCAGAGATTATTGTCGCTGTCGTTTATATCCTAGTTCATATGGCCGCCAGTATCCCTCAACATCGTCAAATCGTCATCGCCCAAACTGAACTCCTTAAACTTCTCGTCCCTCACTTCACGAATAAAGCTTACGAAGTACGAGTCGCATTGTGCTTTCTGGTCTCCAACCTCACCTGGGTGGATGATTCGAATGATGGGCCCGCTTGCGCGCAACGCGTACATAATTTGAAACAACTCGGCATCCTCGAAAAAATTGAGAATCTGGAACATGATCCGGAATTGGATGTGAGAGAAAGAGCTAAAGTTGCTCTTTGGCAGATGAAAGCTCCAGTTCTCAGTTGATTAACTGCAAAACTCCTAAACATGTGTATATGGGGAATGGGTATTCTGGGTTTTAAAGCATGGGCGTTTGGAATGGGGATTATAAACCTGTGTATTTATGAATGGATGGCATCGGTTATGGAGCGTTTGTATTATCACGCCGGGATATAAATTCAAGGGATGGGGAAGCAAATCATCGATGGGTTGTTGATAAGGTATCGAAATATTCTCAGGTTGAACATCATCAATGGAAGCACGTTGGTCTGGTGAAATAGTAATTTAATTCGAAATCTTTTAGTTGAACCACCTCAGTAGTTAGAAAACAATGACACCTGACGAAATGTTTTTCACTAATCAAGGATTTGTGAATGTTAGAATTCCTTGTAAGGGGTAGAGAAAATCGACAGTATTTCGATGTGTGACCTTTTGGAGAATGATAAATTTAAATCATTGGGTAGTGAAAGCACCTCGGATTCTCACTCCATCGGATGCGTTCGATGGAGTACTGGTGTACCTAGGTAGGTAGGTAGGTAGGTAGGTAGGTGGTAGGCAATGATACGGGTCGGATCACGTGCAAATCAAGCTTTGGTGAATTTTTTATTGACCCACAGAGAGAGTCCTTTCTGCACAACCTAGTAATAAATATCTGGAACTAATGATTCGTAGACAAGAGTAACTGGGGCTCAACAATTAATAGCTTTACAAGACGAGTGTCAAGTTACCTGGAATTGAAAAAATGAATAGAGTACTCACTGAAAACAAGGCCGAGGCTTCGACTACTACATCAAGTGTTCTTGTTCCTCTCAAGACCACTTTGGAAACGAGAGCTCGATATTCATTGCTCAGTGTTTACATCGCCAGCGTTCCAGCGAAAAAAGCCAGTGGTGTTCTTAAGTAAGTGTTGGCCCTTATTTTTGTGAAACTATGCACGTACTCATACTTTCTCAGTTTAACAAGAAGACTCTTTCCTGAAGATGGTGGCTATGATCTACAGCACATAAGAAGATTTGCGAAACAAACAGACGTTCCAGGTCACGTTCGCACTTCTATGCTAGAAGCAAGATCGAAGAGCGATGACTCAGTTGAAATTGAATCTTCCGAGCTTTTCCTTCTTGTGGGAGCTGCAAATCTCATCAGCTCGGAAGAATTGCGCGGTGCCCTTTCTCCAATTTTAGATTCAGCAACCATTTGTTCCATCGAAGTACCTTTGTTAGCCCCGACATCGCAAGAACAAGCGAAGTCTTGGTCGTCTCAATACTGGCCCATAGTATACAAGAAAAGTAATCCATTTGGTCCCCACCCAGCAATTGTATCTAGAGCAGAAGAAGAAATACAAGGAGAAGTCGAGAAGTATATGGACTTAGCGGCTGAAGTAGCTCGTTCTTCAAGCACGACAGGCGTTGGAGAAAAAATCGGTGCTGTAGTTGTCGAACGAAAGAATGGAGTTGCGCGCATACTTGCGATTGCTGGTGACGCGCGATGGATGAATTGGCCACGGGTTGGGTCTGGTAATGTTACGGCGCATGCATCGCTTCGAGTTATTGCAATGGTAGCAGATGGAATTAGAGTTCAAGAAGAACGAAAAGCTGGCAAAGATTCAGAAGCAAATACTTCAAAACAAAAATCAATTTTCCGAGATCAATCATTGGATGTCCTCGAGGCAGAGCACCACAACTCGGCTGAATGGATTGACGGATATCTTTGTCATGAGTTGGAGCTTTATATAACACATGAGCCTTGTGTTATGTGCTCCATGGCTATCGTACATTCTCGCTTTGGACGAGTAATATTTGGACAACGTATGCCAAAGACTGGTGGTATGTGTGCAGACAGCGAACTCGGCCACGGACTATTCTGGCGTAAGGAACTGAACTGGTCGTTGCTAGCCTGGCAGTGGACTTCTGGCAAAGAAGATACCGAAACATCCAAAGAATTACAAAGCCTAGTGTCTCATCTTGGTATACACGCCTGATGTTCCGAAGAGGCTACAAGAAAATGCTTTCTAAGCCCCCACGATCATTCAGACTTGAGCATCAAACCACGACTCTGATAATAGTGGCCACTGATACCTAATATCTCGATTGGAAGCGTAGAATAAATTCACTCCCATGGTTGCAGTGGTAAGCAACGGTTAAATCGGCATAATTGTCCCAGCTGGTTTACAAAGATTCGAACTTACCAAATTTGAAAGGGCCAAGAGAGCTGAACATTCAGCCAGATATCATATCGCTTTCAACCGTGGGCTGCTTAAACTCAAATCAAGTCCGAACGTAATCATGGCAGGGCAGATTACACGAATGAAGATGGAAATTTTCGTTTGTCATAGATCTTTCTGTCTAAAGACCCCTTAGAAGAACGTGCTCTATGCCGAGCTCCCTTCTCATAGACTTCTAAACTTCGAGAATCCTTCTATGAAACAACGCCATCGCTTCTAGCATCCCGACTCAAATGCTTATCAGTGCCAAGAACGCCTTGGGTCTGCAATGCAGTGGCGCAGATGGCTTACAGTCAATATGGAGTGATTGTATATGGCATGTATTGTTATTCGTGGATAGATCGAGATCAAGCAGTCTCTTCGGCCCATAACGCTACAAAATGGAGGGTTTATACTTCCTTATAGACGGCAACATAGCTGCTGCCTCGTATGGTGCAGTACACGCTACATTATTAGGCTACACAGAAATCAAACCAATCGATTTATTGAATCTAAAATTGCCTTGAAGTTTGATACAATGCCGTCGCTGGTAACACTACGAGTGCATTAAGCGAATCAATACAACCACCCATGCTCGCGATATATTTGGTAAAAATCACCCGGTAGTACGTGTTACAGGGCTTGATTGGAGAGATTTGAGCAACCTTGTACCAACCTCTGGACTGCAAACGTGCTAGATCTATAACATCTGATTTGTCGTATTTTTGATTCTTCAATATCAGCCTCGTCGGCTGTAGCCACTATATGCAACACACTTTTCGTCACTTGTGAAGCCCGTTTCTATATCATAATCTGTAATTCGTTGATATATAAACATGTTTGGTACAACCACATTTACCACGCCACAAATTGGACGGGAACCTGCCATATTCAGTGATTTCTACATTGAGTAATGTTGTGAGAGACAAATCGCTCACCAATTCAATGTTACCCAATGGCTTGGCTGGCGCTTTCATTCACTGCTTGATAAAGCTGACTGCCCTCGTGGGTGTTTTATAATGCAACTCTGCTTCAAATTTCTTGAAGATTGAAAGTGATATAAGACAAGCATAGAATTCAGAACTCTCTAGTCCTTCAAAGCCATCTAACAATGGCGAGCCCAGAGCTTCCAAGAGAATCCGCACCTCATCCATCAGCTCCCGCTGCTCTTCACACAACATCGGGTGGAAATGCCGTTTGGCACAATTTTAACAATGATTTTGCTCACATCCAAGATCCCAATGAGAGACGAAGACTCGCTCTAGCGGAAATCGATCGCGCTCCTTTCGGATGGTACCATGTTCGTGCGTGTGTGGTTGCCGGCATTGGGTTCTTTACCGATTCTTATGATATCTTTGCTGTTGGACTCCTCACCACCATGCTGGGAATAGTTTATTTTCCGCACAACAAAGGAGTTATGCCAACTACTTCCGACACGGCAATCAAGGTCTCGACGAGTGCGGGAACGGTGGTTGGTCAATTTGGATTTGGTATCTTGGCGGATATTGTAGGACGGAAGAAGATGGTATGTGCGTTGATGATAGGCAATGCCTCAATGCTTATATGTCATCGCAGTATGGACTGGAGTTGATCATTATCATTTTTGCTACGTGTGAGTACGGATGCTTCGTTAACTTTTTTGTGTCAATTTCGTACTTCTGTCACTTGATTTCACTCTCTACTCGTGTGTTTCATTCTATGTACTCTTTCTCTCCATGCAGCAATAATACTTCATTGTTGTCATTTTCTCTTGAATACTGTGCTTGACGGGGAACACTAACCCTCTAACCCTACAGTGGCACAATCTCTAACCTCGAGTTCTCCGGCTGTGAACATCGTGGGCGTCATAATCTTCTGGCGTGTTCTTATGGGTATCGGTAAGCTTATGATCCTGCCATCTTCAAACAGACATGAATGGAAAGAACTGACTCAATTGGTAGGAATTGGTGGTGATTACCCACTCTCATCTATTATCACATCAGAGTAAGCTTCTTTTCTATCAGCCATCAAATCTTGGGTTCTGAAATTGGGGAATCCATTCTACTCATTGGGGGAAAAATTGGGCAAATCATCATTGCATTATTGTGAAAAGCTATGGATACTTAGGATCCTTTGAAACTTCATCTTCATGCAATATTCTCGCTCAAAACCAAGCATAGTCTAACAAGCACATAGATTCGCTACCACCAAATGGCGTGGAGCAATGATGGGAGCAGTCTTCGCCATGCAAGGAATCGGCCAATTCGTCGCCGGTCTTGTCATGCTAATCTTAGTCGCCGGCTTCAAAGAATCTCTCCTGACCGCCAAATCCGCCGCAGTATGTCAAGGGGTATGCGGCTTGGCAGTTGATAAAATGTGGAGAGTACTTATTGGATTTGGTGCGGTGCCAGGTATGTAAATATACTCCTGAGTTTAGCGAAAATAGGCTGTCCGTCAAAGTATCCACTAATACCCGCTGCGCTAGCTTGTGTGGCACTCTACTACCGACTCACGATCCCCGAAACACCGCGCTATACATTCGATGTTGCGCGCGATGTGGAACAAGCGCAATTAGATGTCGAAGCATATATAGCCGGTAAAGCAGAAGGACACCCGGATGAAATAGCGCGAGTCCAGGGACTCCAGGCCGGCAAGTCTCAAATGAAAATCCCCAAAGCTAGTTGGAGTGATTTCGTCGCTTATTATTCGCAATGGAAAAATGGGAAAATCCTCTTTGGTACGGCTGGTTCTTGGTTTTTGCTCGATGTGGCTTGGTATGGATTATCGTTGAATAATCCTGTCATATTGACTGCGATCGGTTATTCAACGGGTCCGACGGTCTACAAAACCCTATTGAATACCGCGATTGGAAATCTCATCATTGTGTGTGCTGGTGCGATCCCAGGGTATTGGGTTACGGTTGCAACAGTTGATACGATTGGACGGAAGCCGATCCAACTTATGGGATTTGTTGTTCTCACGATTATTTTTATCGGGATGGGTTTTGGTTACCATAAACTTTCGGGGCATGGGTTACTGGGTCTTTACGTGGTTGCCCAATTTTTCTTTAACTTTGGTACGTGCTCTTTTTTCTCTCCCCTTCCCTTTCCCTCCCTCTGCAACCCTAGAACCTCCCAAAATGCCAATCCCGCAACTGACCATCCCCCAGGACCCAACACAACAACCTTCATCGTGCCGGGCGAATGCTTCCCCACGCGCTACCGCAGCACCTCTCACGGGTTCAGCGCCGGCATGGGCAAGATTGGTTCCATCATCGGCCAAGCGGCCATCGCGCCCCTGCGTGTGCGAGGCGCAACTGCAAAATCTGCAAGCCCATGGTTAGATCATGTTCTGGAGATCTATGCAGTCTTCATGTTTGCGGGGATATTTACAACGCTGTGTATACCCGAGACGAAGAGGATTAGTTTGGAGGTGTTGAGTGGAGAGGATTATGGGAGTGAGGGGGTGAGAAGTGGGGGGAGTGGGAGTGAGAGGGGGAAAGGGGTCGAGGTGGAGGCGAAGAGTGTTTAAGGAGGGGGTGTAGGTTGTTGCTTGATGGACGAGGATAAATGGGTGAGGGGAGGGAAGGGAGCAATAGTATGATGTGATATGATGATAATGAACAAAGCTGCTGGTATCAGCAAAGTCCTTGATTAATGCTAAATTAGGAGCAAACCAAATGGAATCCTGCATGTAACTTCCCTATTAGTGAACAAATGCTTGAGAAAAGATTAAGCACCGAGTTGGTAGTCTTAGACAACGCATAAATTATGAAGTGCTTCGATCTTCCCAGGGTTTGGACTATTTATGTGAACTGCTCTGCCACAGAAAATCCTGTCCTCTATGAGGAGTGAAAATATGGTTCAGCTAAAAGACAATGGCACCTGATGAATTGTTTTCCTCCCCTCAATAAATGTGCATTCAATTCACTCTACCTAGCCGCCAGGAGTATACAAGTCTCAAAACTCAAGCCGTCGAAAAGTATAGCACGGCACGGCACCCCCCCACAGCCTCAATGCATCATCCCTATCTTGCCTTCTCTACAACTGCCTACATGCTAACGAAATACCTCGAAACATATTCCAACATGACTCAATAGGATATTTACTCGATCAAATTTCAGCTATTCAACATGCTAGACAGAGTTCACTCCTACATCTACTTCACCAACGGACTTGATTGCAAATAGGCCAAAATCAGTACTTCGAGAATTTGTAGACACGACCCAAGAACTCACACGAAAGCATTGGGACATATTCCATGAATTTTCGTTTCTCATTGCTTTCTAGTTACAAGGTTTTTCTGCTTTTCTTCGAAGTCAAGGCTCATGACCAGTCCAGTAGAAAAGAAAGAAATAATAATGTCAGAAGATCTCTAGAAAGCTCAAAATGAACCATTTACCCATCAGTTAAAGCACATTTTGATTCGTGCGTAAATGGAAGCAGGCGATGCAATAACATACGCCAAGCTAGCTAAAGAAGAAAAGAAAAAGAAAAGAAGCCTCGAAGGTTACAAGAAGAGCCTTTCTTCCCATCGGACAACACGATGTAGAGAAGAGAGACGCAGAAGAAAGGTGTGGACACAAGATGTCTGCTCATGACTATCAAGTGAAAAAACCAATTGACACGCCAAAGAGTAACTAGAACCAGAAAACCACCGCTAGGAAACCAAAGAACAAGGGAAATCGAGTCTATTGTCGCGGTTAATGAAGGTACAAGTTGAGCTGCGCAGTCGCTCATATTGTACCCCGCGCTAGGGATAGAAGGTGTCATATTGAATCATGCTAAGATCTTTTTTTTTGATCAAGCTGCTATGGTACAAAAAGGCTGAAGACTCGCAAGAAAATTTTGCTTCCGTGATGCACGCTATCGCCAATTGAAATTGAAAAGAAACAGGTATGCACGAATGCGATACCTCTAGAATGATGCTAATGTAACAACAAAGGGCCGTGAAAATCGTTTGTGAATACAACCATAGAAGATGAACTGCCCAGAAAGCTCAATGCAAGATCGAAACCTTATCAAAAAGATTTAATCGTGATTAAATGCTAGATGAACTGTAACATCGACTGATTCGGAAATGAATATCGTTCCTCGTACCGTTACAAGCGTTGAAATCGTATCGTCATGCCGAAATTTCAAACAAATTTGATATCGAAAATTCGGGATTAAAACCAGTCGCTACCTGCTCCAGGCTGATTGCCAGATGGAGCGCCAGCTCTACCATAATTGTATGGATGAGCAGCGGCAGGGGAAGTAAGGCGACTGTTTGGTGGAAAGCCAGCTCCTTGCTGAGTTGGAGATTGCATTGCGGGAAGAGGTAAACCGTTGGTTATGGGTGCAGGGCCAATGCCATTTGGAAATCCTCCGGGAGAACTAACAAAAGGACCAGCTGATACATTAGACATGCCACGTTGGTGACGAGTAGCAAGTTGACCAGTCTCGTTGTCGTTAGGTGTGGTGGGACCAGTCGAGGTATTTCCGCGGTTTTCATTGCCCTGGATCTTGGCTTGAATGCGGCGACCATAAGGTGTGGTGCGAATAGCTGGCAGGTGGGGTCGGATAGCCTCAATGAGACGTGTCTTCATGTTCAAGTTGGCATAGTCCAAAGCGGTCTGAATGACATAGTTGGCGAATGAGTCTCGCAAAAGACCGTCAAGCTGATTAGGTTGGAGCATTTCCTCAATCAACATATCCTTGGATGGTTCTTGGGCGCATCGAAGACACTTCTCAATGACGTTTGAACTAAACTTCTGCTTTGACAACTGAGCAACTCGACCTGCGAACATAGCAACCAAAGGCTCGGTGAAGATAGGCTCGTTGAGATCGAGAATATATTGAACCACATAATTACCAAAAGGATCCTGAACCAACACGTAAGCATTGTTAGAGATCTGTCTAATCAACCAAGCTTTTTGATCGCCAGAAGCATGATCAATGCATCTTTGAAGGACACAGCAGCCATGTCTGTGAGTTCCGACATCCACGCAGTGCTGTCCAACGGCATCAAAAATGAATTGGGCATCTGTTGGAGAGAGTTTGTTCAGACACTTCTGAATGACATGATTGCCATTCAAATCCTGGATAAGCTCGACGACACGGTATCGCAAAGCGCCGATGATTGTCTGAACCTGACCCGCTGTGGAGATAAACTCGATCATCTTTTGTAAAGCTCGTGTTCCATGCTGATTCAGAGCAATGCGCACCAAGTCGTGCGAGGCATTCTCGATGAGGACAGTGCGTTCTTCATCGTTGCAGTATTCAAGCAACTTTTGACAAAGATAATTTCCAAAAGGATCGGTCATAAGCTCAATGACATGTTGGTTTGTCTCGAGCCAAATCATGTGAACTTGCTCGGGGTTGCGGTCTTCCAATTTCTTTTGCAAGTAACGGCAGCCATGTTGATCCTTGCATAATGCGTAGATCTCACCACCAAGCTGCTCTAAGGCTACGTTTGCGAAACGGTTCATTGCTGCAGAATATGTTAGCTTGCATCGGTTATAGGTACTCAAAAGCTTACCTTCTCCATCATTTTGACGACGTTGTTGAATGACTCGCGCTTGACTATCTCTCTGTCCACCATTGTGTTGTTGATACATCGAATTGCTATAGTTGTTGTAGGAATTTGGAGGAGGGTACATTTGTTGACCAAGTTGCATGTTCTGCATTCCCAAGCTCATCATATGCATACCATAATTATTATAATAGCCCTGGACTGGTGTAGGGTAATTTTGTTGGCCGCTTGGAGAAGTCACAGATGGTGACATCTGAGCTTGGGACATGCCTTGGGACATGGCTTGTGTTAAAGCTGGACCGAAAGGTGCAGCACTGGCTTGCAGGGCAGATTGGATCGATTGATAGCCACTCTGAGCCTCACGCAGAGTGCCATTGTCTCCAGAAGTCATTTCACGACTAAGTCTGTTCATAGCATTTGGTGGAATGCGACCCAAGCTAGCATTATGATTGTGCAAGTGCTGTTGAGCGTGCGAATTAGGAGTATTGTTGTTGTTCTGCATGCCGTTCGTAGATGTGCGAACTGTTGGGACGTCGTTGGCAGAGTAGGATGATTGAAGCTTTGGTGGAGTAGCTTGGACGTGCTTTGGTGGAGATGTCACTTGAGCAGTACCATCCTGCGGGCCTTCAAAATACTTCAGATCCAAGGAATGACGATAAGATGGGCGAACACTAATTGGAGACTCAGCGGTGCTAGATTGACCAACAGAGGTTGTGACTTGTTGAGGAGATTGAAGATTATTCATTGGAAGGCTTTGTTGATTTGGTCGATGGCGGGCAAACGAACTCCAACCATTAGCGTTGGACTCTGGTGCAGGTGATTGAGATAAGGCTAAATCAAGTGCTGCAGAAGAAGCGGAAAGCTGCATAGAGCGGTCAGCACAAGCTAGTGAATTTTTTCAAGATTGCGTACCAAACCAGGGAACTCGTCGCGACGAACAAGAATAGGGAATTTGTCATCGGTAGCGTTCATATTCAAATATTTATCAACGCTTCCGGGTGCAGCATTCTCATCTTCGCCGAAGAGAAAGCGAGTGGTATTGGTTTGGTCAAGGGACAACATATCGTGCATACCGTTGCGAGATTTAGTAACTGGCATAGAATATCTATTGAGACTTGAGGTGTATTAGCAAGATTTAACTTGATTCGAGGTCCGTAGATCGAAGATGAAAGGTCAGAAATTAAGATTTGCGTGAAATCAGATGTGGAGAAAGAGAAAATTGGAAAATTGGAAAATTGGAAAATGCTGAAGATATTGAGAAGGATAATATTGATTTTGAGTTTCTTGTAGGATGGAGTCTTGCTCAGCAAGTAGAAGAGGTAGTTGTTAACGATCAGAAAATAGAAAGGTTGTAAGTTTGAAAGGTTGAAGATCAAAAGTTGAAGGATATTTGAGGAGTAGGTAAAAGTCGGAAGGTAAATGGCACTAGTGGCCGAGTATATTGTTGAAGCAAAAGACAATAGGAAAATAGGCAAAAAGTAAATCGAACCATTCCCATTCGATAAAATCAAGTGAATATGTTGACCGATCGAAAGTGGTGAGTTGATGAGAAGGATATAGAGGGTATTGAGAGGATCGGAAGTATAAAAGTATGGAAATATTGAGGTCAAAGCGGTTGGAAGCGAAATATCTTATGACCCCTCTTCTGATGCAGCAGATTCACCTTTACATTGTATAATGGCAATGTGATATGTCATGGAAAGAAAAGAAAGAGGGAAAAGGTGATACTCGGTCTTTCAACAGTTTTCCCAACAGAAAAACTTGCTCAAGGAATATTCTGCAATTTGCCATTTTCCAGCTTCAGTGGCTCCGGAAATGGGATAAGTTCAAAACTGATGTGCAAGTGCCCCTACTTTGAGCAGCAACCAGGCGCAAGCTTGAAAAATGTTAAGTTGAAGCAGGAGCTACCCAATCGCATGCCCGGAGGTGAAGAAGACAGCCGCAGATTCATTCAACAGGTACTTGTTCATTGAATGCATATAGAGAATATACGGGGTTCTTTACATTCTGTCTTGTGGGAGAGCCTTGTAGTAAATGCAAACTTTTGACAATAATTGTTTGACGGCTGTGGGCAGAAAGAATTGTGCATATAAAAGTGCAAGGGAATTTTAAATACGTACGCATTGGTAGAGCGATGACTGGTTGGATCTTGTCTTACTGCTTCCTCCTTTTCATCTTCATCCGAATTGCGGCGTGAGCCCGGCACAGACTTTGAAGGTAGCTTATCATCAATTATTAGTCTAGACTGCATGATTCCAGCTTGCGGTGATGTGAGTTGAGAGCCAGATCTTCCTGGGCGATTATAAAGACCTGGAGGAGAGGTAATGCTAGAAGTCGAATATCTATTGGGACGAGAAAATGCTGAAGGAAATCCAGATGAAGATTCTCTGTATTCTGGTGGTGTGGTTGGTTCTGATTGATGGCCGGCGTTGTTGTTATTGTTGTTAGATCGACCAAGATCTTCTTGCATTTGCTGTAACTCTTGTTCGTCCCTTCGTTGTTGTAGGTCCAACAATTGCATCTCCGCCTCGAACCGCCTCTTTTGTTCACGGAGTCTCTCGTATTCGAGTTTCTTTTTCTCTAACTGATAGGATTGTCAGCTTTTATCGGAATGGGTTAAATGTCGGACGATATGAAAAAGCGCTTTGCACTGCAGGGAATATGCAGTTTTGCTTTTTGTCGAAGAAATAGGAGGTTGGAACCACAATGGCGTGGTAGTTGAGGAAGAAGAATCGCTTACCAGTTGTACTTTATGGTACGTCTATTGTTGAATTGTCAGTAAATGCTACGGTATCAGAAGAAATTTTACAATAGCATGAAAACTCAGAAAAGGCCATTGCAGGCAATAGCGATTGTTGCAATAGGCAGATTCAATTGGCTTACCGAGGGACCGTATTCTTGAGGTTCTTGCGCGGTACGCTGAGTGGTGATAGAGGCAATTGTTGGAACTCTCCCTGAATCGGTAGTGAATCTTCTCGTCAGTCCTCCACGACTCTCTTGAGGTTGTAACGATTGTGGCATTCGATTTCCATTTCGAGGAGGAGAAACAAGGCCGAGCATAGACGCATCATTCCTCGATGCCTGTTGGCTACGAAATCGCAACTCGTCCATTTGATCACTAGTGCTATTCGAATATGCCATAATGATAATCTATATGACTGTGATCAGTCAGGTCAGACTTGGAAATGCGCAATTCAAGGCTGGCTGGAGTGAGGGCTTGACGTGGGGTGCAATGCGCAAAGATACTGATGGATGAACCACGCATACACTTCACAATTTAACTCACCTACAAAAATATGAAAATAATCCAAAATATCCTCCTCGTCCTGGACGTCCAGGCGCGGGAACAGAAATGTTGTGTCAAAATGAGTGTATACAGAAGTTGGGGAGGTCGATGGCGCTAAACGAGGATAGACGCTACCACGCTAAGATGTGTGGACGTGCCCAAAGGATTGATTGCTTACAAGATTATCTAGGATTAGGATTTTCATGGGTTATATCGGAAGCATGGTGGTATCTTTGGGTTTAACAAGATGTGATAGATTTCAAATACTCATGTTGATGCATTTCTCGAGTCAAATCAAGTTAACAGAAAAAAGAATTCACGGCAAATTGGAATGCACCGGTAATAGATAGAAATCTATTGGCAAAGTGTCAAGCTCCCTTCAATTCATGCCAGCATCCAACCGAGTTTTGATCAGTACCCAGTCTCGACGATAGAGGAGTGTACGTACAACCACTTTATAACCTCGATAAGAAACAATCGAGTGGGCAAAATTTGATTGTATCCAGCTTGATCTGCTTGTTTTAACAATTGCATATATATACATGATTTAGACTCTGAAAAGCGTTTATATATATACATACATACGGATGTATATATATTCCATTGAAGATTTTCCCCTTTTTCGTTTCCTTCTCACCATCTCCCGCATTAATACTAAGATGGACCCTGATTCGATTCATTCGAGGGGTAATAGCTTGCTATTTTGACCAATCGATCAGGGGGTTTAAACTTTCAGTAACGTGCAGCAACTTCTGTATGTTGGCAGGCACTCAAGCACCTTTTTGCCCAACCTCCTTTACTTTATTTCCCAACGGTAACGGTAAGCTCTTGAAAAAGATTAATGAGATGTGAATGTGAATGTGAATGTGAATGCGATGTATCGCATTCTCGTGCAATGAGCAAAATGAGGAAATATCAAGGTAATCACGGGGCGCCATGATCCCCAATCTCAAATACTTTCGATACTACTTTGAGGCGGGGGCGTTGATGAAACATTTACAGCCCTCCCCCCAGTCTTCGTAATCGGGAGGTCTACTTCCACATGTATCCTATCAAAAGGCTTGATCTATGAGCCTCTCCAGCCTCTTTTCAATTTCGAAGCACAAATCCAATGCACACATTCAAATTCGTACTATATTCTTGTCGCTGTTTAATGATCTCATCTAGATCGACTGTTAATCCATCATGTACTTGAGTTTTGAGCACTTAGGTATGCATCTTCAGGATCCGTAGAACTCTAAATCCACAATTCCTCGCAGGAACAATCACTATTATCCTCTTTAAGTCCTTCTCTTATTCCACCATCCACTCAATCAGTGGCAAAAGTCTTGATGTGTGGAGTACCAAAGCTACCTAATGCGTCTCCAATCAATTTTTGTCACGATCTTCTGCATGCAAGTCGAAATCCTCGAATCATACCGCACGTCAACTGCAGCTTGTAATGACGTTAGTCTCCTCGGAGCCTTAAAACACCAGGAAGCTCCTCTGAAGCAAATTTCAGGAACTCATTCTGAATCATCAACATTCCTTTTGCAATTGCGTTGTGAGTCAAAAATCTTCTTATTCAACTCATCACAACACAATAATATCAGTGACTGAGAGTGGGGTTGTGCTCTGTGGCGTGCAAATGATAGAGAGCAAAAAGTAGCAAGAAACCCAAATCTAGAGGTGAGGCATATGTTCCAAATTTACAATCTTGGAAGAAGAACATTTGTTGATGCCGAGCAACGTCTCAGCATATGTAGAACGTTGCATACAAGAAAGGATAGAGTTGTAGAACTATTGTAGTCGTGCCTTGCAGACGCAGTAATAACAGTATGCAATAGTGCGAAGAAGGGTAGGTTCAGATCAGATATCTATTACAATAAACTCCATACAACCACTCGATTGTCTCAACTTCAGTTAGAACAACTGATATGTATTAATACGGAAGCTGTATTCAAATACAGATCATGTAGTGTGAAATTAGCTGATCGTTCCAATTGTCTAGCAGTCTGACTATTCGTAAGAGAAAGACCGGAATTGGCGGTTGGCGAAATCCTTCTTCAATCCAATATTCTAATTCTATCCAGAAGATTGAAAGCTTCAATAGTACCATAACTGAAGACTGTTCGAGGATCTGCTCAAGACTGTTAATTTTCATAAATTTATTTACCGTTGATTTATTATAAAATTTATTGGGGTGATCAATTTTGGCTTCTTCTTCCTCCTACGTGTAGCCTGATAAACTGATAAGGTTACGGTAGCCTTGCATGAAACATATCTCAGCCTTATCGTGTAATTGGCTGATTCTCGCGGGGTATTCGGCCTAAAATAAACTTTGACCGATTCTCATGGTGACCAACCCAATAAATTAATTTTTGAATCTTTTAAATTCGCCGACGAAATCTTGCTGATACACATGTCAAGCATCAATTCAAGATGCCTCCCAAGAAGAAGACTGCTGGGCTAGTAGAAGCTCCAGTTGAGGAAAGCTCTGCGAAGAAGGTAAGCAAATTCAATCGTGTTATTATGGCAGACGACTTACTTTAAGTTCTAGGCTCAAGAATCTGCGCCAGAAGTTGATGGAGCCTCAGTAGAAACCGAAAATCCCAAGCGTAAGAGGGCGACGAAAACTAGGCAAGCTCCTGCTGTCGTGGAGCCTGCGCCTAAGAGAGATGACGATGTACAGATTCTTCCCAATCGATTCTGAATTTTTCGTTGACGATCATTATAGGGCTTTGCTGCTTTACTCGAACCATTCTACGATGGAAAAAGCTTGACGGATCCGATTAGTACTGCAAAGGTAGGGAAAGAGTCGAGGAATTGCTGGAATATTTTCTAATGCGCTTCAGGACAAATGGAATCTTGTACCGGCTTTTCTAAAAGTCAAAGGTCTTGTTAAACAGCATATTGATTCCTTCAACTATTTCGTCGAGCATGAAATCAAAGACATTGTCAAGGCAAATAAAAGAGTCACCAGCGACGTCGACCCTAAATTTTGGTTGGAGTCAGTTGAAACGTTGTCCGGGAATCTGTGTGAAATCCACTAACAATTAGCAGATATACTGATATTCGTGTTGGCGAGCCGGAACGAATGGACTATGATGATCGCAAACCGCAAAATGAAATTACACCTAATGAATGCCGTCTTCGTGATATGACATATGCTGCGCCAATTAGAGTCGACATCAAATACATGCGAGGAAGGACTATAGTAGCTAGGAAGAATATCGCAATCGGCAGAATGCCTATCATGTTGAAGAGTTCAAAATGTCGGCTGGCTGGAAAGAATGATCGCCAGATGGCTCACATGAACGAGTGTGCTTTGGATCCTGGAGGGTATTTCGTTGTTAATGGTACAGAGAAAGTCATTCTTGTTCAAGAGCAACTCAGCAAAAACAGAGTTATTATCGAAGCAGACCCTAAGAAAGGAATCGTTTCTGCGTCCGTTACTAGGTCAGAGAATATTTGCCCACAGTTCTCTAACCTAATATCACTAACTTTCGAACAGTTCTACACATGAGCGCAAGTCAAAAAGTTATGTAATGCTTAAAAAAGAGCGAATCTCTCTTCAGCATAATATCTTAACAGAAGCTTTGCCGATTGTGATTGTATTGAAAGCCATGGGAATCCAATCAGATCACGAATTATTACTCCTAGTCGCTGGATCCGATGAGAGATATCAAGACGAGTTTTCAGTAAATTTTGAAGAAGCCACCAAGCTTGGTGTTCATACTCAACATCAAGCTCTTGAATATATAGGATCTCGTGTCAAAATGGGTAGCCGAGCCCGAGCACCGGGAGGGGGACCACGGAGTCGCAGTTATGTTAATGATGCTCTTGAAGCGCTCGCAAATATTATAATCACACACGTTCCGGTTGTTGGTCTAGACTTTCGCCCAAAAGCGCTTTATATTTGTTTTATGGTTCGCCGAGTCCTCATGGCCATGGTTAATCCAACGCTCGTTGATGACCGAGATTACGTTGGTAATAAGCGTTTGGAACTTGCTGGACAACTTCTTTCTTTGCTTTTCGAAGATTTGTTCAAAAAGTTCAACACTGATCTGAAAATGAACATTGATAAAGTTCTGAAAAAACCTAACAGGGGAATGGAGTTTGATGCATACAATCACATGCAATCTCACGGCAACTACATCACCATTGGTATGAACCGTGCTATTTCGACGGGAAACTGGAGTTTGAAACGATTCAAGATGGAACGGGCCGGTGTTACGCACGTCCTCAGTAGACTCAGTTACATCAGTGCTCTTGGAATGATGACTAGAATCAGCAGTCAGTTTGAGAAGACTCGGAAAGTCAGTGGACCGAGAGCTTTACAACCTTCTCAGTTTGGCATGCTTTGTACATCTGATACTCCTGAAGGAGAAGCTTGTGGACTGGTTAAAAATTTAGCTCTCATGACTCACATTACTACTTACGATGATGAAGAGCCTGTCAAAAAATTAACTTTCGTTCTTGGTGCAGAAGACATCGTATCCATGAGCGGTAAAGAAATCTACGAGAAGGGAGCTTACGTTATTTTCGTTAATGGAACGCCTCTCGCACTCACTCGGCAACCCAAGAAATTCCTTAATTCCTTCAGAAAGTTCCGACGTATGGGCCGTATTTCGGAGTATATCAGCATTTTTATCAACCATCACAGCACATCTGTTCATATTGCTACAGATGAAGGTCGAATTTGCAGACCTCTGATTATTGTAGAGAATCAAAAGCCTAAGGTTACGAAACGTCACCTGGAAGAGCTTAGGAAAGGAACAATGGATTTCGACGATTTCTTGTACAAAGGACTTCTCGAATACGTTGACTGTAATGAAGAGAACGATTCTAATATCGCCATCAGAGAAAATTATATCAACGAAGCGACTACGCATCTTGAAATCGAACCTTTCACTGTGCTAGGAGCAGTTGCAGGACTTATTCCTTACCCACATCACAACCAATCTCCCAGAAACACATATCAATGTGCGATGGGTAAGCAAGCTATTGGTGCCATTGCATACAATCAATTTTCTCGCATTGATACTTTACTCTATCTTATGGTCTATCCACAACAACCTATGGTCAAAACTCGTACGATAGAGTTAATCAAATATGACAAACTTCCAGCTGGTCAAAATGCCACAGTCGCTGTCATGTCCTTCTCGGGCTACGATATCGAGGATGCTCTTGTTCTTAATAAAGCCTCCTGTGATCGTGGATTTGGACGTTGTCAGGTGTTCCGTAAATATTCAACACAATTGAAAAAGTATCCTAATCGATCTCAAGATCGTATTGCTGATAGAGTTATTGGCGAAAATGGCAAACCTATTGCAAAACACAGGATATTGGGATCTGATGGAATCGCGTTAGTTGGTGAGAGAATTAATGCTGGAGAAGTCTATCTAAATAAGGAGTCCCCTTCAAATCCTAACTCAACTGGAATGGGCAATGATTTCAGCCTTAACGATATGAAGCCTGCACCAATGGGTTACAAACTACACGATCATGCTTACATTGACAAGGTCATGTTCTCTCAAACAGAGAATGAGAGCGGAGTTATTAAAGTTCAAACTCGTCAAACTAGACGACCTGAGTTGGGAGATAAATTCTCATCACGCCATGGTCAAAAAGGTGTTGTTGGTATCATCGTCAATCAAGAAGATATGCCATTCGCGGATTCAGGAGTTACTCCCGATATTATCATGAACCCTCACGGTTTCCCATCTCGTATGACGGTTGGTAAAATGTTGGAATTGCTCTCTGGAAAAGCTGGTGTCATTAATGGCACTCTCGAATATGGTACTTGTTTTGGAGGTAGCAATGTTGACGTCATGGGACAAATTTTAATCGACAATGGATTTAGTTACTCGGGCAAGGATTTCGTCACAAGTGGTATCACGGGAGAATCTCTACCAGCCTACGTCTTCTTCGGTCCCATCTACTATCAAAAACTTAAGCACATGGTTCAAGATAAAATGCATTCTCGATCTCGCGGCCCTCGTGCTATTCTCACTCGTCAACCTACAGAAGGTAGATCGAGAGATGGAGGTCTTCGTTTGGGTGAGATGGAGAGAGATTGTCTGATTGCTTATGGTGCAAGTCAATTGTTACTCGAGAGACTTATGTTGAGTAGTGATGCTCATCAGGTGGATATTTGCGAAACTTGTGGATTGATGGGATACTCGGGTTGGTGTCAGACGTGTAAGAGTTCCAAGGGGGTGAGCACAATGACGATGCCGTATGCGGCGAAGTTGTTGGTGCAGGAGATGCTGAGTATGAATGTCTTGGTGAGATTGAAGCTAGAAGATGAGTTCCCTCATTCGGGTCATGTGAGAGGATAAGTAGGGGGTCATTTGATGGGGTTAACTGATGAGGTTGATGAAATGGAAAGGGAGGGAAGAGAAAGCGAGGGGAAAGGATAAAATTTGATATCACGAGGGGCATGGGCGTAGGGGATTTAAGCGAAGGTCTTTCCAAATGCATAGCAATGGCGTATAATCAGGTAGTTGATTTGTAAAATACCATAGAATTTGATCAAAAACATTGAGATTGATGTAAATTACTTCTTTGGGTATGTGAATTGAAATGTATATGTCCACGTACTCTTGATCTTTCCATTCGATAGCTTCCTACTTTTTAACCCGTTTGATTACTCTCTGTACTGTGTTGAGAACACCTTCTTCTCTCGCTCCCTTCTTCAAGAAGTATGAATTCCTCACTTCTATATAATTGTAGGATTGGGTTGGAGGAGGAGGGAGAGGGGGGGAGAGGGGGAGAGATATATATATTTGCACTCTCCTTTACTCATTCATCTATTCATCTGGTGATCCATCCATCCGTCCATCTACTCCTATTATTCTTCCATTCGCCTCCCTATCAAATTTCAATTACTCCATAGATCAATTATCTTACTTCACTTTACCTTACCTTAGCTACCTACCTCAAGCTAGCTAGCTACCTGAGCTGAAATACCTCAAACCCACTCGAACGAATCTACAAAATCACAAATCACAAATCACAAATCACAAATCACAAATCACAAATCACAAATCACAAATCACACAATCAAACCCAAATATCGCATATATAAAATCGCACATGCATAATGTATAAACTACCTAGGTGAATAAGTACCTACTTACAAATAAAATGACGCCTAGCCCGCGCGACAAAAGGTAAAGGTCGAGATAGAGACAAAGACAAAGACAAAGTTAAGGGTAATGGTTAGATACCCTTTTCTCCTCTCCTTTCCTCTCCTCTCCTCTCCTCCAAAAATGCCATTAATCATATCCATGTCCGTAACCGTAAAATTCGTATCGTGCGTGCTTCATTCCATCCAGCCGTCCATTCTCGTAAATTCATGTTCGTGTCTTGATTGTATCAATCAATCAACCAGTGCCATCCATTCTTTCTCTCTCATAAACCCATGTATTTGCAGTCACCCATCTCACCTCATCTCCTCATCCTCCTCCTCCGCATCCACCTCCTCCGGATGTCCCAAAAGCCCCGCCACATTCGCCATATCATAATGTTTCCTCCTCATCGCCTCAAACTTCTCATGTTTCTCCCTCTCCTCCTCCGTCATGCCGCCCATTTCCGCATCCGCATCACGGCCATTCTCCCCCGCCACATGCACTTTCTTTTCCTCACCCTCCCCCATCTCCACTTCCCTCTCCGGAACCGCCTCTTCCGGTTCTCCCAAGCTCAATCCCGGGATCTCCTCATCCCGTTGATGATTGCGCTTGTGTCCGCCCTTCACCTTATCCAGCTCATCCACCACAATCTCGCCCGCATCAATCGTGCGGATCTCGTCCGCATCCTCAGCCGGATCGTAGTGTTTCGCATACGGTGTTTTCGGCTCGTTGATCTTCATCGTGGAGCTCTTCTCCTGCTCCGTCAGATACAGATTCGCCTCGTCCCATTGCAGACGCATGTTATTCGAATCGTCATTGCTGTTGTATGTGGAACCCGAGGAGGCACGACGAATGGGACGGCTGGCGGATGAGGAGCGACGGTGTCCAGCGTTTTGGAGTGTGTTTTGGAGTGTGACGTCGTGGTCCGAGATGGCTGAGGTGGTGGGCGTGCTGGGGACGGCGACGTGTTTGGGCGAGGTGATGGGAGGGGCCGAGGTGGTTATGGGGGCTTGGAAGGGGGGAGAGCGGTGGAAGGAGTTTTTGAGAATGCCTTTGGTTGGGATGTTAGTTATTTTTCTTGGTTTCTTATTCTCATGTTTGTTTATTCATGTCTTCGCAATAGGAAAAAAAGATCTTGGAATAGCGGGGTAAGATCCGCACACAGCACTTTTTAGAAATAAATAAAGAACATACCTTTAGGACGTTTGGCGGTAGGACTTGGAGGACTGTGAAGAACCTGTGCTTCTGAGGAAGACATAGTAGCAGCCATGATCATAAGCGCTTTTGGTAAGGTATCGATAAAAGAGTTGTGGATGTGGGTTGTGATGGAAAAGAATGGATTCGATTGAGATTTTAACTTGATTTATTTTCTTGTCCCGACCGGTAATGGTGATGGAACTTGCCTTGCCACCCACTTTCTTTTATTCAAGGGGTCGGGGTGAGTGTTTTCCGAGTATGGGATGGTTCGGTACCTAATGAAAGCGAGCTATCTCATCAGGGTTGGTTGGGCTTTGGGAATTAATGTAAAGAAAGCTGCGGCTGTAGAGGGAGATGGAGATGTAGTTGTAGATATAGAAGATGGAAGATGGAAGATGAGAGAAATTAGAAAATAAAGTGATCAAGCCGGCTTTAGATATACTCGAGTACCTGGTAGATTCCCCCAAAGTACTTTAGCTATCTTCGTCTACGTCGTATTGATAAACACAAATTGAATCTCGCCAAAACCAAGCAATGTTCGTGTGACTTCGTAAAATGAAATAAAGAGCAGCTGAGTATTATTTTTGGCCTGTGAAATGGAGGGGTCGAGTGAATGGAAAATTGTGAACGTGAATATGAGTTTACTTGTGTGAGTTATTAGTATGTGAGTTAGTTTAGAGGATGAAGATGTTATGCATATGGATCAAGTGGTGGATGGTTGGACATGATCGGGTAGCAGTATGAGTGTGACTATGAGGTTAATCAAACCTTAAAGTTACTGTTAGCTGTACGATACTACTGTATGGAGTTGTTGTCGTCGTCGCTACTGTTTTTCTATACTATCCAATTTCCTACCTAGATGTTTACGGAATGGGTCTCTCTGTAGATTGCGCCACGAGCTTACCTAGGTAGGTATTAGGTGTCTACTAGCTGGAAGTACTTTCAATATAGTTGCCATACATCTCTTGATTGTATAATGGGACAAAGATAAGTATCAGTGATATAATGGGAGATGGTTAAAAGTTCTATTCATCTATCGACTCATCCATCTATTCATTCATTTCTTCATATCAACTTTCCATCCCCCATACCAATATCACACATTCATTCCCTACCCACTAGCTCTAGCATTTCACCAGGAAATCGCGGCAGCCCAATTGTTTTGTTAATCCTCTACATGGTACGATGATTTCCTAATCATGAAACGTCATCTTACAGCAGATGATTTCTCTTGGGATTTCTTTCTCGTGCATCATGCATGGAGTCGCGTTCCCAAAAGAGACTACTGCTGTGGAGAAAGTACAGAAAAGATCGAAGATGTCGAAGATGTGGAAGATATGGATCGAGTAATCCGTCGTAGACTCGCAGTAAGTAGGTCAACCGGTAGTCCTTCCAATTTATCTCACGTCTCTCACACAGCATACACACCAAAGTAGAGTAGCTGTATGTAACACGTGGGTGAGTACTAGTACCAGTATCAGCACCAGGACTAATACCAGGACTAATACCAGGACTAATACCAGGACTAATACCAGGACTAATACCAGTTCTAATGCCAGTTCTGATGCCAGGACTAATACCTATACCAATACCAATACTAATACCAATACTAGTACCTCCAGCTACCTATGCAAGTCAAGTTTGGGCAAAACGGGAGCGGGGTAATATTTAATCCCAAGTGGGTGAGTGATAAGTAATCTTGGGTGCCGCTGACCTTGTGCTCTGTCTATCTGTCTATCTGTCTGTCTGTGCTTTGTACTCACCATTACATCATATCAAGACATTTATTCATCAGATGGATGACTAGATAGATACTTACTTCACTTCCACTATTCTCGACATTTAAAAATATGTAACAAATACACTTTGCATTATTTATGTATCAGAATCCGTATTCTCGTTCTTAGACCAATCAGATATCATCTCATCTAATTTCCAAATATCTGAAACATATCTTTCTCTAAATAAATACATAGCAAAGTTTACTCTCGTAGTCTCGAGGTAGTGTCCCTTCAGTTTCAGTGTCAGTCCGTGCACTTGTTGCGATTCTTCACATGATCTTTCTTCTTTTGGCGTGCTAGTCTTATCTTATTAGTAAGCACTGGAGGCTCTAATCATTTCATACATTGTGCAATTCATTCATTCATTCATACATCCATAAGGTTACCAACCCATCTTTTCTTCAAACATTCATTCCTTCCTCTCTCTCCATTATTCTGCCTCCACGGCAGTGGCCCTCGGAGAGCCAGCGGAGCGTCATTTAATTATTGAGAGGTATATGTATATTTTGAGTGTTTAAGTATCTAAGTTTCTAAGTATCCGTCAACCTTGCAATAGGTAAAGTCCCTACCATCCATCTCTAACCCTGCCACTCTATTTCCTCTTCCTTCCATTCATCTCTAACAACTACAAGATCACCAACACCAATCAACATACTAGATGTATTAAGCACGGGCAACACGTGGAAAAGACATTACTTTTTGATACTTCTAGATTCGAGAGTCTAAATATCGTTCCTACCACCCGATTTATTATTATGGTTCTTTTCGTTCCTTGTATCACGTTACTTTACATTCTTGATGAACTGTTTGACGTCACTTCATATGATTTGAATTTCTGACCGGAAGTTCCGGGTGATGGCACATGATATTTTCGTGATAGTTTGATTCGGATGGGATGTTTAGGTACTGTCCGAATAGGCATCTAAATCATGTGGCTTGGGGTTAATTTCTATATGTGGTATTGTGAGTTTGTAGTACTGTAAACGCATTGATGATTTGGCTTAGGATGTCTAGGTAGCTCTCCTTTGGAGGAGATGGTGAGATTGGATAATGATAGCTGAGGGTGATGGTAGACATTTTTGTTTGTTTTTGTGTTTACGGGTTTGAGATGTGAGGTCGGGTGAAGATGGTTTAGAGTCTGGACTCTGGAGTGATGGTAAATCTTGGGAGTTTTTGTGCGTTTCTTATTTTGTTTTTCCGAATCTCGGATGAGAGAACGGATAGAGATAGTTGGGAGCGATGTTAGCCCTTCGATAGTTTCATTTTTCTTCGCCTTTGCCGCTTCTGAGGTAAGCAATTGGGTTAAGGTAGCTTGGAGTATTGTGAACCCTAAGATCATTTTTTACTCGTCTCTATATTTACAGCTTCTGGGGTTCTATTATCGGATGAAGATAGCTTGGGCTGGACTGTACAGTAATGGTAAGCTTCACGCTTCTTCGTCTTTTGGTGGTCTATGACTTCGATACATCTGGGTATTTGGCATAGTTCCTTGGATCGACCCTGTTTTGAAGGATATGACTGCCCAGACATTAGTATCAGGTGCTCAGCCCCGTTTTGGTTCTTTCTTTCTTTCTTTTTTCTCTTTGAAAAAGCTGGAGAATTTTGTTCCCAAATCTCAATATACTTTTCTTATAATAATTCAACGACTTACAACTATTTCCCTATATTCATATACTAAGAACACTTTTTTTTTGAAAATTATTTAGAATATCCTGCCCTTTGAAGGGGAAAATACTCGTGAAAGTATCGATAAAGATATACAAAACTCCTCTTGTTTCATCATTTACATAGATACAATACTCGAATTTCAGAGCAACACATCTGTGTAACTCCAATAAGTGTATCTAATTGTTTATTTCTCCACTCAAAGTACTTGTTCAAGGCTAGTGCCACTTCGAGATCACTAGTAAGAAAGGCTGATACTATATCTATTCATGTGATTTCCACTTAAATACCATGGTGAGCTTTAACTAGGAAGAGAGTGCAGACTCATTCTTCTGGCTACATCGGCTATAGAAGTTCATACGGATTCTTGGGGTTGTAAGTATTCCTTTCGTCTGGTTGGTTCATTAGTTTAGGTATCTAGTAGTGTTTTTGATAAGAATAGGGGGATAGTAAATTCCTGTAGTGGTTCGAATGATCGCGATATGCTATATGCTTTATCTCTTTTATGCATCGAAATGAAAGGGTGGCTAAATTGAGGTTCGAGAGATTTGTTGTAGGGTTTATATTTTTATCTCGGGGTTTCTTCTGCACTCCCCTCCCCTATAGGTAGGTTGGTGGGTATTGGATTGGACCGGGTTGGGTTGTTTCTGCTTCGGCGGGCGGTATTTGGGTGAGGGATTTTGGGATTTTGGGATTTTGGATATGGGAATGGGATATGGGATATAGGAAATTTGATGGATGTTGATGTATTGATGTGGGTGATTTGGGGTATAAAGTCTTTCGGGGTTGGTGTATGGTGTGTTGTTGATTTCGGGGCAAGGCGGAAGGGAATACATTGGGGGATGTGTGAGTGCGTGGATGTTTGTGTGTATGTGTGATGTTTCCCGTACCGATCATAAGATTTACTGAAACAATTCACTGTCCTACCTACATGAACACTAGCTAGCTATTATTGTTCTTTATATCAAAATATATATCGTCTCTTGATTCCATAGGTACCCAGTTGTCACACGATCATCGATTCATTATGTAGCAGGTCTTTGTATATCTTAGATATAATCGGATTGAAATTTCTGGCGCTTGGAGTGGGAATTGGAGTTGGAGGCGTCAGATCATCTGGTAAGGGTTTGTAGTGGGGATTTCTTTGAAATTTGAGATGGATTTTCTTTTCAGGGGAAAGGGGGATGGAGGTGGATGCTTCTTTGGAGCTTGATCTTGATCGGGTTCTTGACTGGCTTGCTTGCTTTACGCTTTCGTATACCTGCAACCGTAGTTTAAGCTTGCGTTTGGGTCTTGATAATTGGTGGGGTGGGGATGCATTTGATTATAGGTACAAGGTGCTGTGTTTGATCATGATGGTCTTTTTCTTGAGGGCTTGGAGGGTGGATTTTATGGATCTCTTTTTCTTTTGGGTGTTGTGGAGGAGGGAGTTGTGGAGGTTGTGGAAGAGTGTTCGGGATACTAAATGTAGGTATGGGGGATTGATGGGAGGGATGGGATGAGTAGTTCTTTGGAGGAATTCTGGAGATGGATGGATCTTTGGGGTTGGAATTTGGAGTTTGGGGTGGATGATCGGTGGGTGGATTTTGCTGTATTGTATTGTATTGAATCTCAGGCTTGGGCTAGGCATGTAATTATATGAACGTAGGTGAGCGACTTCAATTTAATAGCCACTGTATTAAAGCTAGGCGAATGCGAAAAAGACTAGCTCTTTCAATAGCCTTTGTTCAAGGCCTAATATCGATGTACGATAGCCAGCTCTTTAGATAGGACACAATATTGACATTCAGGACCTGCAGATTGTAGGTGCTACGTCTTTCGTATCCTTCTCAAACTCATAGGAATGGTTGCTTGCTAGGCTGTGGAATATATGAGTTTGCTTTTATTTGTTTATTGGACTGGAGCTGGAGTGACTGCTTTTTATACCCTTTTTCTTTTCAGTGTATAGATATATCTACTATGTGATGAGAACTTTATCAGAAGAGTTGATTTTGCATTTGAAATGATGTGAAGATTTCTTGGAAAGAGATATTATCGAGTGCACTTTTCGAAGTCTATGATGTATTCTTCATTCTTCGATGAGTTCGAGGAAAGAGTCTTCTGCTATATCGCTGTGAGTATTGATATTGCATTTCGAGAATCGAAGTTTGACTTCTCGGCTGATTTATTATTGTTGTTGTCATTATCCTCGTCGGCGTCTATGTAAAACAATTTATTCGTCTCGGAGAATTCATTCTACCGCAAATTATAAATTAACATGATTGAAATAAAATTTGTTTCTAATGAAGAAGCTGATGAGAATACCTCGTAGCTCATATGGATGATGGAGATCTTTGCTAGGGTGAATCTCGAATGAGCCCAAAAATTTAAACCTTCGAGCGCAGCGAGCTTTGGGGGCTTGGGGACTTGCCCCCATGAATTGAATATAATAAGTACAATTTTGTGGTTGGTCGAAGATGGTGTTGTGGACAAGTTAATTGATAAATCTCGGATGGTAGAAAGGGGGTGGGCGTCACTTCGAGTTGGGAAATTTAATATTTATCTACTATCATGTAATAGATGATTCATAAAGAGGTATTCTTCAAGATTTATAATATTCAAGATTGGGAAAGTGTATTGTTTCGAATTGACCGATTGTTGCAGAGTTTCGAGTTGATGGAATTAATCATAGGTTCCTCTCGAAGTGTAGTTGATCTATATTATAGTCTTAGTCCTAAATTTTACAATTCTGAAGTTGATTCGCGGTTCTATTGCTTTTGTGGTTGGTTTAGGGGGTACTTAAGAGTGATAAAAAGGGAAAGTAGGAGGGAGGGATAGCTTTGAATTACATCTTCGATCTTTTACCACTCTTTCACGTGCATCCAGACCATCGATTACCATGGACAATGATGATTTATGGCTTCCTGAAAGTTTTCGAGAGGTTCTGGAAGTTGACAGTATCATTGGATATTGCAAAAAGGACAGATAAAAGAACCTTTCAACGACGATTTTAAGAAAGGGGACTTGACTGAAAACACGTTGATCTTATAATTTTGAGTAGATTTTTTGATATTGAGTTTACACCACAAAATTATTTCATACTGTTAAGATTGAATAGATTCGGTTTAATATTATCGACTTGAGTTACAAATTTACATCCCATAGAATACAGGTTATAAAGTCGTACTCGAGTAACCAGGAAAGGTTTGGTAGGTCTTTTCGATTACGGTAAATTAGAAGATTCTAAGCTTGAGAGGAAAGGAAAGGAGAAAAGGATTGAAGTGTTGAAATAGGGAAGGAACCCTAAGGAAGTCTCGTTTTATATACCGCTCATTTCTTCCCGTCGACATGTCAACCTCGACTAACACTGCGCGAGAAAATTGCAATTGTTGATGTTTTTGCTATCGCCTGATACTAAGCTGTAGTGATGTTCACATCTTGCTTTTCAACCTGCTTTTCATTTTCTTTCACACCTTCTCTTCCATTCTGGTCCTGTGCGGTCTCTTCTGGAGAAGATGTATCTTCTTTAACAAGATCTTGTCTGGCAGCGTCTTGCATAGGAACCTACTTGATAGCCAAAGCGCCAATAACAGATACACAACTTAAAGCCAGCGACACATAAAATGTCCGAATTATGGAATCGCTAATGGCGATCTTTGCTGTCTCTTGAGTCTCTGATGGTAACGATGACAAGATTCTGGGTAATGCAGACAGCAAGATAGAAGACGTGTTGGAAGATTGTGGCAAAAGTGGTTCAAGACGCTTGTGCATTTCCCCTTGGAAAATGCTTTGTGCTACTGTCACGAAGACTGAGGCGCAGAGATTTTGGACAAGTGTTATAAATGTCACACCGATGGGAACATCTTTTTCCGGTAACAGTGTTTGGACGATACAACTTGGCTGACCAAATTCAAATCCAACCCCAAAGCCGTACAAAAGTTGAAAACCGACAATCCTTGCCGTAGAAGAATGTAGGTTGATGGTAGTGAGTAAAGTAGCTCCAGCAATCGAGAGTGCAGTTCCAATGATCATGGCTGGATTGTAATACTTGAAGCCACTGGTAATGCCTCCAGCCAAGATTGAAGCCACAACGTAACCAGCGATCAACGGTGTCAACAGTTCACCCGAAGAAAGAGGTGATCGGCCACGAACGTCTTGAAACCATACAGGTAGAAACAAAATGGCAACATAGACACCTCCCCGTTATACACATAGTATAGCTTCCAGCTAGCCATATATCACGACTAAGCGCCAAGCTGCTTGGAATTGTGTGAGCCTTTCCGGCAATCTTTGTCGCTTGCGTAGCTACAAAAGCGATAGCGAGGATACCGGATACGACAAAAAGAGCGATGACTCGACCATCACTCCAAGGATAGGCAGCGCCACCCCATTGTAAAGCCATGAGGAGACAAATCAAAGATCCAACCATGAATACAGTTCCAGGAATATCAAGCTGTAGTGCCTTTTGCACGAGACTGAGTGATTGTGCACTTGGATCTGATGGTGTGTGTACAAGGATGCCGCACAAGATTACCGTTACTGCTCCTAACGGCAAGTTAATGCCGAAACACCATCTCCATGTAGTCAGTTGCAGTATAACAGCTCCTAAGAACGGTCCAAGGATAGCTGCCAATCCAAATGCAGCGGACATGATACCCAAGTACGCAGCACGCTGGGCCAGCGGAATTACTTTCGTAGTAATTAACACACTTCCCGAAAAAAACCCCAGCAGCACCCAGTCCAGCAATTGCTCGACCGACAATCAGGGTTATGGAGGAATGTGCTGTTGTACAAATAAGGGATCCAATCTCGAAGATGACAATAGCGACAAGGTAAACAAATTTGATGGGAAAATGGCTGTAAAGTTTACCATAGAACAGTTGAAAGGCGCTCAGAGTGAGAAGATAGGCATTAGCCCACCATCCAATATCTTGTGATGTGTTGAACTCGACGCTGATGACAAGGATTGCCGTAGCTAATATGGTTTGATCCTGTGTTGAAAGCGAAGAGTTAGCTCCCGAAACTTCAGAAGGTAAAAGGCTGCTTGGAATTTGTGTGGTTACCATACCATGCCTGTAAGGAAAACTGCCGGACAAATGCCAACCATAATAAGCGTTAAGCGAGTACGATTTGGCTTGGTAATAGCATTCTCAGACAATTCCATCTTTGAACTTTTTTTAAGAGCTTTGTAATGATGTATGTATGAGAATTCTAAGGAAGACTCGAATTTCACAATCTGGGAATGAAAAGATAAACATAATATGCCTGTAGCCCTCCACAGAATAATTATGGCCATTCAATCAATGCTTAAAGGCTACGACTTACCTACTGCGCCTTCTACTCGGTGACATACCAACAGATTTGCGGCGCAATACATTAATTTGTTGTTACCAACAGAAATATAATTGATTGATCACCTTGATCAATGGCTGGCCGAGAATAACAGAGAATAATGCCTCTTCATAATAGCCAAGTCAATCTTGAATTGTAGCTCACTGCGATTGAGCGAATTTTAACATACGTTTTGCATAATCTCGGATATCTTTTCCCGTTCTTTTTTCCTATATAGTTATCCAGTTCCACCACCAACATCATTAATAAACTGACATACTCATCACTACAATATTAAAGCCATCTTCATGGATTTCATTGACGTTGCTATTATCGGAGGAGGTCCAGCTGGACTCACTGCCGCCGGTGCTCTTGCTCACCAACTCCATACTGCCGTGGTCTTTGACACTCGAACTTACCGTAATAAAAACTCGGCTCATATGCACATGGTTCCTACCTAAGATCATAAAGATCCCAAGGACTTTCGAGCCGCAACTAAAGATAGCATTTTGGCGCGCTACTCTACTATTCAATCTCTTGATATTGGCGTTACGAGCATCGAGAAGAAAACAGACTCTCACTTCATCCTCATCGACGCAAATAGAAAAGAATGGAATTTTCGAAAAGTTATTCTGGCTGTTGGTATGACTGATACTTTCCCCGAAATCGAGGGCTACGCTGAGCTCTGGACAAAAAGAATGTAAGTCAGCATGAATCATCTATGAGCATCTAAAGCTACCACACCAAACTAGTTTAGTTACTGACGACCTCTATTCATGGCCATATAGTTTCCATTGTCTTTTCTGCTTCGGCTACGAAGACCGCGGCGCAAAATCTACAGGCGTTCTCGTTATTCCTCCCCTCAATCCCATGATCGGTATTCACATGATCATAGCCGCCAATGTCGCCCAGCTCAGCGAAGAGGTCACTCTATACACACATGGCGATGAAGAAATAGCCGCAAAGCTTAGTCCACTCGTCAAAACCCCATTCAAGATTGACACACGCAAGATCCAACGACTCGATGATAACGGCGGTTCCTCGGTCAAAATACATTTCTCAGATGGTTCGGAGAAAGAAGAAGCATTCTTGGTCCATAACCCAAAGACTACAGTTCAAGGCCCGTTTGTTGAACAGCTGGGTCTGGGTCTTAGTCCTACGGGAGATATCCTGGCGCCGCCGCCCTTTCATCAAACTAGTGTGAGGGGTGTATTTGCGGCGGGAGATTGTATCACGCCGTATAAAGCCACCCCAGCTGCGATTGCTAGTGGATGCAATTCAGCTGTGGCGTTGACGGCGCAGTTGCAGGCTGAGAAGCATGGGTTTCCTCCATTGTTCTAGGAGGTGTGGGAATGGGGGTTTTCAGCTGCGTGTTTGTGGGTGGGATGTTCTTATGAGATTGGTCTACATCTCATTTAGTTAAATAATCTCAACATTTTGCTTTTGAATAGTTCCGCGTGTTGCAAGTGTTTGAGTGTTTCAAATGATTCTTTTGTTGGGGGATTCCGTCACTTATTTTTCCATTTCAATATTTCAAATCCATATTTTAAGCTCTCTTAACTAGAAATTGCCCATCTAGTAGGTATCCATCTATATATCTATTCTGTCTCACCGAATTACTTCACATTACATCTCCTGTATCAAAATATATCCTATCATCTACCTATCTACCCCCAATATCTTCCTACCCATCAAACTCATAAAAACAAATTTAGCACAATAATTCAATCAATCATCCCACAAATTTCCCATGCCACTCGATACCTCCCCCAAACTCAGCTTTCTTAGCGGTTCCACCCTCGCCCAGTCCATCCCCTTCCATAACTGTGCAGTCTCCACCTCATTCCCATCTTTCGCAGTCTCAACATTCGCTCTTCCTAATAATCTTCTTTTGAAGGGGTGAGGTCCGAGAGGTGCCGGTTTGTAAAGAGTTTCTGGTTCGTCAACCTCGGAGGTTTTGTTTGCTTGCTTTGGATTTCTAGGTTCTGTCTCTTTGGCTTTTACTTTCTCTTTTACTTTCTGATTCTCTTTCTCCTTCTCAGGAACTTTTCCTTTCGGACGTAATTTCAACGGCCTTACTCCTTGTGGCTTTTTCTGAACAATCGTTTCTTCTTCTTGATTTTTCTCGAATTCAGGAGTCGAAGGAACACTTTCGATAAACGCACCAGGTATCTTCATCTCTCGACTAGTGGGCCGTTCTTTCGTTCTTTCTAACATGGAATACTCGATAAATGCGCCGGGAACTTGCATCTCTGTGCTGCGTTTTTTGATGACGATGGCGGTATTGGGTGATTTGTGGGGCGTGTGAATGGCTTTTTGGCTCGCGGTCTTCTTTTTGGGTGCAAGAGGTGCGGGCTTAGTGGTTGTGAGTGGGGATATAGGCTTGAGATTGTAGTTATGATTATGATTTTGATCAAGAGGTCCTCGTGTGATATTGGGAAATACATCTCGAATATTCGCTGTGGATCTTTGCGGGTCAAAACTTCCGCCTCGGATAGGTAGAGAATCTTTCCATGATTTTAATGATGGTCTAGGTTCTGCGGCCTTTTGTTTTGGTTTGGAATTCAAAGCAGGATTCTTGGATTTATGGGAAGGGATTTCTTTGCTTGATGCAAGTGGTTTTCGCTCGATTTCGAAACTCCCACCTCGTACGGGAAGAGCATCTTTCCATGATTTGGGCGGACGGTTGAGAATTTTGTCGCTTTCCACTGGTTTCCGTTTGAGAGGCATGACATGCGCAGAAGGTGATTGAATATATTCTTTCGTGAATCCTCCTGGCATTCTAGAAGGAGCAGGAACGGAAGGTCTCCTTATCATCATTTCGTTCAGAATTGCAATTGGTAACGGTTGAGTAATAGGAGGTTTTCGGGGAGATGTTCGATCCAGTGATGAAGGAATGGTGGTTGGAACTAAAGCAACATCGGGCTTGATGGCTGTTTCTGGAGACTCGGCGGTTCTGATTTCGTTAGTATGATTGTTTTTCTGGAATGGTAAATACATACCTCATGGTGGATAATGGGGATCGCATTGAAGCGTCGATTATACTACTACTCGGTGTTACGTTCCTTTGTCTTCCTATTCTCTGCGATATAAAGTTGTTGGAAGATTTCGACTTTGGATGCGCGCAGGTACCGCACGTGGAATGTCCGGTACTGGGGTTTGAGGGGACACCCAACGATATCGCTGAATCAGATTGAGTTACGCACTTCTCGTTATCGTTCAGTTCCGTTGCAGTACTAGTGGTCGTGCTCGTATCTCTTGTGAAATATGACCAGCCGAGTCCCCAGCTCTTGCTCTTTTCCTTTTCTTTCTCGTTCTCTTCCAATATTACAGGCGTAGATGAAGGCGTAGAGACGAGTTCAGAAATAGGTGTATATCTCGGTCTTAACGGCACAATATTTTCTCTTTCTTCAGGAAACTCCCCTGGCATAGAATTCACACTAACCTGAGACTTAAATTTCGGTAGTCCCTCTTCTATTGCTAGGTCAGTAGGCACAGGTTTTCTCTTAATGTTCGTCTCTCTGGTAATTCTCTCCTTCGCTAATGCAAGCGAGTAATTTTTCTCCCACTCTTCCCTCTCATTTCCCATAAACAGATAATCGTCAGGAAGTGACGGTATGGAATCGGCACTGACTGATACACTGGCCAAATGCGACTGCAAAATATTTGCAGCGGAGGGATTGAGGGAAGTGAGATTGCTATCTACGAGATCGTCGTCGAAGGAAGAAACTCGACAGTTGATTTCTACTTCTTGGAGAAGGTTGGGACGGCCCGGGAGTTGGAAGGGGTATTGACAAGCTTCGAGAGCGGTGAGGATGATTCCTGTTGCTACGCTGTAGTTGTGAAATATTAGCTCGGTCGAACAACAGATTTCCTCCTGCATTGTATCGCATGAAGTTTACTCATGATATTGATCATACCATACAACACACAGGAAAGAAGGAAGAAAGAGAACTCACAGCCCAATACAGCTCAAAACCAACCCTCCAATCTGTACCTTACAATCCGTCGTTCCTGGAACACACACTTTCGATTTCGACACAACGACGCTAGATACGATGATCGATAGCATCCACGAGACAAGTGTAACGCGCGCAGTAATGAAGCTACACGCGTGCAGTTTCAACTCTGGAGGACGCACAAAACCTACGGGATTGTTTTGAATACTGGCGGAAAAATGTAGGATGAGATAGATGAGAGTGAGTGAGGACTGGAATGTGTCAGTAATTTTCATGCTGTAAATAAGATCTCTTTTTATTCTTCTGTTTCATGATCACTCTCGTTTCCGTTCATATTTCTCTCGCTAAAAATAATCAAATCCTCACGACAAATTATCTCGGTAGGGGGAGAAAATCATCAAGAAAACATAACTCACCCCAACAACCACAAACCCTGTCCCAACTCTCAATACAAGCGCAAGCGCATGCCCATTCCCAAAGATCTTAACTGTCAAGACAATACCCGCAACTACGCACAGCAGTAGAGTAACCAATGTCGCACATACAATAAGCGGCGTTAATATACGCTGAGTGAGTGAGATTCGTGGTGTAAGTGATGGTGTAAGGTGTGGGAGATGCGTGACGGGGATTTGGCCGCGGGGCGCGAGTACGGGGTAGGGATTTTTAGTCATGGTGGCGTGGAGCGTTGCTGAGGAACGGGTTGGGATGGAGATGGGATGGGTGGTTATGTCATCTGTAGTAGGAGCTAACGTACGAGTATATTTTTTAAATTTGGGAGATGAATATTAACAAAGGATGACGACGATAATGATAAAAACATTTTTAATCATCACAGTTATCTATATATCCATTCACATCCAGACGCAAATCTCCCAATGCATCACCATAACTCTCATTCATCAATTGTTCAATTATCATGACGATTTTTAAATCCTTTCTTTCCGCTCCTGGAAATCAAAAATAAGATAACATCACGTTTTTCGCCGCATCAGGTGAGAATTCCTTGCAGAGCACACAGGAAAAGAGGCTGGGTGAATATCTTACTTATGACGGAGAGAGATGAAGAAACCAAAAAAATAGAAGGCGGGAGGTTTTACTTTTATCGAAGATATGGGGGAATTGCTCTCTCATCAGCAATTGTTCTATTTACTCAGGGGGCTAGAAAATTTCTTAAAGAACACATTCCCAATCGTGGCGTTGGAGCTCGGGAGTTGAGATTACATTCCTAAGGGGTTGAGTGTGGTTAAGCGAGATGGAAGGAATTTGGATGGCTTGCCGATATCGGGTGGTATGGATCTGTAGTTGTGGCTTACGCTTTTTTTCCTCTGGCTGGATTTGACGATTATGGATAGGATGATTGTATATTATCTTGGCAGAAATACAACATGCTGCGAGATAAATGTTTTCGGGAAGAATGATGGGAAAAGGTGGTATGGAGTCAATTATCTCTTGGTTTTTACTTGTATTTATCACATCACTTGTCAAAAAATCGGGAAATTTAGAATCTTATGGCAATTTTAAGGTTATTCTAATGTTTAATTATGTACGATCTATCTATATGTAAGGTCTAGTATGCTATTATTATGATGGTACTGGATTATGGATGGATCGAAGACGCATATACGTGTAGTTTTAGGATTATTTTGACTCATTCTACGCCCATATAGCGAGTGCAGAATTCCATACGAACCAGGTATTACTGAGATTGAAAAAGGATGAAGTATCTCTTGTTAAATAGATTGTCGAATCGATGTAACGTGTTGAGGGCGTACATATATATTAGTTCATACGTACATCCATCTCTACGTGTTCGAATCTGCAACAGATAGATCGCACAGTAAAGAAAGACAATGAGAAGGGAAAGAGAGAAACTGAGGAATTAAAGAAATGTGAAAGGAGAATGGAGAGAAAAGAAGAGAAGAAAATAAGAAGAGAAGGGAAAATTCTGAACCGGAGGGAATTCTGGAAATCCAGAAAAGTCGTTTTCTAGGTCACCCTCGAACAGAGGATGTGTATTCCAACGATCTCCCTAATCTTGACTAAATTACCTAAACAAATCCGTTAACATCACTTCAAATTGCTGGGCATTCAATAAGTCAAATTATTGCCTGATTTTCTAACCAGATGCGTAGGAAGTTTACGCAGCAGATCCCAACCCTGGAATCTCCACACCTCCACATCAGCTCTGCAGTCTCTCTCTACTACTCATTCCACCATCAGCCCCTCACCTCAACAGATATTACCCACGCTTCACACCCGTATCAGATACTTTGAGTTCAGATCTTAATTATCCAAGAAACAAATTTCATATTCCGAGTCTCATATACCCCCATATTCTTGTTTCAACGTCACGGGACAAGTTTCCAAGTACTCAATAGCGAAAGTATAAAAGAGATGGAAAAAATATTTTTGTTTCTAACATATGTAAATACGAGAAGATAAGGATTTACACGAGGAAAGCGAGGTTTCAGAAAATCAACAGGAGTTCATCCCGTTGTGTGTTGGTGATTTCATTTGAAGCTGATACCTGTTGCACGCCCCTTCGGCATATTCCTCGGTACTCACGAACTATGAGTATCTTGTCAAACGCTCCTACCAAGAGCCACTAACCCCAACTTGCATAGTCATACTGCGCTTGTAAAGGTTATTTTGAACGTATCCTAAATTGGAAAGACGTACTTTTAAAATTGTTGAAGAATCACGAGAGACTTGAAAAGCTTGGAGATATCTAAAGAAGACTTTTAACGTTGCAATTTCATTGCATATCCTCTAGCATTCACATTTCTAAGAGAAAGTCAAAAATCTCTCCAAATGCGTGTTGATGAGCATTGTATTGTAAAGTACCAAAGCCTTGCCAAGTAACTGCAGTCCTCCATTTCGTGTCTAGATGGATCATATTTTGGGGTTAGTGTAATGGGAATAGTGCGGCTTCACCCTCAGAGCACAGCCATCAAGCTCTCCAGGTCTCCCATCTTAGAGGGTTCAGAAACTCTAAATCCTCTCGACTTTTTCCGAATTGAGAATTAAACTTTTAACATCCAAGGCCAAGCGAAGTCTTCAAAAGTACACTACATGTTCTACCATCAAGTTTGTGTTCTTAGCAAATTCTCTCACAGGGATGAGCACCTCAACTAACTTTCTACGTGCTTATCATTAAGGGGACTCAAGCTACCGGCCCCGAATTTGCCTACCTCACCGTGAACGAAGAACGTTACACCAAACTCGTCAAGATGGAGACTCTTAGAGATAACATAATTTTGAAAATGAATAACGTTATGTAGAATCATAAAAGATGTAATGAGGTAAAGCCGAATTACGGATCATAAGCTTATCATATCTAAGCTCAGCTCATAATCGAGAATATTGATAGATTGATTTGACAAAGAATTTGAATGTGTAAACTTTTGGTGGACTGGTTCTCTTCGTCCACGGTTAGGCCCATGCTAAATTAAATCCCACGTTTCGGAGCTATCCGTCTTAGCGGTAGCTAATAAGTTAAGCTCGGTTAAGCTAGACCAGACCACCGCTCGTCAAACGCTCTAGGCGCAGCGAACCGGCAAACACCGCCAAAGTCCAAGGCGCCAGCGATAGATTGCAAATGAAGAAACTATGCAATGACATCGCACTTGTCCAAAGAAGGCATGTTCTGCATAGTTGTCCAAGCTCTAGCTAAAGTGGATCTTCAGTTGATTTGGCCCAAACCACCCCTCCTCTGAAGGATCACGTGATAACCAAGGTAAAATGGCACGGCCATTGAGCTATCGTAAAACCACTTTCGCGACGAAAATAACTCTTCACTCCTCTCTGGAAGTCCACCAGAGAAGTTCGCGAGCATTGTCGCCAAGTCACAGACCAACCTCTTTCTCCTCCAAAGTCTTCATTTTACTGCACCCAAGCAATCTTTAGAGTGGTAATAAACTTTTACTGTGTTTGCAAGACAACCTGGTTTTCATTGCCAAGAGGAAGAAGATGCTATTTTGCCATAGAAATAGAGTTTTTTTTGGACTCTTTGGTGCAGTATCAAGGTGATTGAATGAGTGCGGTGAGAAGAGACTCTGTTCTGAACTACCTTGGTGTTCAAGATGGACAGACAAGATGAATTAGATGGATGAGGATGAGGATGAAAGTTATATGAGGATCAAAGAGTATATAAACCTCTCCCATTTCCCCTCAAATTCGAATTATCATCATCACCATCACATTCATTCCACACTCACTTCACAAACAAACCAAACACATTCATTTCACATTTACTTTACATTCGTTTTCGAATCCACTCTCTCTTTTCCAGGAAAAATCAATCACCCACTACCATCAAAATGCAGTTCTCAATTGTCACTCTCCTCGCTTGCGTTGCCATCGTACAAGGAGCTGCTCTCCCACAAGCAGCAGCAACAACTTCAGCTGACGCGCCACTTTCCACTGCCCCCAACAGTGTTATTCCTGATTCAACTGAAACCCACTTCAGTGGACAATTTGATGCCTCTGGATCATTGGTCGCAAAGGTTGATAATGAGCCCACTCAAGCACTTCAAAAGCGTATTGCACCAGTTGTAGCTGTAGCTGGAATCGCCGCCATTAAAGGTGTCGCCATCTTGACCAAGATCGCCATTGAGCTTGGTAGCCAAACCATTTCGAACCTTGGAGAATGGAATGATGTAAGTTGCTCCTCAAAACATGGCGTCCTCAAAGAAATTTTCACACATGAGACGGTACTAATGATATTCTCCAGGCACGTGAGAAATTCACTCAAGCAACCACTGCCAACATGTGGGCCAGAAACCCAGATTACAACAGATACCCCGCTGCCGTGTGCTACAACAAGGGATACTCCGTCAAGAACCCTGCTGGTGTCGCTGGAAAAGTCAGCGCCAAGCTTTCTCTTGGTCTTCTCAACACTGATTATGACTGCATGTACATGACTGGCAACAACCAATTCTATACCCATGCCGAGGGTGGATACATCAACGTAAGAGGACCGTTCCCGTCAGCTACAAATAATACTAACATCTCCCTAGCTTTCCTACAGATATAACTCCGGGCGCTGCTCATTCGACGGAAAGACCGGTGATTTGTCATGCAACTAGAGAGCTTTAAAGCAACTAGTTTTCGACACAGCAGTTCGAAAAGAATAAATCAAAAGTTGGATCCATTGTGGACCTGCCATCAGACTTGTGCGCTAGGTGGCCACCTAGTTCCTTGTCTTGTCTTCATATCTCTATCATCATTGGGTGTCTGGGTTGTTCTGCTTTTGTTTTCCTTTTTGATTTTTTGTAATGTTAGTACCTAGTTAGTTAAATTGAGCTCTTTTTCAAAATCCACGGGTTCATGCATACTACCTATGATTTGACACAAACGAGAATATTTTGGTGGGTTGATATACCATAGAAATCCCTCTTTTAACCAGCTCTAGCTCGATAGAATCATGGCAATGAAGATACAAGTACGTTTTTGCTTCTGACAAGAAAGTCGAATAAAATAGCTACAGAGTGAACTTTCGATTTTTCCAGTGACAATTCAAAAATCATTGAGATGCTGAAGCTTGGTTCTGGAAGATATAACGACTGGAGTAGTAAGCAAGCCTATTTGTATTGCTTTAGCGCTAACCATATCCAGATTAGGAAACTCGGCTGAGGTGCAACACTACACATCACTAAGGCTTGGGTATGTGAGCAAACACATGATCTCTACAGTCCAACAATTGGTATGTTCTATTCAAGAAGTCTTTCCGGCTGATAACGATAAAGCCATCTTTGAATGAAAATGATACGCTGTCAGAAGAAACGCTCAAATCGCTGAATACAGGGTCAAAGGACGAGGGCATCTTAATTACGGACAATGAGGAACGAGAAATAGTTAAAGAGCTTCACACCGATGGATACTGGAACAGACTATGGACAATTCAAGAGATTGGACGAGCACGGCAAATAGAGGTCCGTTTTGGTGAAATCGACTTGTCTTGGAAAGCATTCATCGAAATGGTAACTTTGCATAATTATGTGACGAGGGTCCTTTGAGGTTAATCTCACTGCTTCGAGAAAGAATTGTGGTACTCATACTTTTTGCAAGCTCTTGAGTGACCATCAAGAAGCGTTGTGCAAGAGGCCAGGAGATAAGATATACGGCTTAGCTAGCCTAGTAGCTGACACTACTGGATTTCACATGGAATACGACAAATCTCTGATCAAAGTATGGGAGGATGTATTGGAGATTATGAATCGTGATGGGGTCTTTCGAATGAAAATATTATTTCTGTTGGTCCTTTTAAGAGTTCGTTAAGCGTCTATTGATCGAGGCCAACTCTGCGCCCCTTGAACAAGCTCTACCATTGAACTTTTCGTGATCTATTCCGATCCTCCGCATAGAAGATATCAAAAACAGAAATTTCAAAGTACTTGGACTCAAAGGTTATGTCGTCGGATGCATAGTAGTGTCAGTCCTTCCCCTTGGGAGATAGTTTCGAATATGCAAAAGGCCAATCGATGGAACTCTAAAATTTCGCAGAACTTCCCAAAGGAGTACGGTGAAGCCCATCATGAGAAAGATGAACCGATACAGCACATTTTAGAGTCAAACAATTCCGACCTAGAAACAGTTGCTTTCAATCACATGCATAGTGTGTCTGAAAAAAGTCGTGTAGCTATCACCGAACCCCAGAATTTGTTCACGAGTACAAGATGAACCAACTGCAAGCCGAATACTCTGTTACATCACAAGATATCTTAATGACGGCTGCTAGCTCAAGTATATTTCTCGTCAAAAACTACTACCACAGAGAAACACCCTGGAAAACGGGGATTGCGGCAAGCCTGGCCTGACCGGGAGACCTAGCTTGATGGATCGCGGGGTCTCAAAAGTTCTTCTACTGCGGCAAATTGGGAAACGTCAGAGTCTGGCAGGTACTCGGTACAGCGTTGTTCACACGACATCTTGATTTGAATGGAATGGCACGCCATAAAGCCGATTTGACTTTGTTCGACAAGAAGATAATGGAATTAGAGATGAACTTAGCGACAGTTTATCCTCTCTTGCCTCAAAGGATAGCAAAAAGTTAGCATTGTCGATGAAATAATATCAACGATGAAGACATTTCGACAAGTTGAGTGAACCCGTATATTTCCGAAAATCGAAAAAACAAGAAACTCCTGAATTCGAAATATCATATCTCTCCAAGAAGAGTATGATAGTGCCAACAGCATCTCAGGTTCTCAAAGTTCAAGAGAAACGCACGAGCGAATGTTATATGTTTTTGTAACGGAAATACCATAAAAGAAGCCATGCGACATCCCATATCCCATATGCCATGACACATATGCCTGTTTGTAAACTGACTACTTACGTAGATAATATGTATATACCTCATCTGAAAAAAGAGAACGCCCTCGAATCCCTGCCAACGACAAACGAAATAAACAAATCTCAGCCAATCAAAGTACCCCGCCAAAAAATATACCAAAAACATATCAGATTCACTATCATTTCTAGGTCCGAGGTCAACAATAAAAGATTGAAAAGCTTCGAACCTGGAAATAAAAACAAAAGAAGAGAGGATAACAATAAACAAAGTAAAATACTTCAGTTTTCAAAACTGAATTCGCAATCGATCTTTCTACTCGTCTTCTTATCTCTCGTCTAAAAAATTTCTATCCTCTTATTTTCTTTACAACTTCAACAACTGAAGGAGCAACAGCTTTAACTCGTCGCATCACATACAAACATTTGTGCGCAACAGATTTATCCAAGATGTGTAAGTTACTTTGAATCGATCTTTGCTTGCATTGCAATCTACACCTTTGCGCCTTCATCTCTTCCTATCCATTTCTCTCTTGCAAATTCCACTCGTATCTTCTATCAATCCAACCTGATAAAAGGAGAATCAAACTAACAATTCAACTCAAACATAACAGCACACCCAATGGTTGTTCTTCCCGGCAGCAGCGGGTACCGTCCCAATAAAGGCGTCAAACGCGAACATGATCCCGATCAGATTCACGATCTTAGCTCCAAAAGTCCAAATGCAAATGGCACTTCAGACAATCACACACACCAGCATAAGAAAAAGAAAAAATCTAAGGACAAGTCTTCTCAATCACCACAACAAGAAGACACATTAATGAGTGGAGGGTTGGGAGATATGAGCGCGGAGTTGGGAGAGCCGATTTTATCACCTCCTCGCGATTCTCAACATTCGACACCTACAATGCCTAAAGCCATGAGAGTAAAGCAAGCGAAGATAAATAAAGATGGAGGCAGTGGCAAAAAGAAGAAGAAGAACAAGACAAAGAAGAACAAGACGGTGCATTTTGAAGAAGCCAGCAGCAACTATCGCCCACCACAAGTTGTTGATGAGGATGAGGAGGCAGAAAATGAGAGGTTCGAGATGAATGGTGATTCAGCTCTGCGCGAATCATCTACCTTAACCGTTCGATCTCACAGTCCAATCTTACCACCAATGTCTAGTCCAATTCTTCCTCCTACCCGACCAAAAAGATCCTCGAGCCATGGTCCCCCACCTCCAATTCTCCCACAGGCTTCTCCGAGTCGGATGAATCCACTGTATGTTCCTCCCAAAACCTCGACTCCCATCTTGCCTCCAGCTTCACCCTTCAGAAAGAGACGTGGCTCAACTGGTGATACCTTTCCTCAACCACCACCAACGCATTCAACACAGGCTCCTAGTCCACAGGCTACTCAATCCACATCTGCCAAACCAACATCAGCAAAATCAGCCGTACTTAAATCTAAGGATGACGAATGGGAGCTTAGCACTGGGAAAATTCGAGCAATGATCGGTGATCCAATGGAAGAAGATGCCCAGAGGGAGGAGAGTAAGTTACATTCACCGATCTCCCATTTCCATCTCTCAATTATTGCTAATGACTTTCTGCCCCCTTAGATGTTGCATTCTCATCCAACTACATTCAGTCTCCGATGCGACAAGCCCAAGGCATCAATGTAGGAGGGGTCAACTTCAACATTTGGCACATTAAGAACCGTGAAACCTTCATCTTCAAGAGCAAAGGCACCGGTCTTCAAGTCTGTTCAGTAGCTCAAGGTAGCATATGGGTATTCCTCGGTCTCGAAAAATTTCGCATATCGAAAGGTGGGATGTGGCGCATTAGAGAAGGAGAGATATGCTCTGCTAAAAACCAAGATGGTCATGAGTGTGTCTTGCACATCACCGCAATTCCAAGTGCTTCTACACTGGTAAACCAGTGAAGAATATTGAAAGGAAATATGTGGGGATTCGTGCGGATTGGAATTACACTTTTATGCACTTGCATTTGCAGTATATGATATGGGATTCATCATTTGAAGAAGGCCTGGAATTTTTTGCGACTGCAGCAGGAACTTATTAATCATTTCATTTCACTGCACTTGCAGCTTGAATTATGGAAGGGGACCTTATTTGTTTAAAGAGGGTTGAAGCTCCGCAATAGGCAATTATATACATACCATGTTTTTCGCAAGTACTTCTCCACCAGAAAGAATCCTTTAAGGCAGAAAAGGCTTTCTCGAGGCTTTCTTGAGTCAGCCCATTCAGAAGATCATCTGCAGACTGAATGTTATTGTAAAAAAAATAGTGCTCCCGTGTTGACCCCTGCAACCCAGAATGTCTCACCAACTACGGACCCGTATTCTCGTGGCGTTCACTAGTTTAACTGACAGCTGAAAGGTTCCCCACCAAAAGCTCTCCAGACTTCCCAATCAAATCAATTCCCATCCCGCAAACTGATCCTTTCGGGATTAAACATTGAGAAACTGGAGTAACCTTAAACTTTATCCAGACATGAGGCTTGAAATGATGCTTATTTTAAGCATAGTAGAAAATTGGCTGCATAAAAACGAGCCTCAACGCCCATCAACATCATGAGCTGATTTGATCAATTTTCTTCTGTGCTGTACAATAGGCAGTAGGATAGTAGGGGTCTTGTGCCGTTGAGAATTTATTTGAACGTTTCTTTCCCTCTTAAGTACAATGCGTAAATTGTAGATCTTGAATGCTAGTCGCCCAAATCGTTCGTAGTCATTAAGTTTTGGTAGTACAAAATGATTTTTTCGTTGTTTCTGGTGGGCTCGAGTCTCTTGCCAGCAATTTTGGCGAAGGCGCTGCCATGGACACCGGCAGCTCAAACATCTACTGCTGATAATCGAGCACCGGTGCAAGGAGGGTGGAGTCCTAGTCCAACAGCAGCACCGAACAATGCTCTGAAGGTGTTGGATCTATTGAAACGTCAAACAACTGCGAACAACACCTGCGGATACTACAATGGCATTCAAAGTTAGTACTTCAATAGTCAAATTCGCATGCAGATAGAAAGATATATACTAACAGTATGAAGCGGAACCTTATACTTGTTCTGGAACAGGCTACTGTGCCCATAATTCGTATTCTGCTGTCGGATGCTGTACCGGAGATATCAATTCTTGCGATATATTTACCGCTTGCATTGACTACTCCTCGTCCTCAGCACTTTGTGCTCTAGCAGACGGATTGACAGGATGTTGCAACGATTCCGATTTCCCTTATTGCGCAACTTTCCTCTGGAATAACCCTCAAAGGAGCATGTATCGCTGCGTAACGTCTCCGGCATTTTATCTCATGTCCGATTACCCAATCACTGGTACTGCTTCAACGACTGTCGCGTCTTCTGTCACTTTATCTCGAAGTGTCGCTTCAGTAGCGAGCAGCATTCAAAGTGGAAATAATGCTCAGGATGTAAGCAGCGCTTCTCGAAGTTCAGTGATCTCAGCAAGTGCACCTAGTTCAGTAACCTCCGCAGGTTCACGTAGCTCAGCATCTTCGTCGTCACTAGCAACTCCATTCGCAAGTACAACAACCAATAAAAAATCTGGAGTTCCCCTAGGAGCGATTATCGGTGGAGCTGTTGGCGGCGTGGCAGTAATTGCGCTCTTGATTTTTGCCATCGTTTTCTTTGTAAGGAAGAAGAAATCGAATCCCCCACAACCACAGCCTCCACCTCAAGTCTCAACAACCCTCCCTCACAATTCATACCAAGGACCATCGCCAAATTCACCTCCTCCATTCTACGACAATCGTACCAGTATTGCAAAACCGACTTATCCTGTACAACACACAACTGAATTGGCGAATACTGTGTATATTTCTCCTGCTATGCCGGAGTATTATCAGCCACCGAAAGATGATGTCTCTGTATCACCCAATTCCAACACACATAGATTTTCAAATAGTCAAATATATAGCGATCCGGGCCATCAATACTCCGAGCTAGATGCAACTGCTCCGAATCCTTTGAATGGAAATAGAGTGGAGTTAGGTAGTGAGCCGGGGAAACCAAATCATGGAACAGAAGTCAGTCCTATAAGATGACGAGGACGTTCAAACTATGATGATGGTTTCGATCAAGATTGTTCGAGAGAAGATTTTGGTCGTTCATCAGATTCATGAGATGTTCATGAGGAGCATTTCATATAGCGTGTGGGAGGTATCTCTTGCGAGGTGAGATGGAAATGGTGTATATGATAAGATAATCCGATTTGCTCACATACTTTTGCGGAAGATAATTAACCAATATAGTTTATAGAAATTAATGTTCAACTTGAGCCTTTTGCTAGTATACTTTGGTGGTTCGACGTGGTTTATTTGTGAAAACTTGCCTTGGACGGGGCTCCAGTCGTAGTATAAGAAAATTGATTTAATTTTTCACATGATCTGGACGACAAGAAAACATTAATTTGAAGCTGCAATAACTGCAAGGTGTTGATATTGCATCTTATAGAGTCTCTGCTATCACTTTGAACGATTTTCAATCCATGGTGTCTGAGAATGAAGAGTCTTACATAACTTTTTGAGAGCACGGACCATCGACCAGAAACGACATGACAGTCGAGACAGTGAAAAGGCTTCATAAGGACCGAGGAAAATGATTTTCATACCTACTTTGTACACTTTGATCTACAGACAACATGGAACAAACTCGATTCCCATCAAGTGAAAGAGATCGTGATCTTGCATTGATCTCACGCGAAGTATCATTCGTCGAAGATAAGCTCCACAGCGAGATCACAGATATGCCCACCCCACCGCCGTGGATCTATGATGCGATACTGCATTTTCGGTTGTTCCTCCTTCGCCAGGTTTGTTCGATATCAGGTATAATATTCATTTCTTGTTGTAGAATTAATTAACATATTGGGAAACTACCAATACTCAATATCGCTGTGAGCTACTTTCGAACGTCACTTCCTTATCCAACTGCTGGATGATTCCTTCCTCGTCGGCCGAAAAATTCTAGCCCTCATCTGCCGAAATTCCAGCAATTTCTTCCTTTTCTGAAAAATCCCGTTCTATCCGGATTCAATCTTCAGACAACAATCCTTAAGTATCAGTCCTATCATTATCAGGCCCATCAAGTATTAGTTCTACCATTCATCAATCTATCAAGCATTGATCCTCTGAGAAACAGTCCTATCACATCATTTGCAAAGCATTCATACACACATCTTCAAAAATGCCTGAAATACTACGAGTTGGAATCATAGGGCTAGGGGAGATTGCTCAGGTATTATCGTCCAGGAACATCTGCAGCAAACGCAACTGACTCTCTCGAATACAGGTCTCACATATCACAGTCCTGAATAGCCTATCCGACTATTTCACAATCACATACCTCTGTGACCCCTCTGAAGCTGCTCTGGAGCATTGTTCAAAAAAAGTCACTGGGAACACCCCCAAAATAACCACAGATGCAGCACAGCTTTGTTCGTCTTCCGATGTCGACGTGGTTCTGATAACAAGCGCACACGGTTTCCATGCGTCCCAGGCCATACTTGCCCTACATAATGATAAATACACCCTAGTAGAAAAGCCATTGTGCTTATGCTTCCGAGACATTGAGCAGCTTGTAGAAGCCGAAAAGGGATCGGCAGGCAAGATCTTTGTTGGGTATCAAAGGCGCTACGCTCAGGCATTTGTTGATGCCGTGAAGGAAGTAGGTGGCCTCGGCAAGATTCAATATGCCCGTGTCAGAGATATCATCGGACACAACAGCTATTTTGTTGATCAATCGGCGACATTTCCGAAGAAGTTCTCAGACTACAAGCAGGCGGATTCCGAAGCTATGTCAGCGGTTCTGAATGAACAGATTGTCCACGCGCTTGGGACAGAGTATGGGATGGACGTAACTCCTGCGGCTAAAGAGTTTTTCGGATTCTTTTCAATGTAACATCCCTACACAGCTCCAGATTATATAAGACACTTACTGATTTTCTAGTCTCGCTACTCATGATTTGAGTGCAATGAGAGAGATACTTGGTGGCATGCCTCAAAAAGTGCTGGGATCATCTCTGAGCCTACCATTTTGGACGGTCTTATTCCAATTTGACGGGTTTGCTGTAACATATGAGTCGGGTGTTCATGGCGTCCCCACATTCGACGCCCATCTAGAAGTGTACTCGGAGGATAAGATCGTTCGGGTCAACTATGACAGTGGATATATCAAAGGACTTCCTGTCACGATGACAATCAGAGAAAGAATTGGTGAATCGGGATACCAGGAAAGAACTGTGAGAAAAACATATGAGGATCCATATACTTTGGAATTTTTAGATTTCCATGATTGTGTTATCAATGGGAAGACCCCTAAGACAAGTGTACAAGACGCGAAGGAAGATTTGGATCTTTTCAAGATGATCCTTCAATCCTCAAATTCCCTATGATAGAATACATACCTAGGTAGAACAATAAAACCCGATGTTTTCAAGAAGTTAAAGCGCAACAAGAATTTCATCATCTACTCCGGAGTTCATAGAGTCATTTTTACCTTGCAAACGCCTTTGGAAATTTCAATAGTATGATTCTTACCGAACGACGTTCGGCAAAGTTGCCTGCTAAATACTGTGCTACATCTCATCTTCACCAACACTGCTTCCGGCCAATTTTTCAATACCGCTGCTTGTAGGATTCGTATTTCGGGTCCGGAAGTCTTCTATTCACAACTATAATATATTAATTGCCATAACTAGTGTACGATACCGTTAGCTAAAACGGTTTAATTCCCCGAAAATCTGTTCCTGTTTCAGCACCCCCATCGCCTGTCAACGTTCTTCCCTGAAACACGTCTTCAAACAGCCGTCTTTAGGCTTTTTATCATAAAAACCAGTTTCGCTATCTGAACTACTTTTGGTAAGAACAGTTGTGTACCCGGGACAGGAGCTTCGTTCGCCCGTAATGTATCTTTAATATAGCTTTTCGAACGAATTAGATAGCCACAAATGATTTAATAGAAACGACAAAAGGTCCTCATGTTTCGTCATAAGGTAGATATTCGCCACGATTGGGCTTCATCATTGGGTATAATATGATCTTTGAATACTTCAAGGTACATGTTAGCTCTAGATCATATTGAACGGCAAGCCGCAAACCTTATGAGATTGCAATCCTTCCACTCCTTGGCAAGCACAATGTGAATGTGGTTTGGTTGGTCCGGAAAAGCTGCAAAGTTTGTTTGTATTACTCGAGGTAATACATCAGGTAAGATCGAGGAATAAGTATACCCGGATATGTCAACGAGTATCCGCATCCTGTTCACTTGAGTAAACCAACGGAAAATGTTCCCCTGCCCTATAAACCCCCCGCATTAATGTGGGGACCCTAGTGGACTTATTTCAATGGTTAGGGTTACCCCATGATCGTCTGCCGTGAAACTCTTATTTCAATGCTTGGCAATCATCTTTTCGTTCCATACACAGTTCATTTTGTGTTTTCGTGCAAATACGCACGGCTTTCTGATCTAGATGGAGCCAAAATAGCGAGTTTGTAGTATACAGAATAAAGTTTCATTTTCCATACGTACATCGTGGGTCATGGATATTGTTCACAGACGAGGAAAGTTAATTGCACAGACTCAATCCCAACACCAACCTTGTGTGAGAACTTTTCTTAAAAGTTCGGAGTAGGAAGGTGTTCGTTCAAAATGGAAAGGAAACTTGGGCTGCATTGGATTATGAAAAGGCTTCTTCTCCCCATATTTTGTGTCATATCCATAATGTTGACATCCTGCCCTGGCTCGTCGAATGCAGGTTGTCTTTGCTGGTAATGTCTTCAGTAAGTAGATCTTTCTCTTTCATTGTAATATCTCTGTGAGGGCTAGTGCCTTTTTAAGTTCTGAATCCAACTTGTGTGGTACCTGTTAGGATCAACCAGAAAAAGCGTGTCCTATAGCTTCGTTACATAACCGAATACTAACGAGAGATCAGGGTGATGAATTGAATGATACAAGAGTACATTTACTACTTGTAGGAACGATAGTTCCAACAGCCTTGGGTACGCTGTTTGTGGCTGGACGTCTCTACACTCGGGGAGTCATCACGAGAAACTGGGGATGGGATGACTTTTGCATTGTTATAGCATGGGTATGATACTTTATCATATTAGAAAGTCTCTTTACTGCTCATCCTCTCTAACATCCCGACTAGATTCTCACCATCTTTGTTGCAGTCACCAATGTACTCTTCTGCAACTATGGCGGTGGCCGTCACATTGAACTCCAGACCCCGTCAGACCTAAAACCCTTCTTCATCCTCGCTTTCGCATCTCGAATCCTCTACCAAGTATCTCTCATGATGGTAAGAGTTGCCATCTGTCTGGTCTACTCACGAATCTTCCAAGATCGACTGAGCAAAATCATTGTATACAGTCTATTGGCTTTCCAAATTGTATCGACGATTCCTCTTACGTTGATTGTGGTTTTCCAATGCGATCCAATCGTTTCGCAGTGGGACTTCAGCGTAGAACAAGTTCGTTGTATTGATCCTTTGCCGGGAATCATTACTTTTACCACTTGTAGTGTTTTCAGTGACGTGGCGCTTATTCTTTTCGTCGTACCGAGAGTTTGTATGTATTATCTTCCTTAGCCTCATGCACTCTTTACTGAGAAGAATAATAACTAAAAATTGCGAAAAGTACCCCTCAAAATCAACAAACGTCAAAAAGCAACGCTAGTCGCGATCGTCAGTTTCGGTATTCTCGTCATCATCGCCTCGATCATTCGCTTCATTCGTTCTAAGCCCATTTTCACCGAGAGAGATTATACGTGGGATTTGTGGGAAATTACAACGTGGTCGAGTATTGAACTTAATACTGCATTGTTCTGCGTTAGTGCCCCGTGTCTGAGACCGCTGATGAGGAAAATGGTGCCCGATATTACGTGGTTGAAAAGTGTCGCGACCGCGAGTAGGAGTCAGGCAACGACGGTCGGAGGGAGAAGAAAGAGCGCGGCTATGGGTTTGCAAGGGAATAATGGAAATGGGAAAGTAGGAGAAGAGATGCCGCAAAATGATTTTAGAATGGCGTCGAGATTCACGGTGGGTGGATCGCTGAGTTCTCTCAATAATAATCGATCTGGGATGGGGAGGAAAGAAAGGAGCAGAGGAAGAGGCAGAGAGGAATGGGAGATGAGTGTACTTGGTTCGCGAAAGGGTTCGAGAGCTATCGTGGATGAGGAGGATTGGATTGGGCTTGTTGACGAGGGGACAGATGAAGAGGAGAGGATCAGGGATAGGGTACGGGCTCTGAGCGATCCGAATGTGGGGATTAGGACGGATGGTACGAAAGGATACTAATTTTTTTGAGGTCGTCTAAATGGCGCAATTGTGAATCAACAAACAGACGGCTGGATGCCAGGAGACTTCGTGGAACTCGAAGCAAGGCATTTTTTATATACACCAACTATACCACTTTGTTTGGAAACGGAAAGAACTTGAAGGCACAGGAGGGGGGTGGGCAAAAAAGGTACGCAGACAAGATCTGCCCATCTATAAACTTGGATACTTAATTACCAAAAGATAGCTTAATGAACGGGCTTGTAATTAATTGTTGTGGCACCTATACCTATGACTTATGGTCTTACACTACGTGGATTCCTTGTTAATGCATGCGAATTCTGAGATTGTTCATCAGATAATCCTCTACAATACATAAACTTGATTACAGAAATATGGAGCTTATCCAAGAACATAGATTTCGTCAATATATCAAAGGTCGATAATTCAAATATCTATCCCAGACAAAAGGTTTCATTACCTGAACGCCGTCGCTTAATGCATACATTATTGACCTAGGTACCTTGTCCCTATCCGTTTCCTTCGTTTCTTGATGATGTACAATTGATACGAAGAGATTACCTTCTGCCCCCTCTACCCGCTGGAGCGCCTCCCATACCGGGCATACCGGGCATTCCAGGCATACCGCCGCCACCCATCATTTTCTAAAGACAAGTTAGCAGAATATCAATATCGAGGATGAACTAGAGGATATACCATCAGACTAGACATGTCAGGCATACCACCGGGCATGCCTCCAGCACCACCACCACCGAGCATTTTCTATAACGATTGTTAGCAGTAATTTGATATCAGAATATGTAACAGAGCATACCATCATGCTACTCAAATCTGGCATTCCACCGCCTCCACCGCCTCCCATCGAAGCGAGTCTCTTTTGCATAGCGGCCATTTGTTGCTGTTTGTTTGCACCTCCCATTGCACCTTGTGCTTTTTGCATATTCTTCATACTTCCGCCCATTGTCTTTGCCATACCAGCCATCATCTTGTGTTGAGTTAATAAGTCCTCTATTTCCCTTACGCTTGTACCACTGCCGCAAGCTATCCTCGTCATTCTAGTGGGTTGTTCGAGGAATATTTTTCCGTCTGAATCGAGTTCTTTGGCCGTCATGGAATCACAAATGTAAATCATACGTTTGAGCTTCATGGCACCATCCTCATCGTCCATTCCTTGCATCATGTTTCCCATACCCGGAATCATACCAGCCATTTTCGAAAGAGGTCCCATCTTCATGATATTAGATAATTGATCGCGAAGATCACGAACTGTAAAAATACCCTCCACGATGTGCTTCATGGTGTCTTTTTGATCTAACTTCAAAGACTGAACATGCTCCATAAGTCCTTGCATATCTCCCATACCCAGTAGTTTGGAAACGAATTGTGTGGGTGCGAACTTTTCTAAATCAAGCATGTGTTCTCCAGTTCCGATAAATATGATGGGTGTATGTGTTGCTGCGACTGCAGAGATTGCACCACCTCCGCTTGCATGCCCATCGGTTTTCGTGATAATAATGGCTCCAAAGTCGGCAGTTTCTTTGAACGCCTTACTTTGCGCCTCAGCTTGCTGTCCTATACTGGCATCCATCACCATTACAGTTTGATCGGGCTTTACAGCTGTTTGAATATCCACCATTTCTTGAAAGAGAGCATCTTCTTGTCGATGTCTTCCACTGGTGTCCACAATAATAACCTCGAATTTTTCCTTCTTGAATTTATCCACTCCCTCCTTCGCCACAACTGCTGGATCCGTCTGTGTGAGAGAACCGTAATATGGAATCTTAGCCTTTGTAGCGTTTTGCTTCAACTGATCGAAAGCACCTGCACGGAAGGTATCCGCGCAAACCAAACAAGCCTTGAACCCCCTTGCTTGATACCATCTTGCTAATTTTGTACATGTCGTAGTCTTTCCAGCTCCCTGCAATCCAACAAACATAATAATATTCGCTTTTCCCTTCTTTGGCTTGAAAGGTTCGGCATGAGGATCGACGAGCTTGACTAATTCATCATACACAGCCTTTTGAATGACTTTCTTCTTGTTGACAGCCGGGGCAAGTTCTTTAAAGTTCACGGAAGCTTTAATGGATTTTCGTAGGTTTCCCACCAACTTTACATTCACATCGGCCTCGAGCAATGCGGAACAAATCTCCTTGATCATGCCATCGAATGCCTAATTAATATCAGTAGGAGAAACGTTGAGAGATCTTGACAATTGTCCTCGACACTGACCTTTTCATCCAAGTTGCTAGATCTTGTGAGATCTGTGACTGCGGCATTTATGCGCCGACCCAAATCTTGAAGAACCATGATTATAATAGTTTATGCGACAGCTTTATTGACAGACTTCAATGTATGGCCCCAGATGAGATGGATGCATTTAATGATTTAATGTGGCTCGAAAGGTGTGGGACAAATAAAAGCGCGGGGAATTTAGTGTACCGAAACGTTTATCCGTTCTCCGAAAAATCCAAAAATTTCCTGGATACGATAAGATTTAATTTTCCTATCAACCATTGTTCAAAGTGAAATAAGTCTCAATTCAATCACAACAACAACAATGGCAGGAAATGTTTCGAAGAAGCGTAAGGTGGAGGATGGAATGAAAGGAAAAACCGGCAGACCTACCAAGAAATTCAAGAAACAAACATACTACGAATCCTCATCCGACGAAGAAGATTCCGCAACAACTCAAGATTTTCAAGCAGTCAATTTACAAGATTCAGACGAAGAGGAGGAGGGACCCAATGATGCTATCACAGGCACTTTATCAGACGAGGATGATGAGCCAGATCTCAATGCCGCAGATAACGAGTTGGAAGAAGAAGTCACCGATGCCTCAAATTCCGACTCAGAAAATTCAGATGACGACTCGGACACAAATTCGAATCCAAATTTAATAAAGGCACGAAAGCGCAATGATCCAGAGGCATTTGCTACATCTATGTCCAAGATTTTGGGATCCAAGTTATCAGCGAGTAAAAGGAATGATCCAGTTTTGTCGAGAAGTCAGACGGCAATAGAAGCTAGCAAGGAAATGACGGACTTGGCTTTGGAAAAGAAGGCAAAGCATAAAATGAGGGAGGAGAAAAAGGCTGCAATGGAAAAGGGAAGAGTCAAGGATGTCTTGGGTGCTAGTACAGCATTTGATGCGAGCAATGGTTATGGAAATGGAGAAAATGTACCAAGTGTACAGGCAACGATGGAATTGGAAAAGCGGTTGAGGAAAACTGCTCAAAGAGGTGTTGTCAAGCTCTTTAATGCTGTTAGAGCAGCCCAAGTTAAAGGCGAGGAGGCAGCCAAGGAAGCGAGACAAAAAGGAGTTGTAGGACAGGGTAGGAGAGAGGAGAAAATAAACGAGATGAGTAAGAAAGGGTTTTTGGATTTGATTGCAGGTGGAGGGGGATTGAGGAAAGGAGAGATCGAAGAGGCCTGAGAAAGGATGGAATATGTTCTAATTACGTTTAGCATGGTATGGCGTTAGAGGTGGGATTTTACCCCTCATGAGGGTTTCGTTAAAGCAAAGTACCTAAGTATCCACCAACTCCTTGTCCATCATTGATACGGAGTATATGTACAAAGGACAGATACCCTTTTTAATATGTCCAACCTACGACCCAAATGCATGCTTTCCTACATCATTATTTAGGAATAACGTCTCAAACCATTCGTGACCGTACATGTGATAAAGTGGTAACGCTCATCCGCATCAACTCTTGTTACTGAAATCGCTGGCCTGGAGATTTCGTGTCATAGAAGGAAGTCTTACGCGCAACCCATCCAACTCTTTTGACATCACAATTTGACAACCCAATCTTGATGTTTCCCTCAAGCCGAACGCTAGATCCAACATATCATTCTCATCATCATCCGGCTCATTCATTTTATCGTAGAATGCTTCATCCTCGACTATGACATGACATGTTGAACATGAGCAAGATCCTCCACAGGCGCCTATAAAGATTGTCAGTTCGTGGTCTAAGGAGAGTTGTCTATTTAACTAACCTTCCATTTCCAAGTCATTGGCCTGTGCTATATCCAAAAGATTGTCTCCTGCCGATACCTCGAAAGTATGTTCATCTCCCTCCTTATCGAAGAATGTAACATGTAGCCTGCAAGTCAATTAGCATTGGTATAACGGCAAATGCTGACAAGTGAAAAGACCTACCCTTCCCCAGGCTTCGGGGGCGTTACATGCCCATGTAAAGCTTTTGATGTAGCTGAGAATTCTCGACGGGCAGCTGTAGATCTCCTGTTCTGTCTAATCTCGCACATCTGCTTCGTGCTAGGTCGCGACCCCGATATCGAGAGGGGACATAACAGAGCGGGCGCTGCGGGGGGTCTGCAGGAAAATCGAATAGGACTATCGGCCACTGTCGCAAACTCTCTTCGTAGAGATTGAGTTGTGGATCTGCGAATGCCTACAAAGGCTCGGCTTGTACTTCGAACTGCGGACATCTCGTCTTTATCGTGATTGTTGTGAAGAATGGGTGGGGTTGAGAAAGTGAGGAAGGTCCGGAGTTGAGGGAGGATATGTAGTGAGATGGATGTAGACTTCTTTTGCCCGAAGTAAATATTTGATCTTTCAAATGCTTGTTGAAACTCCTTGACACTTTTAAGAATTGCAACAGTAAAGAGTGTTCTTTCGGGATTGAATAAATATTTTTATTGTTTCAAATCATTACAAGCTTTCCACAACTCTTTGAATCTTTCAATCAAATGTTGGTGGCATTACATTTTGTACCTAGGTACTCATATAAAAATATTCGTAAATCCGCGCATAACCAATCGGTGTATTGCGATTACTCCGAAATTTTGTGCGGTTCAGGGCGGTCGAACAAGCTGTGAGCAAGGTCTATTCGCGGATAAGGCATATCAGTCACTCATTACTCCAGTTCAGTCAGCCCAGCTTTGGGGCCACTGTAATCCTTGTTGATGAACTCTCCAATTGAACATCGTAGGGAAAAAAAAGCTTGAATACCTTGACAAGGTAGTTCTTCCACCTTGCATTGACGGACCGACGTGGAAAACAAAGAGACAACGACAACAACTACATAAGAGAATTTGTGTAAATTCTCTTTCCCCTCGTTTTTCTTCTTGAATGCAACATAACCCAAAATGTCGACCTCAAGAGAAGGTCCAAACCCGTTAAGACCATATTATGTTCCACCTTCTATCGGAATACCTCAAGAAGCACCCATAACGTCTTCAGGAACTCATGGTGTGGGATTAAAGAATGGAAGTGCGGCTTCTTATGCATCTTCAGCTCGAGACATATTCTCAGATATTGACTACAGTGACTATCTATCGGATACCTCACCACCTACCATCGAATCACTTCAGAAGTTCGTTAATGAGACTTTTACCAACTATGCGGGGATATTGTGTGGACAGCCCTTCGAAGTTGCAAAAACAATTTTGCAGGTGAAGAGTCAGGATATTGACGAAGGGACAACACCAGCAGCTGCAGTGGAGAAGATAAAACGACGACCATCAGAGTACAATGAGGTATAATCTTCCAAGTGAGGGGTCGAGATGCGGAGCTAATCGGAATCTAGAACTACCCCTCCGACGACTCTGATGCGGACGAGACAGCTTACTTTACATCGGCGGCACCCCATACAAAATCATCATCCCCATCGAGGCGTCGGTATAGCAGTGAAGGATCAGGGTGGGAGGACAAATCTATTCCTAAAATAACACCACCAAAGCCAAAGCCTGCACATCAATTAAACCTTAGGAGATCAGATTCTATAATGGAAGTGATAGCACAGGAATGGTCAAAGGAGGGAGCTTGGGGTGTATGGAAGGGATCCAATGCAACTTTCATCTACGGTTTTCTACTGAAGACGATGGAAAGTTGGTCAAGCAGCATGATATCGGCGGCGCTGAACATTCCGGATCCAGGTTTGGCAACACTAGCAGCGCAAGTTGATGTTACTGGTTCTCCTAGCCCATGGACATCATTAAGTGTAGCAATAGCGGCAGCTGCTACCGCAGGTCTTATTCTCGCTCCTCTTGATCTTGTGAGGACTAAGTAAGTCATCAATCACTATTCTCGAAACACATTGCTAATTCAGATAGGCTGATCCTCACCCCAACTTCAGATCCTAGAAGATCTCTCACTCATAACCTCAATACCCTACCCTCATATATATGTCCTCCATTACTTCTCATTCCTACTATTCTCCACTCCATAATCAAGCCCACTATATCACACTGCACCCCGCTACTTCTTCGAACTCGTCTCTCCATCGATCCTATTCTCACCCCCACAAGCTACACAACATTCACCTTCCTTGCTCAAACATTGGAAATCTTCCTTCGTCTACCAGTCGAAACAGTTTTACGTCGTGGACAAGCTGCGGTACTCGCCTCAACTCAATATAACGAATCTCAAGACCTTAAAACAATTGTCGATATTGGTCCATACAATGGAGTGGTAGGTACAATGTGGTCTATTGCCCGGGAAGAAGGAGAGTCATCTAGTCCCGAGCCTGTCGCAAGTGTAGGCGCGGTGACACCATTGAGGAAAATTAAGAAAGTTCAGAAGAAGGGACAAGGGATTGAAGGACTCTGGAGAGGATGGAGAGTTGGTGTATGGGGATTAGTAGGAATGTATGGAAGTAAAGCTATGAGTGGTGTTGGAAGTACCGAAGGAGAATTTTAAGGGAATCACAATACCTACTTGTTGTCTATGACAATCATGTTTCGAGCTACTTGAAAATTTCGTGGACATGATGGGATGGGATGGCGTTGATTTGTAGCCATTTGTTTGGCTTGGGAACGATGGAATAGCTCTACTTACTTATATAAGGCGCAAAGGAAACTGGCGTTAGGATAACGAAGATATGTGAAATGACCAAAGCATACTCACCTCTACTCATTTGTTTTGTTTCCACTTTGTTCGTGCAATGCTACGCGATGTGTTTTACATTTGATGTTGGTCTACATTTATCTAATTTTCCTAATTGTTCTATTAGAGTTCGGCCACCATAGTATGGTGATTCTCCACAAATTAATACCACTGAAATCTTTTTATCAGTGCCGCCTGCGTCTTTGGCGCAGCGGTACTTTCCCCTGTAGAGTCAGAGGGCGGGAAAAGCAAGCAGGGTAATCATTGCAGAGGAAACGAGTGTTCAAAGGCAACAACAGGAACTGCAGAACGAAGCGAAGGGGTGCTGTAAAGCTGGTATACGAGATGTATTTGGAAGAGAGAAGAGGGGAGGTAAGGAGATGGAGGTTAGAGGATAAAGCAAGTCAGCCGTGAAGAAGTCGATTTTGCTGGACAATCGATCGCTGGGATCTTGTTGGCTTTGAGGGATGGTCACAGAATATGGGGGATACGTGTTAGGATCTTCGAGTAAAAATTTGAGATCAAGGAGTCCATGGCACTGCTTGTGAATCTTTAGCGATAAAGCTCTGTCGTAATGGCATTCAAAATTCAACATACATTACAAGCGCAGCACCTTTTATCATACTTCAAGTGAGCAACATAAAAAGACGCCATTGAATATTCTTTTCCTACATCTACGTTTACATCAAACGCTGCTCGTATCAACCCAGATCATAGCATCAATCAATCCATTTCCTTCTCAACTTACTCACAAGTCTTCCCTAATCCCCACTTCAAACTTCCACTGATATCTTCTGCATCAGCTGGAATATTTGAAAGTCTCAATGCTATTTTTCCCACTGCAATTCCAATCACTGAAACTATCAGCATCTCCATCCAAGTCAAGGTATAACGATTGCGGTCATTGCGTGCCGCGGATGAAACTGGTAATGGAGCATTTTGAACTATTTTTTCTGTCATGGGTGAAGATTTCTTGACTTTTTCTTGCTTATCTGAATCGAGTGGCCCTTGGACAACCATAACTGAAGGGCTTTTGTAGTTGCTTTTGATTTTGTGTTTGTGTATGTATTCTTTATTTGCATCGAGTGGCTCTTGGAAATCCACAGCTGAAGGCCTTTTGTATTTGGATTTGTGTTTGGATTCTTCGTTTGCATTGAGTTGATTTTCTAGCCTCTCGGCTGCATCGAGAGGACTTTCGGGCTCGTTGTGGAAAGGTAGACGGCCACCTGCAAAAGGCTGTATATCTTTCTCTCCCGAACCAAGGCCTTCTTCCCATTTTGCACTCTTGGTCGAAGGTTTAATACGCAATGGATCTTTCAGAGTCGTGGTCACAGGTTTCCGAGGTGCTCTCTCAAATGGCTTCCACCAATCCTCTGCATTCTCATGCCCTTTTGATTTTCCCGAATCCGACGGCTTGGTAGATTCAGCCTCAGCCTCAGCCTTGATCACAGGGTCCTGGGATTCTTTATGGGTCGGTTCCCACCCTTCCCCCGTATCCTCATACCCCCATGATTTCCTTCCATCCACATTCCGAACATCCTGCACAATCCAATCAAGTAGCTGAGATGGTTCGCCGTATTCTCTCTGTATTCTACTTCTCTCTCGCTCCTTCCTCTGATACTCATCTTCACTCGAATTCCGGTCTCCCAACCGCCCCGCTCTCCTCGGTGGTTTCCCTGTCGATCTCCATGCCGCTAATTCTTCTTTCTGTTTGAGAAGCTCTGCTTTTTTCTCTTTGTGGCGTTGCATTGTGGCATCTAGTTCTGCGTTACTTCGCCTTAGATCTTCAATATAGGGGTCGGGTTGTGCATTTATCTTCTTCAATCTATCCCTAAATTCGGCGGGCGAAAGATTCTCGGCAAGCAGTGCATCGAGCCAATGTACGCTCTCTTCTCCCTCCGGAGAGTCAGCGGGATAATCTTTGATCTCTCCCCATCCATAATTTGAGCGCTCTTCCAACCCCTTTGGCGGTGGATTCTCTCCTGAGGTTTTAGAGTTAGGCAGCTTTTGAGAGGTAATGGATCCGTATCTCTTTTCGTAATCGCGTCGTTTGTCTTCCAACACCTTTCTTTCCCGGGCAATACGGTCGCGTCTTGAAGATGAGGTTGGGGAGTTTGGAGGTTTGCTTAGAGAATCTCCGCGTTCATGAGGTGGGGTTCTTCGCCTGAGGGGGTCATTTCCGGATTGGGTAGTCATTTTATAGTTTTCGAAGAATGATGGGCAGACTTTTCCGTGGAAAGTTATTGAGAATTCAGGCTTCCAGATTCGGATATTTGGCGATGCGATTTAATGGGACAAAGGAGTATCATTTCTTTTGAGATGATTACAATCGGAACTTGATTGACGCATGCGGAGTACAATCAAAGGAATGGCATAAGGCTTTTCAAGAGCAAGATAATGATTTCTATGTTTGTATTTTGATGGGCCCATTGTATTGTCCAGAGGAAATGTCTTTTAGGAAGCTCTGTCTGAAGATTAATTGGGTATAAACGCAATACACACCCTTTAATTCTATGCAAAGACTTGACCTCAAAGATAGTGTTGTTTACATTGTTGGATATCTCTACAGATTGAAGGATCTTTGTGATCCAACTCTGAAGTAGGTTTGAGCTCGTATGTATCCACACTATCCCTTTCTTTTTGTGATCAACTATCTCCTCGACTAGTTGAACAAAGCAGCAGGTGTTGTCAAAAGACAAAGAGCATTGTTTCTAGAAGACAAAGAAATTTTTGGCGAGAAGTACTTGATTTCATATACTCTACCCTGAATTATTATTCAACAACTCTCCAAACTTTTGAGAACAATTATAATATTCCATGTATAAAGGTAAGAAGCTTGAAGTGGTAAACTTTCCCTCATCAGCCTGCCGATATCTTGTGAGTTTGAAACTTTAGTCCAACTAATACACCGCAAACCTCAAAAAAACTCCGCAGAACTATTTTCTATTTTACTCAAACTCTTTACATCAAAGTCCGAACACTAACTGCAAACATGGCCTCAGGAGACCAATTTGTTAACATCGACTTGCACCCAGCTGGGGCTACAAGAGAGCAGGCAAGAAGACAGCGCATCGTGAAGTATTCCGTGCAGGGTAACAAAACCAAGAGAAGTTGCTACCCAATCGTCATCTGCATCTTGGTTATTATCATTGCCCTTCTTGGATTTTTCATTGGTTTCCTATTAATCCGCCCAGGTATGATCGGAATGCCATGCTCAACTCAGGTCAAGTCTCCCCAGGCTTCCTCTCCAGTTCATCTTCAGACCTTCAGTCGTCCATTTCACAACACCACAACGACTACGCAATTGACCACGAAGACAATTCCCAAGACTCAAGCCACAGCCACAGGTCCGCCAAGTGGCATTGATCCTGTGGCAATCGCGACTTGCCTCGGTGTTTTGGAAAATGCCTGCGCAACGAATGATTCACAAACAACCTTCAGCCAATGCGATTCATTGTTTGTGTTCTTCTATTGTGACTTGACCGACATGATGGTGTTTAGAGGTGCAATGAAGCCCGATGCTGATGGAATGAGTCCAGTCTGCCAGCCAATGAAGAAGTTTTGTTCGAGAGCTATCCCATTGAACAGAATTCCCCTTGCAGATGTTAGTCCTTGAACCTGAAGTTCCGAGTTGAACGGCAGAGGAAGAGCAGCGTGTAAGATAACGTCATCGACATTAGATATTTTTTCCTTACGAACTTGTGCTTGACTTATGAATGTGAGAATAAAGTGAAAATGGAAACGTGATTAAATGTGTACACACTCGTCTGAATGAACATAGAATTAAATTGAAACGCGTAGAGAATCGTGAAAAGCTTGTAGCTATAGAGTAATGAAGCTTTGCAGCTGGATTTCGAGGAAACTGCCCCTGGAAAAAGATGTGGTAGTAATATTTAGTTGTAGCCGTCTCTTGTATAAACCATCGTTAGATCATGTAATGACCATATGTCGTGTTGTTTGTGCGGCAAGCAGAGCTCAAGAGGAATTCGTAAACATGGCCTTGGAAGTTGGAAGCCATCCGCGGTGCTTATACACGTGGAATGCATAGCTGGAGGGTGGTGGATATCCCCTACTACGTTGTCATACAGCTCTTCGAAACTCCCTAGTTGTGATTTGATTGTTACACTACAGAAATAAGTATCTAGTCATCAATTTGGGAAGTTTCGAGGATTTTCATCTGTAAGCAACCACAAAATTGTCGGCATTGAGGTCTAGGGGGAGCCAAGATAGCTTGTTTAGTGTTCCATAAATCATTAGCGAGTCATACTAAGAATTTAGTATCTTAACTTTGAAACGACAAACCTCCAGAAGACACACATCTACAATTGTTTGCAATACTTGCGCGCCATGATTATTATCTCTAGTTTGTGGCACTGCAACTCACACAATATATACGTTTGAACGACGTGTATATGTCCCTCTTATTAATCGAGATGAGTATCAATGTGTTCCCTTGCTGACTGCAGGAATGTTCCAGGCTCACATGAACACCAGATGTTCTGGATGCCTTGTGTAACGATGGCGAATGAGGTACACCGAGTAGGAATTCCAGCGAGGTATCATTCTCGATCCTTGGCTAACATTGTCAAACCTTGCATATACCATTGGCTGCTGGGCGAATATATTGCTTAAATGGACCTTGCCCTCCAATTTCCAGGGATATAAAATTCCAAAATTTACTCATTTTTCTTACTGGAATTGACAAGTCATAGTTCGTCATTTTGTTTCTGTAACTTTTGCAGTGGTAAGCCGCGCTCTCATTCTCCCGGTAGATGCATACCCGGATCACTTGCAGGCCCATACTGCATTGGAAGTGCATAAATGGACTCGAAAGTGGTCTTTAATTGGCACATGTCCACCAGAAATGTGTTTTGTAGCTCGTTGAGACGAGGGAAATTTTGTGATAAAAAACGAGGCAACCATGCTAACGAGAAAAGGAATATGAACGCCCAGCTCAAGTGAAGCGTTTGGAAGGAGCAGTCGACCCATGACTGCATGGTTCACAGTGAATTAAAAGTATATATTGAGGACTTCCCACCACGAAGAAGGTTGACTATAGTCGAAGCGATCTCGAATATATTCATGAAAACATCCACGTACCCCCTTTTCCCTGTGGTATGTATTCATATCCCTTCGTTCTATTTTCATGTACCTTGAACCTTCGGATCATCGCTAGATAACAATATGCTGCAGAACCTATGATTCGTCCATCTGGCTATACATACCCACCAATTACCAAGCCGCTCACATCTGATTCAATGAATCATGTGTCATTTGGGATCGCACAAACGTGCCGGAGGTTCGCAATTATTCGGTGGGGAGTGCTCAACTTATAGCTCACGGCACTTCTTGCCCGAACTTTGAGCCTCAACACACAGTACAAACTGCTCACGCAAGTTTTGAACTACGCAAACAACTCTCTACCTCTCGGGGGTCGTATTGCCAAAGGGGAAGTAGATATACACTGCATTCAAAACATTATTGGTTTCCCTGAATTTCGTACTTTGCAAACTCTTTCATCGATTTCTTGATCAAACCGAGCACTCTCGAGATTGGTGGCAAAATGCTCTTCTTGCCAAGATGAAACACATCAGCTTTCAATTTATGGTGTTCTACAGCAGCCACTTTTTTTGTGATAGGCCTCATGTTCGCAACTAAGACCACATTGGTAATGAACGAATCCTACACAGATTTCTATCTACCAGGATGGCATATTGTGCCCCTCCCTTTGTCTAAGTGGACGCTGTGGAGCAAATACATGGATTAGTTATCGATAGTTATATTTCGCTCGTTGATTTCAACAGATATTCTCAAAATATTTACAAGTCTGAGAAGGGAGTTTTGTAGTTTACTTTCGGAGACGCTAATATGCTAATTCTTGGTTGCCTCGACGTTTTCCATACCGGAACGATTCAAATTGGAATGTATTGCTATGCTTGAATATACATTTAGTCGCTATCATTCCATGGGGCTGCTAAAAGTTGCATCAAATGTGCATCGTCAGCCAGGATTATGGTGCCAAAAAATAGACCGACATCCAATCAATGTCCATCACGAGGACTATTACCATATCTTCATATACCCAGGCAATGACCTTGCTAACCTTAAGAATTCTCTTTGAATTATCACAAGTGTTTGTTTGCAATTCTTCACGACATTCATCCTGTCGCAAGCTGGAAAGATAAGTGCTTATGACTGAAATCTATTAATCATTTTTGGTCAATTTTTTCACAGCACTCAGGACAAGTTTGAAGAGAAGCTACTGTCTTCGTGAATCACCTGTGAGTTTGCTATCTTCATGAACTTTCTGACACTTCCTGATTCAGAATTCGACAGAGACCCTCGCGACAACAAATAAACTAGGCACGCAAGCTGTTGACACAATGGCTCATCAACATCATACTAGCTTCCTTTTCAATGTGAATGAGCTTTACGTTAATGAAGATCCCGAAAGCGGAGGTAGACCTCCGAGGGTAAACGAGAATGGTCGATGGGTGCCACCCGTTTATAGAGATGGTTTCTTACCTCAGACTCCCGGGCGAACGTTTAGATGGAACAACGGACACATCGAATATGCTGGGGCTAATTACCAATGGTTTGGTGGGCAAGGTTTGACCTATCTGAACAACGAAACGCTTCAACATTACAGTAGTACAACTTTGTTTTGGTGTAATGAATTTACACAGTTTCAAATGATGGAAGCGGACGCAACAACGATAGACATAGCAACTTCAGATTTCCCATACAACAGATGGTATCCCCTGACATTTCGATACGAGAGAACGCTTTCAAGAGTATCTGCTTCTATGGAGGAGCAATATCTTGCTGGAAGAGACGGGGCTTGGATTGCTCAGCTTGGGCTTCAGGCGTACCGCAATCGTAGGAACCAACAGACGGAAGGACTCGCTGGCAACCTTGCTACCGTTGTAGCATTGGTGGCATTCTCTTGCACTGATGATGATACTCTATATAATGTTCTAATCAATAATCGTGCATGGCGAGGGCAGTTGAGGGTTTACGATGCAGAACATGGAAGTAAGCTATCAAATCATGGTCACACACAGATTATCAAAACTCTAATCAAAATAGGACGTCCTGAGAGGGGAGTCGTGAGCAACATCTATCTAGACCCAGAGAACCCGAATGGCTCTACATATGATTCGCTTCGCCATATAGAATGGTTTAATGGGCCCATCATTTACTAATATTCGGTTCCGTGAAGCAAATACACTTTTTCAATGCCTCATTACATCGAGTGTATTCTCTGAAGATTTGCGGATACTTGGAACGCATGTTCCTCTCTACTGTCCTGGAACATACCCCTCTCTCAATGAAGCGGCTTGTCTTTCTCGGTTCTGATAATACGTTACGCTGCCATCATTGTTTGCAATGTTCTCTTCCATTAACTTCACCTTCCCAGAATCTTTGATGCACACATCTCAGGGCTTCATCTCATCCGGTACTAGCTTATTCAGCAGTCATAATTGGACTTTCGGGACTTTTTAAAGGTCTGAAAAAGTTCCATTTGGTCAAAAAGTAGAAAGTTAAGATGTGCTGCCAACAAACTTGGAGGGTTTCTCGCATAGCTAATTGCTTGCAATGAATAAATGATGCTTGATTCTGTCTACTATATCGTTGATTTTTTAAATACTGCAATATTAACCAAACAGCCCTATATGAAAACGAGCTGCCACGAATCAATTAGCATATCGCAAAATTTGAATGAGAATGTATGGACATGAGATTTCTCATCATTGGCTAAATGCCCATGTACGATTTCAAGATAATATGCAGAGTAGCTAATCTTTTGCAGCATCATATGTGGCTTAGCAGATAACAGCCTCGTTGGGCATTGTATAAGATCGAACCTTTCGTCCTTGAAGTTCGGTCCCTCATCACTATTCTTCATCACGTCAATAACCCACCATGTCATTTGGATGGTCTGCTGGAGATATTGCGCAGGCAATATCTTTGATTGTCAAGGTTGTAAAAGCCCTTGATGATGCAAGTGGCGCCCCCGATGAGTATCGCAAAATGGCTGTCTTTCTTGAGAATGTTAATCTCACATTAAAAAATATGCACGTCTTCGCTACATTAGGGGTATATCCTTCGTATGGAGATGAGATACGTAGACAAATCGAGAATATTCGACCGCCTTTGGAGCTTTTTATCAAAATCATGAAGAACTACGAACCACACTTAGGTAGCAATGCTACACCCGGCTGGTGGAAAAATATACCCCGAAAGATGTTATGGACTTTCAAGCATTTCTATCACAAATTGAAGAAGGAAATAAAGGATCATTTGTTTACGCTCGACAATCTTTTAAATAGATTTACATTGTGAGTTTGCTTTCTCAAAAAAACCCAACACTGTTTGCAACACTCATACTATTACTAATTCATGATTACCTACAGGGAAGTCGTCCGTACTCTTCCAGATGAACTGAAACAGCTATTCATCAATACTCTTGCCCCTCAGATGATTTCAGCTCTTGAAGTAATGGTCAATCCTGTACGCAACGAAATATCTCTGATGCGAAACGAAGGGAGGATGCAGCAAAAAGAACTACATTCTAAAACAGAGGAAATCATTCTCTTGTTGCAATCGCTCAAGATGGATGACTCCAAATCTAAAAATACTGGTGATTTGGATGTTACCGTTCACGATATAAAAGAGCACATAACTAGTACGCTTAGATCAACGTCCAATAATCCTCAAAAACCCATCATTGACAGTTGCTCACGAGCGGCATGTAAAGCCGATTCACTTCCTGCAACCAATGTTTTGTTTCAAGCAATGAGCAAAGGCCCGCTTGAAGCGAGCGACGAGGAGATCGAACAATCGTTACGAAATATGTAAGTCTTTCTGGTATTCATAATACAATACCACGATCTGGTGTTGATCCCCACAGATATTATAGCATTATTTTATATGCAGGAATGTTCCTTCGCAATCTATGGTACGCTGCTCCTTGTCTCACATGAAGTCTCAAATATTGATTCTGTGAAGTTTATATCTAGCCAACCGGCTGATGTTGTCGAGGCCCTTGACACCCAACCTGCTTGCGATATATCACATAACGTTTCATGATGCACTTGGCCGCCCTCCGAGAGTTCTTCAGATCGATGTCTTTAATAACTGTCAAGTATGTATATCCTTCCCAAATCGAACTCTTATTGAGAATCTAGGCCTTCCAGGCATTTTTATATCAATCGTTCTCTGATACAGTAGGAAAACCCTGGGTAGAACGAGGGTCATATCTACTCGCGAATAAATCAGAAAAATCTGCTCTGACGGCTGATACCTGGTCGCGAATCATCAAGCCAGGGTGTCATGTAGAAATGACCATGGTGCTTGACTATAATAACAAACTAGAAAACAGATGTCCTGACACCATTTGTTCGGGCGTCTTGATCAATATGACCAATTCCACATGGAGGAAATGGTTCGTAAATCCTATCATGTCTCAAAATTCAAAATTCACCTAGAAATTAGCTAATTTATAAAGTCAATCTTGTCAAAAAGAGATACTTGAACCTAAAATTGCCAGCCAGATTGAGAAAGCTTACGCTCCTACATGGCAAGTGGCTATGGAACAGCACGAGCCAAAGGTACCTGAGGCTATTAATACTGCAACTTTTGCTCGGTGCGTCTATCGATTAAATATTCAATCTGCGATTGCGCAATCTGCGGAGCCTTTGAAAGTTCAAAAGAACAATACAGGGCTTCCAAAGATACAATCTAAATCTGTGCTAGAGCTGCACCGAAGCGAGTTGAAGTCTGATGCGAGGCTTTCAGCTCGACCATCTGCAACAGCTTCAGGATCATTGGAACGTCATGTCTGTGTTTGGAGCTGTTGCTGGTGTCGAGATTATCGTGGAAACTATACATCTTCAGGGATGACGACTAAAATTACAAATTGTCCAGTATGTTCTCATGTAAGATGCAATGATTGTACCACTGAATGGCTCAAGATACGTAGCTATTATCACGGTTAATAGGATACACCAATATAATTACAATTGTAATTGGAAATTTCAAAGCGAACACAATGATTCTAGCATTTTTGACATATACTATTATATACAATATAAATTACATGATATTTGCTCCGGTCTGGGATGATGAGGAACGAATGTTCCAGTATGCCTTTACCAATGAATCTCTATTCCTTAAATAACCTCACCCATTGGATGGAGGCTTAATTATCAACTCAATTCTAACATCGAGGACAACTATTTAATTACGGTGATAGACCATGTTTGCTACCTGGTTCTACAATCCTCGAGACTCAATTTTCCGTGAAACATGACACCAAATATATCCTTTCAACAATCCAACCAGAACCATCGACCAAAATCTTTTTCTCGAGAAGTTGATAATAAGCTCTTCAAACATGCACTTGAACAAAGATCGTGCACTAGTTGCTTATAAACAATAGCCACAAGCCCATTCATCATTCCTATCGACTCCATCAACCCTCCTGCAAACATCTCTCAAGATGACTTCACCAAACCACACCTCACCATCCCCCACCCGGCCTCCGGCGAACAACCCCGCAAACAACCATTCACCATCTACCACAGCCACCTCTCTCATCCGTCCCCCTCGCTTCTACATGCTCCGAGCCTTCACCACTCGTCTCCTCCCTCTAGCACTCTTCACAGTCTTCCTCATCACAGGTACTGTAATCCTCATCTATTCCGTCGTAGACAAACGAGTTATACCTTCGAATTTCATCGCCGGATCGTATATAACTATCGGTGTTATTATTCTTCTATGGTGTTTATCACGTTTTATACTCCTTCTCCGAGAAAGTTTCGGGGAGCTAGTAATTGATGAGGTGGAGGCTGGGTTGCAGGGAGTCAATAGAGTACATGTAAGAGGATTATGGGGAAAAGAAGAGGGGAGAGTAAAGAAGTGTTTAAGGTGGTTGATGGAGCCCCCGAGGAGTGATGGGTCGAAATCACCGGTTGGTAGATTTGATTTCGGAAACCACAGCTCACGAAATCGTCGAGAAGTCGCAAGACAAGAACCGCAACTCGCAAGGGAAGGGATCGAATTGAGAGATTTTGGGATTCGTGATCAAAATCCTCAAGTAGCTCCATCGGGGCCTGCACTTTCATCTCTCGAAAGTCTCTCTAACGTACCAGCTCATTTATCCAAGCCCCAGAACCATCCAAATGATCCAAATATGCGAAATTCAGTACAGCAACGTGCAAAATCTCACCAACGAAACCCAAGCCCAAGCCAAAGAACCCCCGCTCTACCTCCCCAAAAAACCAGAAACCATCGAGCACCAACCCTAAATCCCACAATCAACACCTCCCACGACAGACTAACAGTACACCACTCCTCACCCCCAAACCCTTCCCAACCCATCTCATACACAAGCGAAGAATCACGAGATGTGACATCTCAGACTCGCTTAGCACCTCACAATTTACCATTATCTTTACAGATTAATCCGGGTTCTGTAAACTCGATAGCGCGATCTCGTCCGTCGAAAATAACAAGACCGCTTACGCAGAGTTCCTGAGATTTGTGTTGGGTTTGGATCTTGGATCTTGGATTTTAGTCCCGTTTGACATTGACTGGGATTCTGTATCCGGGGATATCTCGATAACTTAGGATAGGTAGGTAGGTAGGTAGGTATCAGAACCTCTTGACTTCATTTCCATTTATCCTTATTTCCGCCATTCCATTCCATTCTATTTCTCATATCTTACCTATCTCCACCCACCACCCATCCTCACCCATTAACAACAACAACACCTATCTCTATTCCGTTCCTCTACTATACTCATCCAAAACTCACCACTCCATCTACACAAAACCACGTCTCCATCCATCCCCACGTATCCACGTCCCTTTAAATTCAAATTTGAATCAAAATAAACCTCAATATCAAATTCAGAATCAAATTCAGGAAATGATTTAAGAAAGAAAAGAAAGAAAGATGATTATATGAATTCATCTAATTGACGAACTACCTGGTTAAACAAGCAACTGACTAACATACGTAGCTTTAGAATCTTCTACACACTTAATCTACGTTAGCCGGGATAGATAAATAGATAGATAAATAAATAGATATCTACCTACCTACCTACCTACCTAGAGAGACCTACAAAATCTTGCCCCCCAAGTAATCAATCAAACAACCTCACCCACATCCCCCCATTCCCCATTAATACATGGTGCAAGATCTCCATCATCATCATCCAAGTCCTACACCTACCAGAATATCGATATGATTTTTCCCTATGAATACCTAGGCACATAGGGGAAAGACATAATTACTACCGATCTACCTACTTATCCTCATTTTCATTTTCATAGAGAATGTATTTTCATTTCACTGGAGATGAGAAATAATAGCATTAGGAGATACGAGGGGTAGATTGGCATCTTTACGGGATCAGACAGTGATCCCAACCGAGTACCTAGGCTGATAGATAGCTCCAGTAGCCCACCTGAAGATATCATATTAACACATGTAATGTAATAAGAGGTCCAAGCCAGCATTGCATCAGAAATCTAGAATATATTTATTCTTTCATGTCGATAAAAATCGCTCACGCAGAGTGCAAACAACAAAGTTTCACAAACCCTTCGGTAATGTCAATCTCTGTCGCGAGAATCAACTCCTTCTGTGAACCGTATACGCGGAGATATAATCCTTACTTGTTTCCCAATTCTCCTCTTCCACAACCTGACGCCCTTTGTACCGTCAGGTTCCAATACGCCAAGCTTTAAATCTTTCCAACTCCGTACCCCAAATACTCCACCACTTATAGCCATATGCGCATACTCAAAGAATGTCCAGACCAAAAGAGTGATAATACCAAATACCCAAACTTAAACAAGTATAGGCTTCTCCTCGCCGAACCCTGTATACCCCATCTTAACATCACCGCCAACAACTGGTGAAACTTCGTCCCTTCCGTTCCTTCCACCATTCATCATTTTTTCATCCTTTGGAGTATTTGTCTCCCTTTCTTCCCTTTTCTTTCTTCCTAACTTTTCACACCATTCCTCCGCACTGACTATTGTTCCATCCAAAACTCCTGATACCTGAGTCATCATGTCCAAACCTTCTTTTGCCAATACCATGACTCTTTGTGCGCCTTCCTTGGCATCACTATCTCCATCTCGATGACTTCTGCTTTCACCATTTGAAACGGAGTTTGCGATTTGAAATCGTCGTGGCAAGGAAGTCAAGTGCTTGCGTACGAGATCTCTTGCGTTTTCGGGAAGAGCACCACCAGCATACTTAGAAACAATATCTACCACCTCTTTCAAAGTCTTCAAGACATCTTTGTTCAACTGCGCAATCTTTGCAGTCAAGGCTGAGCGTTGATCATCTGTGTGAAGCACTATTTGACGTTGATTATTGTCAGCTCCCTTTTCGGAGTAGGGGGTGTCAGCAATGGTGCCAGAATTGTCATATTGTTCCAAAACTGATTTCAATGCCACAATTAGTTTCCCTATGTGCTCATTTGCCCAACGAATCCAACTGAGGCAGTATTTTAAACTTCGGAGCGACTCTTCCGACATTGCAACACTGAGTCCCGAGGTCGAAAGGACGAGACGAGATTGCCATGAGCTGCCAGGAGATACAGATTCTTCAGATCCTCGGTTTGATGGCACTAATGCTTGCTGTGAAGCTTCATAGCTAGGACTACGTTGATCATCATATGCAGGAAGGCTGTCTGTTGTAGAAGCCTGGCTAGGCCGACGGCGGCGCTGTTGATCAAATTGTATTTCAAACTGCATGGGCTGACCTTCAAGGTCGGCTGGAGAGGAAGTGTTGACTTTCCGTCGCTTGTGAGAAGGGGAATCAGATTCAGTGTCGGACGGTCCATGATGGCTCGGCCGGCGACCACCAAGGAACCAACGCACACCCCCTTCAACTCCAGTAATACGGTTGACAGAATTAATTGTATTGACAACCGGAGTAATCCTTCTTTCCACGTATTCTGCACTAGACTTGAAACGTGGACTATAGTTTTTGGAAGCCGAGTATGCGGATAGTGAACCACCTATCGCATTACCAATGAGTGGGTGGGATGTGGTGAGGAGTGAGAGGAGGGGTTCTGGTTGTGTGGAAACACCTTGTCGAAAGCGAGGTGAGTTTGAAGAGGGAGCAGTACGCTGACGGGGGGAAGACTGTATAAAGTCTGTAACAAAATTAGTATAGAGTTCTGCCAAAAATTCTTTGCAAAACATACCGGCGCGAAGATCTCCCAATGCTTCGGCAGCAAGTCGCACATCGGGATCGTCTATAGATAGTACACTTCCACCCCTCCGTGCTCTGTTGTCTGATAAATCTAAGTCCATACCGTTCGGCGAATCTGTACTTCTTCTAGTCGTTGTTTTGGGGGATAGCTGTGAGGGGCCCGGTTGATAATATGCGGTTAAAGGATTTGAAGACGGCCATGTCAATGGGACTTCTGCGACTAGATCCTGCCGATATTTTGATTCTGTCGACATAGGAGGTAGAGGGGGCAAGACTCTTTCATGATGAATCGGTGGAGGGTCTGCTGTGGGTACAGAAGGCAGACTTATGGTTTGAGGGTCGTGAGATGCGTAGGATGGGGGGCATTCCCTTAACATGTGATCGTGTTCCATTTCGATATCAAACGCCGACGGCTATATGAAAATGGTTGAAAATTGATTGTAAGTAATGAGACTATACCATTAATACTTGGCATATGTGTACTTCTGAAAAAAGAACAAAATTTGTCGAGGTTTCAAAGCGTTTGTACTCGCTGAATTGATGAATCTTCAGGGAATTTTTTGCTTGTGATACGATGATCTTCCAATGTTGCATGTAAGAGAGTACTTTGATAGAAACAAATAAAACAAAATGATTTCCTCGAATTCGAATAATAACAAAACTCCAAATCCAGTTGAATGGTATATTTTCTTTCTCTTTCTCTTTCTCTTTCTCTTTCTTTTCTCCCCTTTCTCTTTAGTCGTATATGAACCCAGATTTACATGGCGCAAAACAATCGTATGAAGTTCGGGGATGATGTAGGTAGGTCCTCGTAGAAAAAGCATTCACATGTGACCATCTTGGTTGCTTTTGGCTGGTTCGGTAAATGTAAATGCGAATTCATGGTGGGGTGTGGGAATGAATTTGATGTGTATTCCTATAAAGACTGAAATTTTGATTTTGATTTTGATGTTGATGTTGATGTTGATGTTGATGTTGATGTTGATGTTGATGTTGATGTTGATGTTGATGCTTTGTGAAAACTCTGGTCAAACGATTTGCTGGATGGTCTTTCGGATATATACTATAGCAGCAAACATATCAGTCGGATGGCATTGGTGTTGAAGGCCTTCTATATCAAGGTATGTATATATATATTATATAGTTAGATATCAACATTGGTTTCAGGAGATCATCATGGCAGGAATGTATTCTTCCCGCATTCCGCAAGTCATGGCATACTGTTTGGCATTTGCATGTCGCATGGAATACACTCAGCCAAGTAAGTATGTATCAATAACTTCAATCATGAGCAAATATCACATCTGGAAAAAACGAGTGAACGTGGTTGAAATCGCCATCATGGCTCTTGAATTTTGTATCGTGTCTTCCCATAAAACAGCCACTTCCCTTTCAACTTCGTATGTATGGTCCCTCTGACGCCGCCCAGGCAACCTGTTGTCCAAATAGACAATGCCCGGCCAGCTCTTATGGTACCGTTGGTATTGGTCTCCGCGCCGCGAAATCGCTAACTACATCAATGGGAAACAAGATAAGTATCAACAGAATGTTGACACAAGTTATATTTATGTGATTGAGTTGCACTGTCTAAAAGGGCGCGTTGAAGAAAAAAGAAGAAGTTTTTCTCCAGAGTGAAAGATATTTAAGCTTCGAAGATTCTGCCGTTTTAACACTAGTACATTTGAAGTTTAGTCCCGTCCTTAGTAAGGGAAACCGATGCTGACCGCCGAGACTCACTAGTCTAGGACCTGGAGATCTATCAATCCGAAGGGGGAAGCTTGAACGTGGGGCTATTATTACTATTATTCAAGTGAACAACACCGACGAGGCACCTAATTCATCAATTCCAATTCCAAATATCAAGAGGAATTCATACCAAATTCACGAATGATAACAAATTCTTCCAAGATATAATACAAGCCGACTTGGCACATACTCTCCGTCCTTCAATACCGTCGTCCCCTTTCTTTCTTTGATTATCTGGCAAATATGGCATCCGCTGTCTTCTTTCTCGATTTAAAGGGCAAGGTATAAACAATACTTTCTGTAGTGACTTTACTTCTGGATCATGTTGACGCAATACTACAGACTCTTCTTGCCCGAAATTATAGAGGAGATATTCCCATGTCCGCGGTTGAAAAGTTTCCAATACTTTTGAGTGAGGCAGAAGAAGAGAGTTCCGCAGTTCCACCATGTTTCTCAGATGAAGGAATAAATGTATATCATCACCCCTTACTATTTGCGGTCGCCGTTTTTAACTTGTACCAAGTATCTATACATCCGCCATAATAACCTCTACCTCCTAGCCCTCACTAAACGCAATACAAATGCCGCCGAAATCCTCCTTTTCCTACACAAAATAGTCGAAGTCTTCACCGAATACTTCAAAGAACTTGAAGAAGAATCCATCCGAGATAACTTCGTCATTATTTATGAACTCTTGGACGAAATGATGGACTTTGGATATCCACAAACCACCGAATCGAAAATCCTTCAAGAATACATCACACAAGAATCACATAAATTAGAGATTCAAGCCCGTCCACCTATAGCGGTTACAAATGCAGTATCATGGAGATCGGAAGGAATTAGGTACAGGAAGAACGAAGTTTTCCTTGATGTGGTTGAATCACTCAATTTGCTGGTATCATCGAATGGAAACGTGTTGAGGTCCGAGATTTTGGGTGCCATAAAGATGAAGTGTTACCTGTCTGGTATGCCAGAGTTGCGATTAGGTCTTAACGATAAAGTAATGTTTGAAACAACGGGACGCGCAACTCGAGGGAAAGCCATCGAGATGGAAGATGTGAAGTTCCATCAATGTGTACGCCTTTCACGATTTGAAAACGATAGAACTATCTCCTTCATTCCACCCGACGGAGAGTTCGAATTAATGTCATACCGTCTAAATACTCAAGTCAAACCATTGATCTGGGTTGAATGTATCGTGGAATCGCATTCTGGATCGAGAATCGAATACATGCTGAAAGCAAAAGCGCAATTCAAACGTCGCAGCACAGCCAACAACGTCGAAATCACAGTTCCAGTTCCAGAAGATGCCGATTCCCCGCGTTTCCGCACAAATATTGGATCCGTACATTACGCACCAGAAAAGTCGGCGATAGTATGGAAAATCAAACAATTCGGAGGCAGTAAAGAATTCCTTATGAGAGCGGAGTTAGGATTGCCGAGTGTGAAGGGTGACGATGAACATGGAGGTGGAATGACTGGAGGATTTGGCGGAAGTATGGGTGGGGTTGGGGGTAAAGGAGCAAAGAGACCAATCAGTGTGAAATTTGAGATTCCTTATTTTACGACAAGTGGTATTCAAGTCAGGTACCTGAAGATCATTGAGCCAAAGGTTAGCCCTCCTTTTCCAAAAAAATCTCCAATCTTTTGTCTAACATTTTCGATAGTTACAATATCCATCTCTCCCCTGGGTTCGCTACATCACCCAATCAGGAGACATAGCAGTCAGACTTCCTGATGTAAGCTAAGACAGTTGAGATTATATTGGCATCGATTTATTCACAATCGAAAAAATATTCTCGGAATGGAAAAGATAAGATAGATAGATTGGGAGGTAGGGAGGAGTGTAGCAATTCTGCATTATCAGGCGCCAGAACCATGGTCCGGGGTTGGACTTGTTATTGATGAGATAAATACAACTTTTTTCGCCATATCTTGGCCTGATCTAATTTTGATAGTTTTATGAGCCTTCTTTATTACTTTTTGCATAACAGTCAAGGCTACTAGAATGCTTGTTGAAATCATGCTGAAATTGTTGTTCCTTGCATCCATGTATATCATTTCGTTGATGCGGAGGTGGTGGTTATCATATGGAGCGATCTCTACATGCTAGTGTCCAGTGTTTGTAATTCAACGAATACGCGGGTTTCGTACCTGTGATGTTTATATATTGCTGTTGTTCAAGAGTAATGCGCTCAGTTGTTCCACAAGATAGATTGCTCGTGTGCGTACTCGTATTTGTGAGTTTTGATTTGAAGTTTTCGGCGTGGTGAAAGTTGCTGGATGTTGTATAGAGAGAGAGAGTGTGTGTGTGTGTGTTTGTGTGTGTAGGTGTGTGTATATGTCTGTGAATATCGGGTGTGTGGGTTCTGATATGTTTTCATTTTGGGATTGGTGAAACTACTTCGCGAGTTTGTGGAATGGGAATTTGGTGTATGATATAGGTTCTAGGACTCATGTATATAATTGAGAAATGTCTTGGGAGACATGTTGATCTGGTAGAAGAGTTCCTCAGTGTATACAAATCTCCAGATCGTGGTGTTGATAAGAGGATTATTTATAGAGGGTTTGGGGTAACTAGTATGTCGAAGGAGGAATCATTAGAGATGCTATATGTGAGTGATTAACCGACGTCTCTTGCATATGAATGGTAAAATCAATATTACTCATACCTTTTTTTGGCCAGAATCCGTCTTCGAGAATGGTAAATGACGGCGATACACACTTGGAATCATTCGAGGCGCTTAATACATCTTCTCGTCCCATATTTCCACGCTTTCTCTTTGCAAATCAAGTCACAACCACCCAAAAATGACTTCTCACTCACACAAATACTATATTTCATACTTATTTATATGTATTTTGAAAGTTTGAAAAATGATCAGATTTTTACACAACTCCCCATCTCATGTTTTCCACGTTTTTCTCACGCAACCCAAGTCATAGATTACCTCAAATGACTTCTCACTCATGCAAAAACTACATTTCACACTCATGCCTATGCATTTCGAGAGCTCTTAGAGCGATCGGAAAAGACATAAATAGTTCCAATTGCCCCGTTGGGTGGATTTCTTTTTGAAAGTATCAAGACGGTTTCCATCAAACTTTCCATAATTAAATATTTTCAAGAATCACAGTTCTATTGTGATAGTCCTACACAGTTACAAATCTCGCGAAAATTCACCAACTCTCAAAAAGTTTCGATATTCTTTTTTTTACTACGAGAATTGAAGGATATACTGCACACCATGGATCAAACTTCCGGAAATACGAGAAGAAATAGAAGTAGCAGAGTTGGTCGGTCCTCCAATCTTGCATCAAATCCATCCGCGGAGCAAGCGGGAGATCATTGGCAATGCCAATTACCATTCCCATGGCCCCTTCAGAACTTCAGTGTTCGTATCTTATTTACCTCTTTTCCTTCTCAAAAAAACGTTTCTAACACTCTTCATATAGTGCGGCGCATGGAATAAACCCAATGCAGTAACATGTAAAGCCCCGGAGGAAAACCCCTTCAAGAATGTCGACCCAAGCAATCCGGGGGGACAACGTGGATGCGGTAGACAAAAGCTCGATGGATTTTGGACACTGGCGAGTCACGTCAGCAGATTAAATCTCTATTATAGAAAAAGAGATCAGATCCCTGACATCGACTGGGTTGTCTTGAAAGATGGCAAACGTGTTCGCAACAACGAAGAGAGATAGAAAGCCGGGTTTGTATCAACACATTCGATCTTTGACTTTTCGATACCTTGTATTCACCTCAGCCAACAGTCATCTTTCGAATATGATCTGCACCGTAATGCGCATTCCTCAAAATCGAGTTATACTGGCCATCTAAGTTACTATTCAGCGGTGATTCAAACAACCGATCAACCCAAATTCCGACAGTCCACCTAGTTCGCTTTCCGTTCCCCATGTCAACCGGATGACTTTTTTCTCAATTCGATTTCTTTACAACAACTTTCTACTTCGATTCTTTGCTAAGACACACCAATTTTCTTCCACCACACTGCCACTTCAACGAACACTCGGTTGAATTCATTTACTACAGTTTTCTATCTCTATATTTTCTAGTTTTATTATCCTCGCATGGTTTTGACGGCGGTCTATTAAACGCATTCATTCATTGTTTTCAGACATCGATTTCGATTTTTCCTTTATTTTCTTTGGCTGGATGTTGAATGTCAGATACCAAAATTCAATTGTCTTTTTCTTTCTCACATCTTCGACCTCGCTTACATGGTCTCGATGTTAGGGGGTAAATTTAGAGCTCGAATTGGAGTTTCGGAACTGGGTCTACGGGATATTTCTTAATTTCTTTGTTATTGCATGGCTTTTCTCAACTGCACAATCAGTTACGATGGTATTTCGATTTTCATATTTATCTAGGTGATCGGGCGCATAAACTGGTTCTTGACACAGCCACTCAAGGTATAGAGAGGGAGTTGTTGCAGCGAATGTGGGAACTTTAACTTTGCTTCTATTACTGAATTGGGAATCGGAGCATTAGATACCTTGATAGAAATAGAAATACATACATATCATTATAATTCCATCCCGCTGATATAAGTTTCCCGTGACTTTGTAGATTGATAGAATAGGGAGTTACTTAAGGGGGGAGTGAGAGTTCGAGTGGTAAGCGATGATTAGTCATCTGATATCTTATTGACAAACTCCCAAGAGTGCAGCATTGATAGTTTTAGTTCTCTGCGCTTTCAAAGGAGGAATATATTGCCCATTGCATCTTTTTCTCTATTATGCTTGTTGGTACATTTTACTCCATGGATACTTAAAGCAGATCGGCTATTGTCGCTCATGCAGAAGTTTCCTGGTCTCTGACCGTAACCTTCTTTAAACATCTAACTGAGGGTCCACACCAAGCCCCTAATAGATCTTTGATAATCGAAACTTGAGACGATTTTACTAAGAGAAATTTCCGCTCAATTTCTTGACATCAGCCTTGATGTTAACTCGCAGCGCTTGTCGATATGACATTCCTAAGAGACCCACCACGATGTCTAGTTGTTCTTTGTCTTCAATGCTTGCAATCGAAGGGCAGTTATCGACCACCTAAACAACTAGAAGATGATTGATAGGCCCGACCAACCGGCTGTATCGCTAGGCAATATTGGTACATACACGCTTGATCTCTCACAGGCTATCTAGGAGTAGACGCAATTGGTCTGCATGCACAAGCTCAAATCTTGCCAGCACTACTATTCAGCATAAAGTAAATGCTCGACTAACCGCACCGTGTAGGTTGAAGCCGATGCCAAGCGAGAGATTATGCGAGCGATGGGCGTAATGGGCAAAATTCGAGAACTCTCTTTTTGATCCCAGTGTTCGGCTTTTCAGTTTTTTGGATTTAACCGTCCTCAATAAGATTGGATATGTTGGGAATCCCTCTGATTCAGTTGAGCGCTGATTTAGCCTGATGATGTTGTCGATTGCCACGGTGACACGTGTTATCCACGTGATAAATCCCAATGCGTATTACTCGTGTATATCTTTTTTGATTCCATCACGATATTGATGTCATCTTTTGATGACCTGGGCCTAGAAAATCCTCTGCAATGCATGTCATCCCTCTCTCTATCCAATTACCTGTCTTCCTTATCTCGAGCTGAACGGACTTTCTGTGCACACCAAATCGTCGAAAATTTGAAAAAGTATGCTTGTTTGTAGATAGTATTTAACCGCAATCCGTTTGAAATAACATAAAGCTCAAACGCAGCATCAATTATAAGCCGTCAGTAAATAGTTTTACTCAAGTTGGTTAATTGCTTTTGGTGAGCACAGGATTTCTTCAGCTCTTGTCTCAACAGCTTGTTATCATGTCCTAGATCTACTCTGCGCTCGGACCCTATTTGTAGCCGAAGATATAAAGTTCCCCGCGTTGCCAAAAACAGTTCGATTTTCCACCATCAACCTGCCAGGATCTGTGGATTAGGGTGCGGTACTTGTACATCCATTTGATTATCTTCACGAGGAGGTTTAACCGGCATAAAATGACTCGACGAAAAGGGCTGAAGAGACAGGAGAGGATTTATCTTGACAGAAAGTTTGACTCGAGATAGTTCAGGACTGTCGCCACCGCTTCTTTCTCATGATTCGACCTGGCTACTGTTTACAGAGTACCGGTACAATTTGATCATACTACATTAATGGCATTCCTACGTATTCCACGCGGCATGTATATCTACCAAGAGATTACCTATCTTGAATTTGTGTGTAATCGAATCCATCCTTGGAGATAAACCTTATCACATCATGATAACCGTACAGACCCAATAAAATTTCAGCATAGAATCACTATCGCTCACCTCAGAAAGGTACAATAAATGCAGGAAATTGCTTCTGCATTGGTTCTAACTTATCCTAAAGGCTGGTCATACCGAGTGCTTGGTATAGTCGTCCCTATGTCTCATAACCCCCGCAGATGTCTCCCAATCAATTACGGAGCCCTCGCCGGAGAATTCATATACCGCGCATGAACCCGTCTTAACAATCTTCGATCACTCTTTCGTACCGTATACTAAATTGTAAATCTGTTTACCTCAAGAATATCAGGTACTGAGGGTTCAAAGTACCTCCCGACAATGAATACGACAATGATTGACGAGGAGAAGAAAACCTCTTCGACAACCTCTCCACCGGACTCAAATGAGTTGGATAATCTAGAAGCTCTTGGATATACTGAAGAGCTTCAACGAAATCGATCTTTGTTTACTCTTCTCTTCCAATCTCTTGCAATTGCAGCAATACCTTATGGAGAAGGCGGCCCGCTGATCAGTGCTATATATGGAGGGGGTCAGCTTTCCATATTTGTTGGTTGGATTGTGGTTCTTATTCTAGATGAATGCGTGGCTTTGTCATTGAGTGAACTTGCCTCGAGGTACCCAACTTCAGCTGGACCTTATTATTGGTCTTTCCAGGTGAGGAAGTGTTTGATTGTTCTTGATCTTCCGATCTGGCTATGTGAACGTTGATGGAGTGATATCTACCAATAGCTTACCGATAGATTGTGAAAACACAATTCTTGATCGTGGCTAATTCTTGATGATTGTAGGTAGCAAAGAGACACAAGACCATACTATCGTTCATCACAGGTTGGGTATGGCTTATTGGAAATTGGACAATCACATTATCCGTCAACTTTGGATTTGCTTCGCTGATATCTGCAACTGTTGCCATGTATCATCCAGATTTTGTTGCATCTAGCTGGCAGCTTACTCTCATCTTCTATGCCATTTGTCTCATCACATTAATAATATGCACGTTTGGCAACCGATTCCTGCCTTTGGTTGACACAATATGCGCTGCTTGGACGGCCATTAGCATACTCATCATTCTCATCGCTCTTTCAGTCTCGGCGAAGGAAGGTCGACACAGTGCTAGCTATTCTCTTGGAAATTACGATACCTCTTTCGCTGGATGGGGAGGCTTCACTTTCTTCATCGGTCTTCTACCAGCCGCGTATACCTTCTCTGCAATTGGCATGATCTCCTCAATGGCAGAAGAAGTTTCTAACCCCACGATCAAAGTCCCAAAAGCAATAGCACTATGCGTTCCTGTTGGCGGAATAGCTGGTCTGTTCTTCATCATCCCGATTTGTGTGACGATGCCACCTCTCGCTGATGTCATTGGTGCACCAAATGGTCAAGTAATCCCATACATCTTTCATAGGGTCATGGGCTCTCCCGGAGGTGGCCTAGGTCTTACATTCTTGGTACTTGGCATTACTATGTTCTGCTCAATAAGTATCACAACCGCTGCATCACGCTGCACCTGGGCATTCGCTCGCGACCAGGCAATCCCCGGCTCTAGAATATTCTCAACTGTCAACAAATCTTTAGGCGTACCAGTAAATGCCCTCATATTCGTCACTGTCGTCCAAATGCTCCTAGGTCTTATTAACCTCGGCAGTAGCAGTGCCTTTACTGCTTTTGTTTCAGTAGGCGTTATAGCACTTTCAATTTCGTACGCTATCCCAATTAGTTTATCTTTATTATGGAATAAAAGACAAGAAGTATCTCACGCACGGTGGAACTGTGGGCATATAGCCGGAACAATTGTAAACATGGTGGCCTTGGTATGGATTGCCTTTGAGGTTGTCTTATTCAGCATGCCCACGGCATTACCTGTTACAGAGGTATCGATGAATTATGCAAGTGTGGTGTTAGTGGGATTTATGGCAATAGCGGCAGTTTGGTATGCCGCTTATGCTAGGAAAGGTGAGTTCTGCTTTGAGATTCGAGCTTGACTTTTACTAACGGAGCATAGTGTACAAAGGACCACCAGCGTCAGATGGGTTGTGAGGCTTTATCCATGACCTACACCGACTTAATATTTATCTCCCTTTCTATTTCTTGTTTTCTTAGAACTTTTCCATGCATATAGCGAGTCGCTTTTCATATAATCTCATACCTATATAATAAATGAGCTTTGTAGTTACCCAATAGTATTGCTGATAGTTCCAAGCGAAAGTCCCCGTGTCTTCAAGCATTACTTCACTTTTGATATCATTCTGCATACTTCCTACAATAATAATTTACTCTCGCTTATTAGGCTTATATTTACTGGGGATTAGACCGTTGAGTTTAGAGCTTTCTTGTCTACAAGAAGCCAGCTGGATGTTCAGGGAAGCTAAGAAATTCCCTTTGCTCTTTCGATTTGCCGCTGCTACTCTATTTCAGCGTTTCAGTATTCCCTAAATTAAAGATAGACGAGAGAAACGAAACAGGTAATTCAGCCAGTATGGGAAGGAATCCAGAGACTACTTAATGGGGTAGCATGAAGAGAAAGAGGAAAAGAAGGAACTAGCAGCCGGGAAAAAGATGCAATAGCAAAGCGAATCGATTGAACAAGCTGATGTTTGGGAGTCAGAAGCGGCTAGCGAGTGTTAAGAAAGACGTTGAGATGAAACATTTGCATGCTTGTTTTGAGAAGTAACATGGACTCGGAGTGGCTCTTTGGGATGCTTGATCGGACAATTGCTTGCGTGGGTTGTTTGACAGTTCTCGCTAGAAAGGGTATAGGTAGTTGATCAACATACCATTTCCTTCATCTTCACTCCCTAATTTGAGTGTTTTTTTTTTCAATCCAGTCTATTTGTAAAACCTACGCTCAATTGAAACTACTTGACAAGAACCCACAGTCTCTGAAGCCCTCTCGAATTTGGAAGTTTGAACCATCAAACAAGTAGCTACATAATTTCAATCATCCTTGCCCTTCTCATATCTTCTCACAGGCTTCATTTTTCAAACACATCTAGTATAATTGGGGCAAGATGCAGTAGTGATGATGTCAGCGAGCTGTCGATCTTGGGAATGGTGCTGTGGGGTCATTTTTGAAGACCGCCCCATCCACTTTGCTAAGTTTCCCCCTCGTAGAACACTTATGTTTTTGTTCAGACAGACACGACATGTGTTCTAATGAGCTTCTGTTTCCTTCGTGCTGTAGAAATTTTGCAATTGTGTAGGGTTCCACTTATTTGGTGGCAAATTGACCTTTGCACAAGAAGTGTATTAAAGGTGTCTCCAAGGATTGTTGTCGTTGCAGTTCGTCAGCATCCCGAGAGATTTTTTCACAAGATTGCCAAATGCGTATCGAGTTGCAGATGGCATCTCTGAAGCTTCCTTTCCGTTGCCTTACGTTGCCTTACGTTGCCTTACGTTACTCCCCTCTTTGTAATATTCTTCTCGTATCTGGTATGAGGAACACAGATTCGCGATATCGTATGTGGTAGTATCGTGAGAAGTCTCACTTTTACTCCAGGCGCTTTGAGACCTAGCCAGATGCTCTGCCGCGTTATCAAATCCCCTAGAATCTGTCTGAGAGAAGGCGAAGATGTACGGGTGTCATGCGTCGAAAATATTTCCGCGGGCTGTAAATAGTTTAGCCTCTGAATGTTTGCTCCACTTTTACCCGCTGTCATGAAGACGACATCTCTTCCTTCGCATATAGTACCTTGTCTTCATCTTTACATAACACAAAATTTTCTCGGCTTTGTGACGTCTGCCTTGGAGTTAAATCGTGGATTGCTTCTGGTTTCAAAGTCGTGATCATGAGCGCGAATCCCATCGTCTCGAGAACTCCAGGGCTCATGGCGAGTTGCGAAATGCCCCCTTGATATCCGATCTTCATTTGCGCTCCTGTATTTTTCGATCCTTTTTGATTTTCGTTATGAGGGAAGCATGTTGGTATTCATTGTCGAGACCGTAGCGATGATAGCACATGGAATTCCTAGGCATGGATCGAGCAGCTAGAGAACATGCAGGTGTATTTCACTTAGCATATGCCATATTTGGGAAGAGTTGTCCTTAAAACCCGATATCAAGTTATGCGTTCTTCTGGTACTGTAGAAGCTGTCTCGCATGGCAAAGTTGCAGAAGGCGCCCAGATTGAAGTAAGCTCTGGAACTTGAAGATACATTGCCTATTAGTTAAAGGTGACATCAACTACCTTGCGCATCATTTAAAGGTAGCTTATCAATTGTTGTTGGATGGATTCATGTACTGCGATGGTCTTGTTACATGCTCATTCCTTCAAGCATAATTCCTTCCTCATTAGGCACCTCAAGTGCTAAATAAGGGTGTTATCCTATATAGAGACTAGCACAAATCTCACAACCCTCATACCGGTTTATCTTCATGACTACCATGTGATTTGAATGGTTTGACTCGTGTAATTAGCTTTATTTATTACATCTACAGTTTGATAGGCTATATCACACAGCTTGCTGTGGTATATATCTATCGCTCCTCCCCTTATTTCCATGATAATGGAATTCACCTATACGCGTCGCGTGTTACTGTCGGCGAAATTTTCTGTCAGGGCATATAGGGTTTACATCTTGCTATATTACTGGGTTTTCCCTCTCGGTTAGATGATAGAAAATGTCTAAAGAGACGCTTTTAGAGACTAAGTGACAAATTCTCGTTTAAAAATCACGCCAATTTTCGCACTTGCGAGTACGCGTCGGAGAATTGATATATCTTCCGTCTCAATCTCTCTTCTTCGATTTTCTTTTTCTTTTTCTTCTTCGTACCACTCTCACATACTCACTGCTCACTACACATTCACACATTTATAATGTCTCGCTTTCACTCTTCTTCTTCCACTGGCAGTGCTCCTGGGGCTGCCAGTTCCAACTCTACAAACATGTCGGCCCCTCGCGGTCGTGGATATCAAGTTCCACAAACCTCTAACTCTCTCCATCCCCCATCCATCCATCCTGACCACGTCCCATACGTGTGTGACCAACAAATGGAACTCTCTTTGGATCCTTCAACCATCCATCCGCCACTTAACAGGCCTGGAAACCTATCTTCTTCCACAACTTCAGCCTCTACGCAGGCCAAAAAAACCAAAAAAAATTCTCCTTTGTCATTGCGTTTGATTTCTTCTTCTTCTTCTTCTTCTTCTGCATCTTCATCTTATTATTCAGACTCCTGTGGATCTTACGAGTCAATCGATTGGTCGGCTCTTGAGATCAAACCCCATCCTATGGCCTCCAAGCGCTACAGGTCCCCCACGATGTATTCTGACTCCATCCAGAAGGACCATACATCCTCTGACTTCAGCACCGGATCCAGCGGTCAATTTCCTATTGGCTCACCTTGCATCAACGTAGGCCGTCTACTTGATGTCAAGCCCCCTCCTCCCAGGCCTTTCGTCACTGTCGATACATCGGACTCCCTGGATTACCCCATTACCAAGGCTCCTCCTCCCATGCCCTTCGTCGCTGACGATCCATTGGACCCCTTCTTGGATCACCCCATTGCCCTTCCCTTCGGATCTGGAATCTCTACCCCTCCCCCGAAAACAAGGTATGTATTCCGTGAGGTCACCCCTAGCCCAGGCACCACTCCATCTTCCAAGGATTCCTTTTCGGCCCACCACACTGTCTCCGTTTCCTCCGGATCCCCTTCCATGGCCTCTATTTCCTTGGACCCTTTCAATGGCCATTCTTGTTCCTCTTCTGCCAAGGCAGAAGATGGTTCAAACCCCCCCTCTCCTTGTCCTGTTCCTTCTCCTCCTCCCCAGCTACCTGTAGTACACATGCAGCCCCGCTTGTTCAGGTTAGCTAAGCCCAAGACCTTTACCCAAGTGTACCTGCAGCAGCCTCGCTGTTTCAGCCGAGCTAAACCTAAGACTTTTACCCAGCGGTGGTCAGAAATGATCCTTGAAGAGCAAGTCCTCGAATCCCGAGCCCATGTCATCACACCAGTTCGACCTTTGAGTCAAAGTCCGATGGCAACATCAGACTCTGGTTATGAACTTGTCTCTCAATCTCCTTTGTCAGACCCCTTCTGCATATCCCGAGAGCCCAGCCCATCCCCGGAGCCCACTCCACTACCGGAGCCCGTTCGTTCCCCGGAACCCATTCCCTCCTCCAGTCCTCAGGCCATTCCCAGGAGAAGCTTTAACAGGTTTCACGATGCACGCCCACTTTCATCCTCATCCTCATCCTCATCCTCATCCTCATCCTCATCCTCATCCTCATCCGAGGATGAATCGGACACCACCGCGGATTATCCCTCCTCCCTAGACGACGACCCCTTGGACACACCGGAACCAGAGACCACCCCATGGACCATTGCCCCAGTGCAATCCTGGATATCCCGGAACTCCTCGACCATCAAAACGGTTGCCAAATGGACCATTGTTGCAGCCGCAATCATCCTTCCAAAAATCCTTTGGAAATGGTGAATTGTATCATCCCCATTCCCCACTCCCTTCCCCCTATGCAGTGAACTGACCAGCCAACTAACCACTAACCCCAGCATCCCGGATATTTTGACTGAAAAGAATTGAAAAGACACACACGAATCACCCCTGGACACCTGGACCCTTGGACAAAAACGCAAGTATCTCCCCCTCCCCCTCGCTGACTACTAATCTAGGTGGCCAGAAATGATCCACGTCCTCGTCGTTCTGGCTGGAAACCCTCAAGTGAGGGGCTAACGGATCAACCCCACTCATCACTCTTGAACTTTTGGTAAGTTTAACATTTTTTTCGTATTTTTTTGAATCATGAGCTAACTTTTTTTCTCACAACTATTTTTTCGTTGACGAATACTTCGGGGAATCGTGGCGAAATTTTGATGGATCGCTGAATTTGTATTCAAGGCTTCAAGATGATGTGATCAGATCGGCGAGATCAAGTGATATGGGCGTCAATGTGTGGAATTGAGACGTAGTCAACTTGGTAATATTTTAGCAGGACGGAAAATCGAAATATGAAGGTTGTAGCTAGAGATAGGATAAAAGCGATGATGAAAAGGATGGCAATGTCTTAATAGGAACAATGTAATAAGAGATTAGAGAAAACACATGAAAGTCTTATGTCGAGAGTTTAAAAAGCATGTGCAAGAGTTGCAGTTCCAGAATAATCAGTGAATGTTTGATTAATAATTCAAATTAGACTCTGTTTTGTCCTTACTTTGTTGAATTCTGCCATTATCTGGACTGCTGATTTTTTTTAAATTACATTTCCCTCCCTCATCGTTGCACCCCGTTGCGTTTTCAAAAATTATCCAGTCTTGTTCGTTGTTCCCATTTTCTCATCTTTTCTATGTTCTATTACACCCTCATTCTATCTGCATTTTCAATTCTCAATCCACGCTTCTAGTGTCGGTGAAGTCCGTTATCCCATTTGCTACTACTTAGATCATTTCCAAGGCATCCAAGACATCTCAATCGCAGAACATGACGATAACAATTGTCTCCATGAGTTTCATGTATGTACGCATGCCTGTCTACCTTGGCATCTCTATATTAGAATCAGTAAGTCTCAGACTTCAATATCCTGGGCCAGATACCGTTCGTTAATATTTAACCCTCAAACTTGCTCGGGCGGCGTACTAAAACTATTGAACCACCCCACTATCGCCTTCGGTGCATTATCCTCAAAGATTTTCTCCAAGTTCGTCCATGTATCTTCAGCATTCTCTCTTGCCCTTACAAACATCTTCGTCTCATACTCTTTCACAGCATCCGAAACCGAAGTGCCCTGTTTTATAGCCGAAATAATACCTTGCGCCAACTCTAAAGCATCTAACATTGCCGAATTGACTCCCTCTCCTGCAAATGGCGTCATGAGATGCGCTGCGTCTCCAACTAATGTCGCATTGGCTCTATGCTCCCACGTATGATCGGTAGGTAACATATACATCGGTACAAATTGCGGAGTTTTCTCCTCTTCCAACCCCTTTTCTAGCAAATTCTTGACTCCTTTGCTGAAATCGCCAAAGATACCAGACTCGCCAAGAGTTTTCTCTTTTAGTTGCTCAAGTTCCAAAGAATTTAAGCCTGCATTATTACAATAGTCAATGTCTTTGTTATGTATGGCAACATACACTCTTGCTGAATCCATCGAGCCTCTCTGACTTGACACAAATCTCTTTCCACCTAGCGCCCAGAATGTTCCAGTTCCAATCATCTTAGCTATCTCTGGGAACCTCTTGGTGATGTTTGGAATCGTCAACGTCATCCAATGCACACCACTAAAATGTGGTTTCACGTCCGTTAAGAGTGGGCGGACTTTTGACCATGCTCCATCTGCTCCAATTACCAAATCACAACAATGAGAACTCTCATTTTGGAAGGTGATAATTTGTTGGTTGGGATTTGAAGGATTTGGAGAAACAGATTGGATTTTATGTTCCCACTGAATGATGTTTTCGGGCAGTGAATACAAAAGCAATTCGATCAAACTATTTCTTGAAATTTCAGGTCGCTCTTCATTGTGATCGGGTGCCTCAAATTTGATGTCTCCAAAACGATCACAGATGATGTGTTCTTCGCTGCATTCTACGGTGAGTGAGCGGAACGCTTGGAGAAGCCCACATTCTGCGAGTGCGAGTTGTCCTGACTCGACATGAAGATCTAGCGAGCCGGATGGGACATTAACAAGATCTAGAGAGGGGCGAGGTCTGAGATCGTAGATAGTGAAGGGTATTTTACTGCGGTGGAAGAGAGAGGCTAGGACTAGGCCGGATGGCCCTGCACCAACAATGGATATTCTTGGAAGCATGAGAAGATAAATTAAGGTTCTGAAGTATGTATCGATCCTAGGTTGTTTGACTGTTCTTGACTGGTTTGAAAAAATGATATAGATTCAGTACTTTGGTCGACTTATATATCTTCATTAACCAGGCTCATATTTGACCTGATACGATCTTGTGCAATGCCTTGTATGAGTACCTACCCATGAAGTATGATTTGAGAAGCTTCGGACAATTTGAGCCATTCAAGCGATCCCGTCTGAGGAATAAAACAGCGGAAAGCTTTTCCCTAGAAGATCCGTCTGCTGCAAGGCTCATTGATATTACCATGACGGGCCCGAAATCATCTCGGGCCCGTCTAATTCCCGAGATTGCTGACATGGGAATGTTACGCTGTACAAATCAGACAAACGATATCTAATTATTATAGTCGTCTTCAAAAAATCTGGAAATACTCATCTAATCAGATATCTTAATATTGTCAAGACTATGGAACGTCACTATGGCGGGAGCGTGGTGAGGGGTACACTAGAATTACTTCGGCACGCAGTAGGGGAGACTGTCGCCCTATATCCGCAACCATTCTAGGCAATGAAATTTCTTTAACGTTAATTCCTTATTTCGTGAGGCTTGACGCAAGAACTTGGTACTATCCCAATTCTTAGCTGTCTACTGCTTGGGTTGTTGATTTTCGTATTTGTGATTCAAAAACTGCCGTGGGATGAATGATTGGCAGATGCTGATAAGCCCGATTGAACCTCGGTTCAGGGGTCGAGCATACAACCGCCATCATAATAGTATCATCTGGAATCGAAATAATTATTGAGACAATGCGCATTGCCATCCTGAATTTGTGAGTCAATTAGGATATTGGCACCTCACAATAGCGATGATGGCAGGATCACCACCATTGACAGGCGTTCGCGTTCTCGAATTCGCAGGCCTAGCTCCAGGTAAATATCCCCGCATTACCCCGGATTCTATTGCATTCCCATTAACATCGATTATAGGACCTTTCGCGGGACTTCTCTTAGCAGATTATGGAGCATCGGTTCTACGTATCGATCGTGCAGTTCCTAATCTCACCCATTCTTCCTCAATTCCTCCACCAACCCCCGATCTCCTTACCAGACACAAAGCATCCATTGCAGTCGACCTCAAAGCAAATGCTGGAATATCCTTCGTCAAGTCTCTCATTGCGCATACTGATATCATAATCGATCCATTCCGCCCGGGAGTTCTGGAAAAATTGGGACTTGCACCAGATGTTCTCCTCAAACTCAATCCTCGCATCATTTTTGCCCGAATGACTGGGTTTCGCCGTGATGGCAAGTACAAAGATATGGCCGGGCACGATATCAACTATATAGCAGTGTCGGGGGCATTATCACTTCTTGGGCGAAAAAGTGAGAAGCCATTACCACCGGCGAATATACTCGGGGATTTTGCGGGTGGAGGAGCTACGTTGTTTCAGGGAATTTTACTCGCATTGCTAGCGCGAGAGAAAAGCGGAAAGGGGCAAGTTGTGGAAGCGAATATGGTCGATGGGAGTTCATATCTTGTCACTTTTCCGAGGATGTTGATGAAGACTCCTATGTGGAACAGACCGAGAGGAGAGAATACATTGGATTCGGGGAGTCCGTTCTATGATACCTATGAAACAAAGGATGGGAAATACATGGCGGTGGGTGCTCTGGAACCACAATTTTTCAAAGAGTTGATTAAGGGGCTAGGATTGGAGGAAACTAATATTGAAGAAACGAGAATGGATAGAAGCACATGGCCAGCAATGAGGGAAACTTTCACTAGATTATTCAAGGGCAAAACGAGATCTGAGTGGGAGACTATTTTTGATGGAACTGATGCTTGTTGTACACCTGTTCTCGATTATGATGAACTCGAACACGACCCTGCCAGAGAAGGTGATCAGAGGCCAGCTGTTACACTCAGAGATACACCTTCTCTCGCAATATCCAAACATAATAGTCAGGACCCATCGATTGGCCAAGGTCCTGGCGTTGAATGCGGAAGTTACACCGGCAAACCATTATATCCTGGACAAGGTGGGGAGATAACACTCGAGCAATGGCTAGGATGGAAAAGAGGAAAAGACTATGATATCGAGAATGGTGGTTTGATCAGGAAAAGACATTCGAAATTATGATCTACCATTATATCCCATTCCGAATACCTCGACTCTCTTGTTCATTACCACTTTCCCCATTGTTATTTCTAGAACGCCTCAAACACATGTCTATACTCCAATATTGAGGACCAGAACCAGAACCTCGAGCCGTCTCCGCCGACCAACCATATACCAACTCCGTTTCCATACCCCAACCACCGATGATATGCCCCCAAGCGAATGCAGCAAATTTGTAGCTCGACAAAACTCCAGCTTAGGCTTCGAACGCAGAACCACCTTTAAGAGAGATTAGTTCAGTGTTGTATAAAATAAGTGACCATGAAGTAGACTTACAACTCAAATCATGAAATCCTCATCATCTAGCTCAATAAGCATCGACGGACTTGGAGGTGGATTTGGAGGAGGAGATGGCGGATCATCTCTTGACATATTTGATGCCGAGACAAATTCGACTTTTTGGTAATGATGTACTCGTCGGTGGGGTGCTCGAATTTGCGGAGCTCCGAGTGATAGAGCTGGAGGAGCAGCTTTACGCTGACGCTGCTGAAGACGCGAAG